AGTCCCACTAAACTGCAATTGGGCGGGGGCATTAGAATCAAAACCGATCGGTATATCCAGAACCATGCTTCAACTACAAAGGCGGCAGCCATTTCCGGCTGGGGCCATCCCTTGATTGTGCCTCAAATGAAACCAGAGATCTCCTAGGAAACAAGGAATTCATGGAAACGTTTCTATGGGGTGCCTAGTGCTGGGTTTGGGGAACGAGCCGGCACCGGACTCCCATGCCCTGCCACAAAGGAGTTTGGAGTTTCTTCATTCCCTCCTGCCAAACCAGCAAGGTCGATCTGAATCAACCAGTGACCGAGCAGCCCCTCCAGTTGTTTCCAGTGCTCTCTGTACGCTTCTGTGTGTGTCTCCAGATTCAAGTCTGCGATTCCGGTGTTCTTCCAGTTGTTCCAAGTGTGACCTTCCATATGTGTCTCAGCCGCTTCAAGTGTTTCCAGGTACCTTTCTCTGTTCCCTGCATCTGTCCCCTCCTGTTGTTTTGTTCCCACTATGTTTTTTCCATGTTCCGGCTGCCAAATGGGAAACTCTCTTCCTAAGTGGTGGGCAAAAAATCGAGACTGTCGTGTACCACTAGATTGATCTTCCCCACCCAAAAAAAGACACAAAAAAACATGTGAAGTCCTGGAGAAGTAAGCATGGCATCACAGGCGCCATTCCCTCAGTCAAGACCCGGTATTCAAATAGTCATGGTTCAGGAATTGAAAAGGACATCGGCACCCATTTATGGCAAGGGGACTGTCCCCTACCCTCCAATTCGCCTCACACAACACTTCAAGGCAACCAAAACGCAGAGCACAGCCAGCCAAAAGCGGACTGGCCGAGGCGGGCAGTCCGCGGAGCGGTTCACAAAATATGTTTGTTTTGAGGACGTGACTCAAATGGCTGTGGGTCAAAACCCTGTACCCCTGGTGAACATCAAAATAGGTGGTACATGGGTGTTCATCCGCCCCAAAATGGAGGCATACGTTATGACCCATGGTCATATAGGTCAAGTACTTGGATCCTCCGGTGATCCAGGGCCCCGACAGGGCCGTAAAGATGATCACCAGAACCCCAAGCAAAAGAGCGGTCGGTTTTTGAAAAGAGCCATGGTTGAAAAGAATGGAAAAGGAATCAATCCATAGATACCTCCTCCCTTCCTGAGTCGACTGGCCAAAACAAATCCGCCTTCGCATGCCTCAAAATGGGCCCTGAGGCCCCAAGCCTTATGGAGGCCCTGAACCCTATGGTGGCGAGTCCCGCGACTCTGGGTAGTTTGACACCCGGAAGAAATCCCTAGAATACCTCCAACCAAGTAAACAACCAACCTAGAAATGAAACCCCTAGAAATCTGTTTTGTCATGAGGCATGCCCGCCTTTGGCTGGCCGCTGCTCGCGCTCCGCCCGCGCGGCCTGCGCCTGGCCTCGCAACTTGCTGACATCGAGCAGCTGGAGGATCAACCCGTTCATGCGGGGGATTGATCAATACTCGGTTGCGAAATCCTGCCAAAAGTGTGTTTTTTTTTTTAGTGGTTTACTGTAATTTGGAAAACCCCCAAACGTTGGCAAAAAGTGAAAGTCCTAACATCCCTGGGCAAAATGCACCAAAGAATCTTCCGTAAAGCGGCCCCCCCGTTTTGACCATCGGTCACTTTTCGCAAGTGGAAAATATGCAAAATCTTTTGAGTGGTGTTCACCGATGGTCATCCCATGTAAAGGACCTTTTGATCAGCCCCCATCCAGTTTCCTCCATCCGAACTGGTGCGAAACGGACATTGTCCATCTGTATCATGGTTGACGTTTGAAAACTTGGGCTCCGCTAAGGGGCCAGCGTCTCGTGGCTTAAACGAATGCTGCCCAACCTGGATATTCAGTATGCTCCCAACTAGCTGTAGAAACTGGTGAGCAAACAGACTGTTTGCAGTTGAATTTCGTCATGGCAATGTAGGGCTCAATGTTCTCCGCCTGAGTAGCTGATCGATACTCATGTGGATCGATATACAAATCAACGGGAAATGAAGCTAACAGAACGTCAAGAAGCATGGTCCAAGCTGGGCAGATGGGAAACCTTTTGAGTTGAAACCATTGCGACGCACATCGGCACAAACGCACACCCTTCCGTGAACCAAAACAGCCAACTCGTGCCCAAAATTCAGTATTGGCAGAGAGGTTCAGCGGAGTTCACGCGGGGTCGTAGTGTGGGTGAGCGAGCCCCGAGGGTGTGTTTGTCTGACTGAGGTGAGCCCATTTTGTTTCAACCTTGTTTCCCCTTTGACCTGATTCCATCCACCCGGAATATTCGGGGGGGGGGGGTCGATGTACCTGACTTGGTCGCAACAACCAGATTTCCACATCCCCAAAATGGGTGGCGCGTCCTGTTTGGAGTTGGTACCCCTGCTTTTGGTGGTTTCAAAGGGAAAAAAGGAAGGAAAACCGAAGCCAAAAAATGGGAGGTCCCTTGAAAAACGACACACAAATGGCAAGGCGTTCCTTTTGGCTTCCCTTACCAAAAGGTTGGGGTCCCGTGTTTTACAACACACCCAATTTCTGGCACTCTTCCCCATCGAACATCGCTTGCTTGAGTTACCTCAAGTCAAACCGCGTGTGCGCGGTTTGACCCGATGAGAAAAAACAACGGATAGGGAACATGGAGCAGGGAAATGTAACAGAGCCCCGGAAAAGCCGGTACGTACAAAGCACATGGGAAAATGTGCATTTGGCATTTCTGGCAAAAACATCCTACCCGTCCCCCTCTCCCCAAACCAACAGTAGGCCAGAAATACATTTGCCAGGTACTCCTATGGCAATGAACTTCAACAAGGAACCTCAAAAGTGGGACGGGATTGGGCTTTGATAACAACCAAACCCATGCTTCCTGGTGTCTACCAAAGCATCCCCAAGAACTCCCCCCCCCAAAAAAAAAAGAAAAAGGAGCCTGCAATTCAAGGTTTGGTGCCTCTCGGGCAACTCAATCCTACCTTTGGGGGAGTGGGGATATCCCTACCTCCAAGGTCCCCCAATTCCATGGAAGGTCCGCCAATTCCATTCAAGTCAGACCGGAAAAAATGGCAGGGATCAAATTCAACCGGGATCCGACCCTGCCACAAAGTTCTTAGAGTTTGCCGGTTCTGAAGGAGACCCAGAGAAGACTCTCGGGGCAAAACCCAAAGCCCGGTTCCTGATCTGAACCTGGAACCTGAACCCCTGAACGCCCCAAGCAAACCGAAGGCAGTTTCAACCTCACAGTACCACTCTCCAACGAGAAGGCGGCAGAAAATGATAGACGAGCCCGCACATGTGCTTTCATCGTCGAGCTTGGGGGGAGGACAGGAACTTATCGGGACAACAATAGCAGTAACTGGAGATAGGACTGAGTGGCCCCTTTCTCTTCCTCAATACTGTTCTTTCTATTATTACAATTATTGTTGTTAATGATATTTATGTACATTCGAGTACCACCGCAAAGACATCTACATCGATGTGCAAACAACAATCCTTTCGAAGACATCCTGCGGCTCCATCCCATCGCGCCTTTGGGAACCCACTTCATGGTGCGCCCTAGCGGAAGATGGCCGGGTTAAGGGGAAACAAAAGGTATGGGTCAAAATAAACCCACCAGGATATGGACCGCAGGTTTTAGTCTTGGGTTCCATTTATCAGGGCAACCCGTTTTGGGTACGCATTTTTGACCCGCGGCCACATGGTCCAGGCGCAGTGTCAAAACAGGTCGACGGGAAAGTCATGGGAACCTTAGCTGATTAATGGGGGTAGCATCCCTTTTTAGTCGGGATTCAGACGGAGGGGCCCCAACGGTATCCGGGGTCAATATTGTTTGGCTTGCACGAAGAGTATCCGACTTTCTGCGACCGTGCGAGTTGCGCAAGCGATTTGCCGCAAGCCTGAAGCTCAGACGTGAAGCGGCTCTGGGTGTGATAGGGATGTGGACATCATGACCTGGTGACGTTTTTGGAGGGTCCTTTTAAACCAACGTGAAAAGGGGTACCCTCAAACACATACACACCCCACACACGCACACCCCACACACACGCACACGCACACGCACACGCACACGCACACGCACACGCACACGCACACGCACACGCACACGCCACGCCCAATCACACGCCACGCACAATCACACGCACACGCACACGCACACGCACGCGCACGCGCACGCGCACGCGCACGCGCACGCGCACACGCACACGCACACGCACACGCACACGCACACGCCCACCCACACCCACACCCACACCCACACCCACACCCACACCCACAAACAAACACACACACACACACACACACACACACACACACACACACACACACACACACACACACACACACACACACACACACACACACACACACACACACACACACACACACACACACACGCGCCTATCTGTTTCTTCCCTGCGCAAAAGCTCGAACCTGTTGGGTATGTGGGCTTCCCTCGTATAATGATACATAGTACCCTAACTTCAATACTCCCCCCCCCCCCCCGGCAAATCACTATCACCCGAAGTGTCACAATCAATAGCTGGTGTCCAAAATGGAATATGGGAATGAACAGGGGATGGTTTATAAGGGACATTCCCTTATTCCCTGCTGAGCACCAGCAAAGAAAGGTCCGTGTTTGGAGACTTGTCACGAGGTTATCAGAACACTCTATCATTCCACTATCTTAGCACCAACATTCCCACAATGAAGGGGGCAAATCTCCAGTTTTCCGTAAGGTACTTTTCTTCGGGGGGGGAATTCGTGAAAACCCTCCAGACATGGGTGTCTTTCCGAGGGTATGGGTTTTTTGAAGGGACACCAACAAATTCCAAACCACCATGTTTCTAGGGGACACTCCCCCATTCTTTCCAGGCATCCTTCTTTCCGGAAAACCATCAGAACCCCGGGGGAAACAGCTGGTTTTTGGAAAGAACGATGGCTGAAAAGAATGGGGAATCAACCCCTAGAATGTTGGGGGGTCACCCATTCTTCAGACACCAACGGCACAAACCCTACCACTCGCTCGGATCTCCGGCGTGCCTTCACCTTTGCCCTGGCGTCGCGCCTGCGGCAAAAGGACACCTTACCCGGTCCCAAGAAAGACCTCCTGGCAGTTTCCGAACGCAACTTGATCAACTTCGATTTGGGTGTCTTCCTTTGTAGGAGTTGTTTTCTGATTGAGGGAAAGCAAAAAGAAAAAGGGGTCCATTCAAACAAAAGACCACCTGCTTTTGGGTCAGAAAATTGGGTCTCTTCATTCGAGGCTTCGTTATTCAGGAGGGTCTTGCAGGGGCTCCCGAAACTCATTCCCCCCCCCAAAAAAAAAAACACGAAACTCATCTAGTGGCAACCAGGTAATGTTTAAACCGGCTGAAAAGGAGACACATAAAACAAATGGGTATGTGTCAAAATAGTGCTACCCCACTGAGTGGTGGAGGTCCTTTTGTTCCCCCTTTCACGTGGCTGACAAGGGAAATATAGGAACCTGCCTTGAGAACCTGGAAATGTGCAGGGAACCTGAAATCTCATCTCACAGGATCCTGAAAATCGTATGAGGGACCCTGGAAAGCACAGACCCGAAAGTCCTCAGAAACCCCAGGAATCCTTCTTTGCGATTTCAACCTTCCGGCTTTCCAAACAAATGTTCCGGGCAGTGAAGCGAGCGAGCACTTGTTCACAGCCTTGAGCAGTGCCTCTTGGGGCCCCTCAAAAGTGATCCGCACAAAAAACGGGGACACCGCGACCCGAATCGAAGCCAACCAGGGGTTATCCGAGTTCGACAGGAAGCTGCAGGCGAATTCCAAACAGGAGGCTACTTCGGTTCGGCAAAAAAAGGCTTTGGCCAATCTCCTGATGTTGCAGCTCTTTGTCCAAGGGTGAACGATAGCCTTCACCCTGACTAATTCAACGGGCCGGTTCTGGAACCCTGGACATTGTGCATATTAGATTTTGTCACAAATCCATGTACACTGGTTTCGACAGATACTCCTGCAGAGATGTGAATATATATATATATATACTTATGTTATGCAGTGTATGTATGTTTATTTGTATATGCTGTACATACATATTATATATATATATATTACGTATGTAAATGCATTCGGAGAGGGGGAGGGTCTGGTCGAAGCTTTGTGAGGCCCTAGCGTTCCTCCTTTCCTGCAACAAGTCGCCACATCTTCTTGCGCGGGGGAAGTGTTTTGTGCCGCCCTTACGGTTGAAGGACCCTCCAATGCAAACCCCAAACCACCCCTCAGCCCGTGGAACTTGAAACGCAGGGTCATGGAACGGATACCCGAGGTTTCTGCAGTTTTTGGATACTCGAAGCAAGCTCATGGCAGCAAACGAGACAGGGACCTCATGTCTGGTCAAATTGCTATAAATCACAAATCGGAGACTAGGAACCACCAAGAAACTCTCATCAAGGCTCGGCTCGCTTCCCAGGTGAGTGTCTATAGCCAAACATTTGAGCCTCGCCCGATGGAAGGAACGAACGTGCCCCTCGCCCACATCGTTTGATCCTGGGATCTTTGAAGATTGGATCGCCGTGGCTCGATCCCGAAAGGCACCTAGGGAACCGATTCGGAACGACCTAACCCTTCAACCAAGCAAACTGCGTGGTGAATGTCCCCCTCCTGGTCAACCGGCCGCCCTTGAACGTTGGAAATCCCAGCGCAACCGATGTCTAGGTCCTCCAGTAGAGAGGATAGAATGAGGGTACCAACTCTTTTCTCTAGTCTATTTTAGTAGGGGAACCCTCCCAACCAAAAAATGGGTTAAGAAGCGCACCTAGCTGGGGGACGTAGATGTTCAGTGGAAGCCTCGGTTCTGGACGTTCTGACACCCCTGGGCATAGGCCTTTTGGAAAAACAGATGGGTTTCCCTGGTAAATGGATTGAACACCACCAGTGAAACCCATTGGCCATCTATTTTTCATCAAACCTAAAAAGGGACACCTCTGCCTCGCGTTCGGTCCCTCGCCTTGTTCATCACCGGGTTCCGCCGGACTGCCGGCGCGGAGCCGGAGCGAAAAAAACGCGGCACGTCGTCTCGACCGTTGCCCTCGACGGGGTTGAAACCACAACCCTTGGCTGGTATTTACAGGGGAATCGAATCATTTCAGGTGCGACATGGATTCTTCGGTGCGAAATGGATTTCGCAACCACAGCATCACCCCTCTTTTAAGCACTCAGCTGCTTGGTCCTTTGGCGCAACACACTCCTCTTTCCCATGCCCTTTTCTGGCAAGCCCGGAAACACGCCCAGCAATGATCTATGTGGGCATTCCCCCAACAAACACTTGGGTGCAGCAAATGCATCCTTACACGGTCCTCCCACAAGGAAAGCTGGCCAAAAACTCTGCCACATCTCTGACCGGCCACGGAAAAAAAGGCTCTTTAAAGGGCTAAAGAAAAAGGCCAGCTGGAAACTATCTACCCTCTCGTCTAACATGGAACGATATGGAACGTACCCCCTTTAAAGGAAAATAGTCCAGTACCCCCGAGTTAGGTTTCAACATCAAACAGAAACAAGAGGGTATCGCGATGAGATTAAAAAAAAGGGCTCGCAGGAGTGACACAATTTACATCAGGCACCCTTGGCATCCCCTAAAGCCAAACACCCCAATCAGATTGGTTTACAATGCCTGGGACAAACAGCTTCAAACAAGCTCGAAAGGCCCATTTGAGACGAAACGTTCCCCCAGAATCTTGGGCCCTCAAGAACCTTTCGGGTCCAGTGATGCGTATGCTAACCTACAGGTAACCATCGTGCCTGGGGTCAGTTCCCCTACAAGAATGGCACGCACCACCACCGCCAATCTTGCCATAGGACCAAAATATCACCCGAAGTGTGCTTTGCTTTATCCTCTCTACATGGTTCTTTTCTGCTCTACGCATCTCTCTGCGCAATCTTAGGCATTTGCCATGATTCCCCCAAATTCCCCCTTCAAACGGCTTTGAATGTTACCTGGTGGGTGTCTCTTTTTGGGAACCCCCAAAATGGCTTCGGTGTTCCTTGTGGCTTCCCTTTGAAAGCCCCAACAATGGGGGGTCCCCCTACAAGCAAACATACCTTGGGGTGATGTCCTACCTGCAACGCAAAGCCATCCCCCGCCTAGTCCACGGCCCTGTCCCTTGCCCTTGTCGCGACCTCCGTCCACAAAATGACCAGTCCGCTTTATGACATCTTCAAGACCCTCCAAATGGTTGAAAGGAAACCCGTTACCCAAAAGTAAACCTTGAGAACCCCTCGAAATGCTACTTGGAGTCTATCAAATGAATTGCTATTTTGAGGGGCTCAGAAAAAGGGGAAGGGGCAAAGGACAAGCTTGATTGAATGTTACTTGGATGTTCAACACACTTAGTAAGTTCGAACATGGTTGTCAGGGAACCAACCTCAGGCCCAGTTACAACTCCGGGTACCAGCTTTCTAAGTGCGTTGCACATCCCAGTGCGAGGGTTTGCCACCCGGAAAGAGTGTCTGAGTCGTGTGGGGTGGCTCAAACTAGGATTCTGTCCAGGCGTTCTTTCGGTTTCCTTTCAAAAACCAACCAAACGAAAGTTTCTCTGAGAAACACTCATATAAGCTTCTATCCACTTCCCGTGCTGTAGGTCTTTAAAGCAATCACACACAAATACATGCACATATCGGCCCAGAAAATGAAGGCCCTTCCACGACCACACCTCTTCTGGGCGCACCCGATGCTGGTTCATGACACGTTTCCCCGCATGCCAAGTACAATCAGGGTTGCAGTCAAAAGTTGGTTCCTTGGTTCCAAGGAACGTGGTTTGGTAGTTGGTCTGGGGTTCGGAGCTCTTTTTTAAAGTTCGAACAAGGCGAAGAAAACTCAAGGTGAATTCTGCCCCTGAACGCATGCACCCAATTTCTGGTCATGAGGCCGGGTGCGTCTCATCCAAGCAGCTCAGAGTCTTGCCAGCCATGGTGGCCTCTGAGCTGAACTTTTGATATGGTCAGCAGCAAAACGTAACCTGTGAAAAGGTGTTTCGTTATCCGTACCCTGCACCATTGGACGTACAGGAAAAGGTACTGGGCCCCTAGGACGCAAGCTTCTTAGTACTCCCATGTAAAGTAATTACTGAAATGGCGAAGCGCTCGAAATGCAAAGTATTCCAGGGTTGATTGGAGTCCCCCTCAACTTACCGGCGGTCTCCCTCGAAACGATCGCCACTCTTGCAGCTTCCAAGGGTTGATCGGATTTTCGCTTGAGTGGTTGATCATTCTTGGCCCAAGAAGTGTGCGAGGCCGGATCCGCCAGGCCAAACCCCGCCCGGGCCGAGTCCGAATGGCCGGCGGCATCCGGGGGCGGGGCCCTTGGCGCCCTTCGCAGCACCCTTGGACTTTGGGCCTGGCCGAGCGCGGCGCCTTAAGCAGGGGTGGGGGTGGGGGGTGGGGGGTGGGGTGGCTGGGTGGGGTGGGTGGGGGAGGGGTGGGGTTGGGAGGGGGAGGAGGGGTGGGGGAGGGGTGGGGTTGGGAGGTTGGTTGGGGCTTGGTGGACTTTTTAGGCCTTGGACCTATGGACCGAGTCCTTTCAATGTGGCTTGAGTTTGAAAACGTAGGCACCCCAAGGAACCCAGGTGTTGTCAGATTCCACTTTGGGCCAAGAGTGACGTTCCCACTCGTAAATCGAAGGAGGGAGGCATTGTGGAAAAAAAGAAAAAACATGCTCGTCCAAATGTTGGGAGATTGGAGGGGGCCAGTCGTAGCAATCCTTGCTAGCGCACCAGGAATTCGACAGGCCATGGATCCATCAATCCAATCATTTCCGACTTCGGCCGGTGCCCCGAATGCGGGGTGCGCAAGAAAACCCGTCAGGAAAAAGAAGGGGAACTGCCATCAAAAAGGCCCAGATCTTCAGCTGCTGAGCCAAACCGCGAAACGTAACATGTGAAATGAGAGTTTGTTCGCCGTAGGCATCATACGTGCAGGAAAATGTACTGGACCCTGCGGACGCAAGCTTCTTAGCATAACGTAAAGTACTCAAAACGCCGAAGCGCTCGAAAAATTCAATTTACTCCAGGGCTGATTGGAGTCCCCCTCAACTTACCGGCGGCCTCCCTCGAAACGATCGCCACCCTTGCAGCTTCGGGAGAAATGGCTCGGAAACCCTGCAACCCTCGGCGTGAAGAGAAGTTTGAGAGCCCAACGCAGCCCATCCGCCCAACAGCTCAACCCAACAACCCAAGAGCACCGCAACATCCACGGGCCGGGGCCGGCGGCCCGAATCCATCGGGGCCCGGGCCCTTGGCGCCCTTTGTGGCGCCCTTCGCCTTGCCTGGGCGAGGGACGCGCTCTGAGCCTTGAAAAGGAGGGGCGGCTGGGGGTGGGGGGTGGGTGGGGTGAGGGGTGGGGTGGGGATTGGAGGTTGGAGGTTGGGGGTTTGGTGGAGTTTAGGCCTTGGACCATCATGGACCAAGTCCTTTGTATGGGAAGAGACGCCCGGGCGGATCCAAGCACCGCGGGTTTGTGATTGAAACCTACAACCAGGTACAGGACGATGGTTGCCAGGCCAGCGACATGTATAGCCCTTGTGCTGCATGTTTTTTTTCCCGGAAGCATTGCGAAGGGCTCTTCTTCTAAAAGCGGCTGCCAACTTCACCTGCCAACTTCTCATGCCAACTTGTCGAGAGTTACTTCACCTGCCAACTTCTCATGCCAACTTGTCGAGAGTTACTTCACCTGCCAACTTCTCATGCCAACTTGTCGAGAGTTACTTCACCTGCCTACTTCTCATGTCAACTTTTTGAGAGTTACTTCACCTGCCAACTTCTCATGTCAACTTTTCGGCTGTTATCTCATTCTACTAAAAGCACAAGCTAATTTGTCGGGTGTTACTTCACTATCCTAAAAACACAAGCTAACTTTTCTGTTCTACCTTCACATCTCGACTCTTAATTCTTCTTCTTTTTATGGCGGGGGTAGGCCCGACGGGAGCTTACGAAACGCACCCTCTGCGGAGATCGTGCGTGTCGAAGCGCTCTCGCTGTGGCGCCGTGCGAATTTGTCTTGAGCGCGGCGAACCCTCTGCGGAGATCGTGCGTGTCGAAGCGCTCTCGCTGTGGCGCCGTGCGAATTTGTCTTGAGCCCGCGAACCCTCTGCGGGGATCGTGCGTGTCGGATCGCTCTCGCTGTGGCGCCGTGCGAATTTCTGGACCTTGGCGAACCTTGCGATGAGATCGTGCGTGTCGAAGCGCTCTCGCTGTGGCGCCGTGCGAATTTGTCTTGACCTTGGCGAACCCTCTGCGGAGATCGTGCGTGTCGAAGCGCTCTCGCTGTGGCGCCGTGCGAATTTGTCTTGACCTTGGCGAACCCTCTGCGGAGATCGTGCGTGTCGAAGCGCTCTCGCTGTGGCGCCGTGCGAATTTGTCTTGACCTTGGCGAACCCTCTGCGGAGATCGTGCGTGTCGAAGCGCTCTCGCTGTGGCGCCGTGCGAATTGTCTTGAGCGCGGCGAACCCTCTGCGGAGATCCTGCGTGTCGAAGCGCTCTCGCTGTGGCGCCGTGCGAATTGTCTTGAGCCCGATGAACCCTCTGCGGGGATAGTGCGTGTCGGATCGCTCTCGCTGTGGCGCCGTGCGAATCTGTCTTGAGCCCGATGAACCCTCTGCGGAGATCGTGCGTGTCGAAGCGCTCTCGCTGTGGCGCCGTGCGATTTTCTTGCTCGCGAAACGGCTTTTGGAAGTTGTCTCGTGGTGTGCGCGCCTGCTTTCGCAATCCCGCGGTCCCGGGTTCGATTCCCCCCTGGTCCGCGGCAGCTCCGGCTTGAAAATCGCAGCTTTTAAGTACAAACGTAGTACGCGGAGCGTGCTCCTGCAGCTCCGGCTGGAAAATCGCAACTTTTAAGTACAGACGTAGTACGCGGAGGCTGCTGCAGCTCCGGCTGGAAAATCGCACTTTTTAAGTACAGACGTAGTACGCGGAGCGTGCTCCCGCAGCTCCGGCTGGAAAATCGCAACTTTTAGATACAAATGGCTGGAAAATCGCAACTGTAAATTGCAAATGTAGCACGCGGAGCGCCTCCGCCGCTCCAGCTTTTTGAGGGTTAATTACTTCACCTGCCAGTTTCTCATGCCGAAACTTCGAGAATTACTTCACCTGCCAGCTTCTCATGCCACCTTTTCGAGAGTTACTTCACCTGCCAACTTCTCGTGCCAACTTTTCGAGGAGTTACTTCACCTGCGAGCTTATCATGCCAACTTTTCGAGAGTTACTACACCTGCACCTGCGAGCTTCTCATGCCAACTTTTCGAGAATTACTTTACCTGCCAACTTCTCATGCCAACTTTTCGAGAAATACTTTACCTGCCAACCTCTCGTGGCAACTTCACCTGCCAACTTTTCGAGAATTACTTCACCTGCCAACTTCTCATGCCAACTTTTCGAGAAATACTTTATCTGCCAACCTCTCGTGGCAACTTTTCGCAAAATTACTTCACCTGCCAGCTTCTCATGCCAACTTTTCGAGAGGTACTTCACCTGCCAACATCGCCTGCCAACTTTTCGAGAGTTACTTCGCCTGCCAACTTCTCGCGCCAACTTTTCGAGAATTACTTCGCCTGCCAACTTCTCATGCTAACTTTTCGAAAGTTACTTCACCTGCCGGCTTCTCACGCCAACTTTTCGAGAGTTACTTCACGCGCCATCTTCTCGTGCCAACTTTTCGAGAATTACTTCACCTGCCAGCTTCTCACGCCAACTTTTCGAGAGTTACTTCACCTGCCAACTTCTCATGCCAACTCTTTGAGAGTTATTTCACCTGCCAACTTCTCATGCCAACTTTTCTCTTGAGTTACTTCGCCTGCCAACTTCTCATGTCAACTTTGCGAGAATTACTTCACCCGCCAACTTTGCCAGCCAACTATTCGAGAGTTACTTAACCTGCCAGCTTCTCATGCCAACTTTTTGAGAATTGCTTCGCCTGCCAACTCCTCATGCTAACTTTGCGAGAGTTACCTCACCTGCATCAACTTGCCTCTATGCTTCCGGGCCACTCGTCGTCTAGTTTTTTTGGGGGGGGGTCGGCCACATGCCCCTTGCGCTGGTCCAAATTCCCAACCAAGCCAAACCATCCCGATCCGAGGTCAAAAGGAGCTTCTGACCCCACACAAATTCACACAGCGTCCATGGCGGCAACCTGAACCCTCAAAATTCCCTTAAAAATTGGTTTGACCCCCAAAATTATGGGGTGATATCCCATTTTTATGGGTAGTTTGAGGCAGGCGGCTCTCTCGGAGCCGTGTAACTGTCATCGAATCTGAGTCTTGGGGTTGGGGAGGGGGGTTGGGGGGGGGGGGGGGGGGGGGGGGGTGGGGCCAATGAATGCGGCGCTTTCTCTGTTGCGACCACCTGTGCTTGGGGTGGGGGGTGGGGGGTGGGGCGGGGGTGCGATATGTATGCGGCGCTTGGGCGACCACCTGTGCTTGGGGTGGGGGGTGGGGTGGGGGGGGGCGAATGAATGCGGCGCTTCTCTGTTGCGACCACCTGTGCTTGGGGTGGGGGGTGGGGGGTGGGGGAGGGGCCCATGAATGCGGCGCTTCTCTGTTGCGACCACCTGTGCTTGGGGTGGGGGGTGGGGGGTGGGGGGGGGGGGGCAATGAATGCGGCGCTTCTCTGTTGCGACCACCTGTGCTTGGGGTGGGGGGTGGGGGGTGGGGGGTGGGGGGGGGGCCAATGAATGCGGCGCTTCCATTTCTGCTGTCATGTGCACCATAGCCGACGGAGCCTCCAGCCTAGGTCATTTCAGCTTCTTCTCGTGTAATCCAAGCGTTCATTTTCGCATTATGTTTACGTGTTCCAACAAGCGGGGTTTTGGGCATATGTACTACGTGTGTTTTTTCCAGCATCCCACGACGGAGCCTCCAGCCTAGGTCATTTCAGCTTCTTCTCGTGTATTAGGTCAAAAAACGAACTTTTCGGGGACCCCCTTTGCACAGCCCATGTCGCAAGAAGTTTGAGTCAAATGAGGCAAACACACCGCAAATACCAGTGAATGTGCCTTCTCGCACTTCAAAACACGCAAAATGCTGTCGGTGACAGTTACACGGCTCCCAGAGAGCCGCTTGCCTAGTTTGAGGGTCCAGGAACATATTTTTGCTTTTCTCACCAAACGCGAAATCTTGAGGTTCCAAAACCTCAGGGGCCTTGCCAAAGGTGATGGTTGCCCTCGAGGGGCCCTGACTGGAGTTCCCAGTCGGAAAAGAAGACGGCCGCAAAAGCATAAAAGAATTCCCGAAAAGAGGTTTGGGTGGTGTTCTTTGAATAAACCCCCCCAACTTCGGCAAGAAGACAAGTCCCCTGCTCCCATCTTGCACCTCCCTAAACCCAAAAAACCTCCTTTCTTACACGAGACTTCCGAAAAAAAGAGGAGTTTGGCGCCCTTACCGTGGATGCACGAAATCCTGCACCTAAGAAGCCCTGGAATGATGATTCCCCTGTAAATACCAACCAACCATGGTTTTCCATGGCTTCCCAGTAATGCGGAGAGAAAAGAAAAAAAAGCAACCACAGATACCCCCTACTCCAAATACCCTCCTTTTTTAGGGTATGATGTCAACCCTCCACCAAAAAGGGAGGTATTTACCATGGAAACCCCAGGTTTTTCCAAAAATACCCTAGAAAAAGTGGGCATTTGGAGTAAGGGGTAGGCTCGGCGCCCTCCAATAGCCTCAGCGATCGATTTTTCGACCTCCCGCTGCCTGGCTTCCAGTCCTTTTCGATCACCTGGTCCAGCGCCATCTCCACCCTGCCCCGCGCGGTTCGTGTCTCTCTCGTCGCGGTTTTGTTTCTTGGCTCACGGCGGGGTCCGGTTGTTGCTCTCTTTTTGTTTAAAAATAGATATATATATATATTCTTTTGATCACTGAGCTTACACCCACCAGAGTCACCAGAGAAAAGAAAAACAAGTCAGAGGCTGATTTTGGGAACGGGATCAACTGGTGAGTATGGGCCGTTTGTTTTCTTCCCACAACGAGCATTCCCTGTGGTGGGTATGGGACGTTATTTTTACGAAAGATCCCCCTTGGGGTGGGGTTTACGACCAATGAGCTTGCCCATGGAAAGGAATTTCATCGGAGGTTTCTTTGGGGAACAATCCATATGGGCGTGGGTCAACACCAATGGTACCATTTTGGGGTTTTCGGTGCACCACCCATTTTAGAACCTATTCTAGTGGATGGATTGGGACGTTCACTGAGGGTACGACTTGGGTTTTGACCATAGCCATCTATTTTCATTGGGGATGGAAGCTTGGCGGACTCCAAATCTTTCACTTTGGGCCCCGAATCTCCGGCCACCCGAGGGCCGGCATGAAGGAACAAGCATCCGAATGCCAGAAAGATAGGTGTGGGCCGTCGTTTTCCTGGGCTGTTCCCAATTCCCCTGCTAAATAACAATAATAATGAAAATAATAATAATAATAATGATAATAAGAATAATAATAATAATACTAATAATACTACTACTACTAATAATAATAATAATAATAATAATAATAATAATAATAATAATAATAATAATAATAATAATAATAATAATAATAATAATAATAATATATATATATATATCTACCTGTTGGTGGTTGAGCTATGATTTTTCTTGAACCCCGCAAAAAAGAGAGTTGCCCGACAAAATGCAACTGGAAGTTTGATTCACCGCGCAGGCCAATCAGAATGAGGCTTGTAAGTTGGCCCACTTTCTCCGAAGACATAATCACCAGAGCCACGGGGAAGAAACTCTTCCTCTTGAAGTCTGTATATATATATATATACACCCTCCTGTCCACTAACATGGAACCTGACTGGGGGGTCCTGGAAGACTATGTTCCTTCAAAAAGCACCCTCTATTGGTTTCCGTGTTATTGGACAGGAGTCTATATCTGACCGCGGCACCAACACGAATGGGCAGCTTCTTGTTTGACCCCTCAATGCACTCATTCAAAGGGCCTCGAGATCAACTCAAAACAACACCTTGGGGTTCAAACCACCATTAAAAAAGTGGAGCGTCATGTTTCACCACCATTGTGTACCGTTCAGGATTCTCATCATCCAAACTGGGTCCCGAGGCCATTCTTTCCAGGGGGCGTTCGGAACCCTAGAAAGATCTGGAGGGTCCCAATCTTAAGTCACGCCCATATCCCAAGATTCCAAACCAAAGCAGGTTTAGAGGCTGGGGGGGTGTCTGCTTTGGGCAATTGGAACCTAAGCATCACAAGCAGCCCTCCTGCGACTCCGAGAGGGCTTTCAGAAATATAGGAACCGGCATAAATTGTGAATAGACATGGAATACTTGGATCAAAAAACAACATTGTTTTTTTGTTTAAAAAATCAGGAAAAACATTAAATACATTAAAACACATTAAAATAACATTAAACTGCCAGGATTTACATTCATTTTCGGGGACCGCACTCCAAGGCTCGATCTCCAACCCGCATCCAACCCGCCCCGCCTGTCCGTCCTGTCATCCGGCATGGCCGCTGCCTGGCGATTGAGCGGGGGGGTGAACCCCGTTCACCTCCTGTTTGTTTGTTTGTTTGGTTGGTTGGTTGTTTGTTTGTTTGTTTGCTTGTTTGTTTGCTTGCTTGTTTGCTTGTTTGTTTGCTTGTTTGGTTGTTTGTTTGCTTGTTTGTTATTGTTTGTTTGTTATTGTTTGTTTGTTTGCTTGTTTGTTTGTTTGATTTTTTGCTTGTTTGTTTGTTCGGTTGTTTGTTTGTTTGGTTGTTTGCTTGCTTGCTTGCTTGTTTGTTTGCTTGTTTGTTTGTTTGCTTGCTTGCTTGCTTGTTTGGTTGTTTGATTGTTTGTTTGATTGTTTGTTTGCTTGCTTGTTTGTTTGCTTGTTTGTTTGTTTGTTTGCTTGCTTGTTTGTTTGCTTGTTTGTTTGATTGTTTGTTTGCTTGATTGTTTGTTTGTTTGCTTGTTTGTTTGATTGGTTGTTTGTTTGCTTGTTTGTTTGTTTGATTGCTTGTGTGTTTGTTTGATTGCTTGTTTGTGTGTTTGTGTGTTTGTTTGCTTGTTTGATTGTTTTTTTGCCTGTGTTTATGTATGTTCCTGTAGATTTTCCGACCTACGTCAAAGGAGGACCCAAACACAACCCCCCCAAGTTGGATCAGGTCCTCGCTACCGGGAACCGCCCGTCCTCGCTACCGGGAACCGCCCACTTAAAAGGGGGATCCTTACATTATACACCTGAACATTGCCCTTGTAAATGGTGGTTTCCCTTCAATTTGGTACTGAAAAAGCAACATGTTTCAAATGGTTGCAAAATGGAGATCTTTGAAGGAGCCCTGTTGAAAGGGGGGCCCTTTTTTGTGTCGGCAAGGACGCCATGCTGGAAGACCACCCAGGGGTTGATGAAAAGGTCCTTCCCTTTACCTGGGATGACCACTGGTGGGGAAACCACGAAGAAAAGGTGATATGTGATATGTTCCAAGTGGGAAAAGTTACCCATGGTCATTGGCCGAAGGGAATATTGATCAAGCCCCACATAGTCGGACAGGTACAGAAGCCCACAGCGGGAAGTTCACCATCTTGCTTTCGAGTGCAAAATCTTAGAACTGGCCCCATGATTCTACCTGCATCCCATGATTGCCGCTGGCGTTTTGGCTGAGTCAAGGGCCTCAGGTTGTCCGTGTGGGTTGCTGCCCACAAAACAGCGTTTGCCAGCCAGAAACCTGCCGAAAGTTCCATGAAGCTGGGTGACTTCTAACAATCCACTTACCCAACATATGGGTGCCCGTGTTCGGTCGCGAACCACAAATTCGATGGGTGAGGTCGTTGTAATTTCGTCAGCACAATGTCCGCGAACCCCTTTGAAGAACAATTGAGTTGCCAAACGGACGCCAGGAACAATCGGACCGTGGCCCAATTGAAGGGAAACCCAAATAAGGATCTGATGCAAAGACATGCGAGCTAGCTCAAACCTGTCAGCAAATGAACTTGTCAGAAACACGCCAAAGGTCTCTTGTCGCACAGGGAAAACCAACAGGCCAAGCTTCTTAGATTCTGAGAACTCTCCCGTCCCTGCCTTCCGCCGGCAGCGCTTGCCCGTCTACTTTCACTAGACCCCAGCTTCGGCTTGTGGATTTCAACACACCTGCAGATATGTTGTGTGTATTTTTCTTCTCAGAGCCTCTTGGTTCGTCGCTTGCCCCCTAGCCGTGTTTGAACCGCACTGCGCGCGCCAGTCGAGATGCAAGACGCAGCCCTCACGTTTCCCTCGGTGGTTTGGATTGGTTTGGGGGATTGAACCCGTGGTTCTTGTAGAGGGTAAATGGGAAGCCAAACAACTTCATGGGGCAAACCAAGCGACTGGGGAAAAGTCCCAAAATGCCATCCAAATCAGGGTTCCCTACATATTCTTGAGTGGAATACAGCATCACTTAGGCCAGTGGAAAACTGAAAGACAACCTGGTGGCTTTATACAAAACATCGCCTTTTGCAGGGGTCACTAGATTTCCCAATCAAACGTTGATCAATTTCTTGGTGGTGTCCATTGAAACGATCCCCACTTTGGGAGGTTCACGGCTCGGAAACCCTGTTGTCGGCAACTCAAAGTAAGCTTGCTGTTCTGTTGCTGTTGCTGTTGCTGTTGCTGTTGCTGTTGCTGTTGCTGTTGCTGTTGCTGTTGCTGTTGCTGTTGCTGTTGCTGTTGCTGTTGTTGCTGTTGTTGCTGCTGCTGCTGCTGCTGCTGCTGCTGCTGCTGCTGCTGCTGCTGTGGTTGTGGTTGTGGTGGTTGTGGTTGTGGTTGTGGTTGCTGTTGCTGTTGCTGTTGCTGTTGCTGTTGCTGCTGCTGCTGTTGTGGTTGTGGTTGTGGTGGTTGTGGTGGTTGTGGTGGTTGTGGTTGTGGTTGTGGTTGTGGTTGTGGTTGTGGTTGTGGTTGCTGTTGCTGCTGCTGCTGCTGCTGCTGCTGCTGCTGCTGCTGCTGCTGCTGCTGCTGCTGCTGCTGCTGCTGCTGCTGTTGTGGTTGTGGTTGTGGTTGTGGTTGTGGTTGTGGTGGTTGTGGTTGTGGTTGTGGTGGTTGAGGATATCATGTAACCACTGCCCAAGGAGAAACGGGGACTATATCTCAACTGCACAGCCGCATGAAGATTAGACTACCATGGTCATTGTAGGGACCTTGTTCAGCCCACAATTCATCAAAGGGCACTTGAGAACTTGACCAACTACGGGCTCGGTGCCCTTTTTGCTGGATGAAGCAACCTCCATCTTCGGGCCCCGGCCCTTCTTTTCGGCGGCACAACTTCCCAAGCCGCAGTACTACAAGGCCCTTGTAATCTACCAGTAGAGTGGGGATACCCGCTTGAGTCATGATCACAGTACATCCAAGCGATGATTTCCTACTTGCTTGTTGCAAGAGCAGGCCACCTGAAGATGGTCGCCAGGCCCGAGTCAATGTGAACACTCCGCAAACAACCTACCCACCCATAGAACCCCCCCTGGGAGTCACCAAGATTCCAAGAAAGTCATTTAACCAAAAGAAGCAGGACATGGGTTGTCAAAACCCAACGCTTTTCGCTTTCCGCTGACCTTTGGTGTGAGGCGTTGCTCGGTCTCTGCGATTCGCGGCACCTCGCGGTACCGCCTGTTCAACGCGCGCGCAACTCGCTGCGCGCAAAGAGGGCAGTGGCCATGGGGCCCATCCAGAGGCACCTGTCTTCTGTTTTTCTGTTTTCTCCTTTGGGTGTCATTTTTCGAGGAGCACACTTTTTGGTGTTGCAGCTTAAAGCGAAACCAAATGGAAACCACAAATTCCATGGGGTGAAAGAACTATTTTGAGACAGAACCCATTTACAGCGCTTCAGTTGTTCTTATCTTACGCTCATTATCTTGGGCAGTTCCTTGCATTACAAATTATCTAAATCACTTTAGGCTGTAAATGAATGAAACCCAAGAAGCCAAAGGGAGAAAGATAAAAATCCATAATTACAACAAGACAAACAACTAATGAAGGGATGCCAGGCAAAAGAAATGTAAGTTAGAGATAAGATGAATGATGACCACAAAACTATGAAGATACAAAACATGTCTTGGTCATCAGGTGTCTACAGAATAACGATTTAATTCTGCGGTCTTGCGGATAAACTAGTAACTCCAAGAATAATGTGGGTGGACGAAATCCTGCACCACTTGGAAACCGTGCACAAACCAGTGCTTGTTGGTATTTACAAGGGAATCAAATCATTCCAGGGATTCTTAGGTGGTGCGTTTTATGGACTTTGTTTTCCCACATTGTGAAGACTATTTTGCCTTCTGTTTCCGCCTCTATGACCAGAGCTGTCTCTCTTCCAGGCCTCTCTGAATAAGGGGTGACGACCCAAACAGTGCGCCTTAGTGCCGTTTTCGAGACACCGAGATTCGCAGGCCACGACGCCTGCAAAGCAATAAAGCCGAGGAATTCAGTAAAAAAACACGGCTTTGTTTCGAAAAAGGCTGGCTCAAAGCAAGTAACAACATGGGGTCATGGCCCATGCAAGGCTGGCGACGAGCGACGCTTGTTCGGCCGCTCGTTCATTTCAAGGGGCGGCCCGGCCGCCAAGTACTTACAGAGGGGTCTAAATGAAAACACCCCAACCACAAGGAAAAGGAAAGACCAACGAATATGCCGGCCGCGGCCCCCCCTGCGCGAGAAAGGAGGCTTTCTCTCCGGCATGGCTCTCCCGCGCATCCAAAACCAGCCATCTGAATTCAGCCTCTTGCGTCCCAACCTCGCGGCTTGGCAGCGTCTGGGCCCCATCGACCCAAACCATGGGACTAGCCCTTGCTGGCCTTCCACCTGAGTCACTTGCTCAAAACCCGGTACAAAAATGGTCGACCCACCAGGCAAAAGGAATAAGAAGGTGGATATCCGCAGCTATTTATGTCTGGGATCCTCCCTTACAAACCTTCATCTACCCAGGTTTTGAGTGTGGCTCACCTGGGTTTGAGTGTCCAAGGGCGAGACAGGAAAGCGTTGGACCAAAAAGCCCGTTTGAAAGAAGCGGGCGGAAAGCAAGTGGCACAAGTCCGATGACTAAACGCGGAACTGGGGGAAGTGTGCCATCTACACCCAGCGCCCTCCGAAAAGCGTTCCCTCCCTTTGTGATCGAACTTCTTTCGCTGGACACGCGAAAAATCAGCGCTTGAGACAACAATGACTCCTTGAGCCACGTCTTGTTTGATCCCAAACAGAGCTCATAGGAACCAACCCATGTGGCTCGTCGCCCATGCCACGAATCATGCTTGAAGACGAACCGGGGTCCATGACCATCCCAACGTCAAAGCTGAAGCCTACAGCATTTGCCCCCCCCGCACCACTGTGAAACCGCGGGAAGGCATTGTTGGTTGGTATGTCACGGGGGAATCGAGTCATTCCGGGGTGTCATGGGTGGTGCGCTTTATGGATCTCGTCCATCCACAAAAGAACACCCCCCCAAACAGGCTCTTTTCCTCAAAGCCGAGCAACAAGCTCTACCCCTTTTAAGCCAAATCCATCCCCAAGACCAGCCACCCCACACCTCCCCCCCCCCACACCTCGCCCCCCCGCCTGCAGACCTCCCGGCCGGGGGCCCAGGCGGCCCCCAAGCGATCCAATCAGACGAGGCACTTCTTGAAGCCCTCCTCCAGCTCCTGCGGCGCTTCCGCGGCGCTGTTTGAACAAAGCCACGATGAGTTGTCTGGTTTCAGACCCAAAACAAGCAGCCAGGTTGGTTTCAGACCCAAAAAAAAAGCAGCCAACTTTGGTTTCAGACCCAAAAAAAAAGCAGCCAACTTTGGTTTCAGACCCAAAACAAAAGCAGCCAACTTTGGTTTCAGACCCAAAACAAAAGCAGCCAGGTTTGATGGATGGCAAAGGGTGTCTGTTGTCTGGTTTGTGTGGTAAAGGGTTTGGTTTGGTATGGAAATGATTGATGTTGTCGGGACCCAACAAAAAACAGCCAGGTTTGACCGGAAAGGGTTTGTATAAGCCTTGGCCCAGGGCACCTCTGAAATGGTTGGAATCCCCACCTAAATGAGGTCCACCAAAGGGTCCGGGACCCATCAAAATCCACACCCAGGTTCACTTGTTCGACAAGCGTATGGCCAGTTTCATTCACCCGTTCTTTCGAGAAATCGCGGAGAATCGGGCTTGGGAAGTTTCCTGCAAAGAAGAATCCCCGAAAAGACAGGCAAGGTACCGCTAGAGAAGCAGGTTCCTTCTAAAGTTGGACACCCAAAAACTCGGCACAGGGAAGTGGAAAGCGACTCTTTCCGCGAAATATGACGCCATCTCTTTGTAAGAGGGGCCCTCTTAGCATCACTCAAAAAAGTCCTAACACCCAACGTCCAATGCTTGAACCTCAAAAAGCTCATGGGCATCTTGTGAGGAACGGAGTCTCCCTTAAAGATGGGGGGCCTCCTTGACTTCCGATCTACGGCTTGATCGATTGAGGTGGTACCCTCCAAATGTTGCACACAGCCTCTGGGGAATTGCTGATGAGTCTGCTACGTGATGATGGTACTTGGCAAGTATGCTTGTCGCGACATATAGTATAGATGTGTCTCAAATAGGGGACCCCAAAATGGCGCCTTTGAACCCACTCTCAAAAGGAACGTACATCATATGAGCCACAGTCAATATCCCAACTGACACCGGACGTTGGTGAGTCCCCCACGTTTATCATAGTAATCTGTTGTTTGCTTGTGCATGTGTGTGTGTGTGATTCGTGGCATCTCTTTTACAGTAGATGACGGACCAGCTGCTCACATGATTGTGTAAATCTTACCATGCCGACGGCCGCTCATATTGGCCGCTCATATGATTGGCATTTCATTTCACGCCATACAACTCCAAAACCTTCTTTTCTTCCTCCTGGCCTGCCAAGCTCCCAAACCTAAGGGATCCCCGAGTAAGGCACCCATGGCTTTCCCTCCAATTCGAGCGCTTCCAAAGTGCGTCAAGTCTGGGAGACTCTTAGGGCGGTGCCCAGCACAAAGACCAGCAAAACCCTGCGGCTTGTTTCTTGTAAGACTTTGAGCAAACGCCCAGTTCGTTCACTTGCTCTTTCTGTTCTGTTCTGATCTTGTCTTTTGTCTTTGCTGTTCGTTTCTGTTGTGATCTTGCCTTTTTTGCCTGATCCTGTCATTGTCTTTTCTTTCCAGGATCTCAAGACAGTCAAGTGATCTGTGGCAACTGCGGATGGACCATGTGCCGTGGTTGCTTGTAAGCCCTCCAAACTTTAGGAATCCGGGGTTGACATAGGGCCCCAAGCTATCCCCGCAACAAGACGCCCCCAAACCGTTGTGATACATTTCGCCCTATTTGAGTTGTTTCCCTTACTAAGGCGTCTTTGGGTACTGTGGTAGTTGGGGTGTAATCTTGGTCGGGCAAAACTCCCTGACCTGTTGGTTTCCCTTCCTGTACCCCCCCTCTTTGCAAGCAAAGCTGAAACTGCGGAAAAGAGAAAAGAAACCAGCAAAAACCCACCGGGGCACGGCGGAGCCCCGCGCTCGCTCGTCTTTTTCTTCTTCTTTTTTCAGGCAGGTGCCATCGGTGAGCGGTCGAAACTCGGAGCCACGGGCCAGGCTCGGAAGCTCCGTGAACAGCCCCTTTACAGGTTGGTTTGAGGGTAAAACCGAGAAAAACCCCTAGGCCATTTTGGTGCCAAAACCCCAAAAGTTTTGCGACCCATAGTAGACCGAGAAAAACCGAAGCCATTTGGCTATTTTGGTGCAAAACCCCCCAAAAAATGCGACCCATAGTGGCATACTTGGGCGAGGGGCGCATTTGCCCTGTGAAGATGGGAACAAAAAAAAACCGGCCGGAAGCCTTCCAAAGCCAGGGTTGGCTTAGAGCTCCGTAGGCCAACCCCCCGCCCGAATAATTGGACACGAGTCGATTTCACATGGACGAGAGCCGTTCGTGAGATTTCCGTTCCAGGAAAGTCAGAGAACTCGTGCAAATCAAAAGTAAAACGGCGGGTGTTTGGATAAGAGAATGGAGAATCAACCCCTGGAAGAATTGCGCAAAGGCCAAAGGGGCACTCTAAAATGTCCTACACTATCACAAAAATGATCTGGACCTGGTGCAGCCATAGCCGGTTCTAGCACAAACAAGCACAAACAGACACCGAGAAGGAGCAACCAATCAGAACTCTTCAAGAGTCGGAGACAAACAAAGGAAAAATAAAAGAGCCAGAAGAGGGGGGCGACCCTCCATTCACTCTGAATGGATGAAAGCAAATCAACACCGAAAGGGTAAGAACTATGCCAGAAAACGGAACTTAAGAGACAGTCACACGCTTCGCTCTATGCAATCTGCGCTTGTTGTTGCGTTCTTCAGAGAAACGTGACACAGGACAAAGCTCCAGATATACACAAGCACTGTTGAAAGAAGAGTCCTTAGGAATTGAGTGCCTCGTATGACATGTGCCGCAGGGCAAACCAGACCAAGCGATGGGCCATGGACAATGGCCAAAACAAAGCTCCATTTGTCTTTCCAGGGTCTTCCCGGAAAGTTTTAAAGTGCAAACTCAGGAAGTGAGAAAGGGACACCGCCAACCAGTTTTTGACTTTCACCCCCGAAATTCTGAGCCCTTTGGATGCGCACCAACTCGCTGAACCAGAGGATTTGGCGCCGCTGGGTGTTTGAGGACCCTGCGGAAGAGGTGTACCAGTTCAAATGTTCGCAACCCAACGGGATTTGGGGTCTCAAAATCGGAGGAATGACTGGGAACGACGTCGGTTGTCCTTCGGGCTTCCTTCTACAACCACCCCAAAAGGGGCGCCCCCAAAGAATACGACGCCAATAGTCCTAAGCAGTTGAACATTTTCCACAACCGGAGTTGATTAAAAAACAATTTAAAAAAAAGGACGCGCACAACGTGCCAACACGACTTCTGGCAGGTTGTCACCGCAACAAAATGGTGTTATTTTGCCCCGGGAAGTCGGGATGTCATCCTTTCTCCAGTTCAAAGTGGGTGACACTATCAAGCTTCTTGTTGGGTGACAGTAAGGTGACAAATGGTTTCGATGCTGCGGTCCGAACCTATCTGAGTCCCATGGGAGATCAACATGGGGAGTCCCATCCGGAAGACTACAAGACCCAGTTTTCCGCAACCGTAGTCCTCTATGTGAGAGGAAGTGTGGTTATGTCTTAAAATATAGTGTCTCGGACCCCAAAAAATTGTGAGGTTCCTTTCGGTTTCCCTTTGTGACTCACCTTTTAACTCACCCAAGTCACCATGGAGGGTATGTGTACTAGGGAGTCGGACCCCCACAATGGTGGTGCTCCTACTCGTTTCCCTTTCAACCCGCCAAAAAGGGCCCCCTCACATGGCCATGGGTCAAAACCCCGTATCCCCAGTGAACATCCCAATCCCCACTAAAATAGGTTCTAAAATGGGTGGTGAATTCACCTATCCCAAAATGGGATCCCAAAACGGTTTTGAACCATACCCACAAATTCGCACACGCCCATGAAAAGCAACGACTTTCGAGTGCCTTCAGAGCTTGGCCGCGTCTATACAGGTGACTCCTCAGGCAGCCAGCCGCGAGGCCGCGAGAAAATTCGTTGAGACTCGCAGTGATGAAGGGGGTCACACTCTGAAGCCTGGGATCGAAGGGGACCCAAAAACCCTTCGTAAATTGTGGCGCCTCCTGATTTGTTTTTTGCTTTTCATTCCAACCAGAAGCGGATTCCCCCAACCCAAACTGACCATAGACTGGAAAAAAAGGTTCATCGAACCAATTCGGATGGGTTCGGGAACAAGTCAGCTCTTTTCGGGTTTCAAAAAAACAAAGCACCTAATCGTCCTTTGGGTGAACAGCCCCCGGGATCACAAGAAGTCAGAAAAACCGCGGCGATCCATGGCCAAAGTCGTAGCGACCTCAAGTGGTGGACATGAATCCCCCCCAAAAAAGTGGTGGATGTCCACCAAGGCGGTTCTGGCTAAATTCCTCACCTGCTGGCAAAGGCACTGTCCCTGGCTTTCAACTTCATCCACCTGCTCGGATTTGATGGCTCACCTAGTCTTTGATCATTTCCGCTGGAGTTGCCGCTCAACCTGGGTCTTAAGCAAGGTTTAAGCCGTGAAGAAGGTCTTTCTCCACTATGGATGTCTTTCTTAGGGGACCCTCCAAAAAACGTGGTCTTGCTGCACTCATCTGGGGGTTCCTCAGGGAAAACTGGCGGAAGGACCTTCGGTCACTGCGAGTGGTCTCGGTGCTGCGAAAAGACCACGGAAGATTTGGGCACCTGCCTCTTTGGGCGCAGGAACATATTCATTCCAGTGCCCCGTCCTTTGATTACCCTTTGGAAGTCGCCAAGTTACGCTGAAGAGTGGATGGCCCGAGCAAAGTCGATCTTCCCAGACAGCTTGGTCCAGACACTTGGAGAAAAAAGACACGTTTGGAGCCCACCGGGTGGCCAGGGTTCCATTCAGCTGGAGCATTTTGAAAGGGAGTAAAGGATCCAGACCCCAAGTGAACTCCCACGGAAAAACCCCATGGCACGTTTGAGAAATCTCCCGTTGGTGGTTCCAATTTGCAAGGGAGTCTGCCGAAAAGAACCGCTGCCAAGGGAAGGATCTGGCAGATTGCCTTTTTGCAGAGCCCATTCAGCTACCCTCTCGTTGGTGGCTTGGATTAGTGGCTTGGTGGTTAGGTAGTTTCCCAGTTACCCTGTACATCACCCAGGGGTTCAAATCCCCTTGTCAAAAAACTAACTTGGACCCTTTCGACCTTGCTTAATCAGCCTTTTGTCGCCATACATGACCTTTGGTAACATAGACCTGGCAAAGCGGAAGGAAACCAACTTCTAAACCAGTGGAACCCATCTACTTCCAACCAAAAGGACACCTGTGTGCAGGGCTGTGGGAAAACAATAAAAAGGGATTCCCAAAGACTAACCCCCCATATAAAGGGGGAGATTCCCTTGTATCACAGAAGTGGTTGGAAAAACCCCGAGTGATCCCACAACCCTGTCCAGGAGCCTTTGCAACTTTGACCCTTCTCGGGCCAGCGATTCGCCCCATCAGCCAGAAGCCGCCGGCTCAGTGGCGCCCGCGTGCCTGCGAGCTCTCAACTTGGCCGAGTGCAAAGTTCATTTTTGGCACCCGCCGTTCAGAAACCCTGGCGGGTGATGTTTCCCCTGTAAGTACCATGCAAGGTTGATGATTCCCCTGAAAATACCAACAAACAATGGCTTCAACCCTGTTGATGATGCCCGGTTTCTGATACCCTCCCACCGACTAACATGGAAGTCCACAGACCCCTGTAAAAAGACTACGTTCCTCTTGGAACGGGACTTTGTGCACTTCCATGTAGTTGGTGGGTGATGTGGGTGAGTAAAATACCCTGCAACAAACAATGGTTTCAACCACGGTTTCAAAGCGGTGTGAACAAAATTTCGTCCCTCCACAGTATTTAGGGGCATCCACTGTAGTTGGTTTACTTGCAATGTTTAGGGCTTCCACCGCAACTGGGGTTTGCTTGGTTTATACCCCCCTCCCATATTCATATATCACACGTGGCCAAGTAGAGCAGATTGATTGAATAGTATTGGGTGAAAAACGCTGAGGTTGGGGCGAACCCTTGTTGGCAGCTTCGAAAGGCTTCCCTGGCGGAGATCCATTCAAGACGGGTCAAGATGCCCGGAACACAACTCAAACTGAGCCAGGGTGCTGCTCTGAATTCCTTCCCCTTGAACATCCTGGGGCTACCTCCAGGAGTTCCACAGTAAGCAGAGCCTCTGAAGGGATGAAGAAACGGTCCCATGAAATGGACATGGACAAATTGCAACGATCCGAGTCGATTCTGTTGGTCCCCGCATAAGTCCTGAAGCTTGATCCAAAGGGACGCCCTTGCTTCAATCAACTCATTTCCTGAGGCTCTGAAAAAAGTGTGCGGCCGAGAGCGAACACCTGAATTAAAAGAAACTCAAATAAGAGAGACCCGTGGTCCTCTACGCGAACACAAGGAATACCTGGCCGCTTCATGGGGAGTTTTCAGGGGGAGGGTTGTGGGCTTCGAAAGGTGCAGACCCTGAGGGCCAAGCTAAAAAACATGATTCACAGTTTGCCAGATTCTCTCGGCCCAGTGGGTCGAAAGACTTTCTGGAACCCCAGGTCCGGGCCCTCACCTCACGTCTGACGAAAAAGGAGTTCATTTACTTCATCATCTCACTTCAAACGAAAGAGGCCGTGGTCAAAACTGATTCCCCCGCTCTTCCCCCGCTCGAAGATCTTTAAACCGACGCCCCAGACCTGGCCATGGAGAAAACAAAAAGAGTCCCCCCCCCCCCGCTGAAATCGGGGGCGGGGGGCGGGGGGGAAGGGGGAGACTGACGGACGGGGCAAGCCCCCCCCCGCCTCACGAGCGCCGCGAGGACCTGGCAAACGAAGCAAAACGTTCGGGTGGAGCTGCTGGAGTTGTGATTAAATCCTCAAGCCCCCCATCGAGTGGACCGGCCGGGGGGGAAAACAACCGCGGGTTTGGTGTGTACAGATATATAGATATGTATAAATGGATATTATATATATACGTATATATGTAAATTGTCAGTGTGTATATAAATATATGTATGTATCTATATCTATATGTAGATATAGGTATAGATGTATGACGGGCAATCAGCCACAAAGTTCTCTGAATGTCCGAACAATAGCAAATACAAAAGAAGTACAGCATGAGATGCAAACCAAAAATACAACCAGAGAAACATCCCGGAAGCCAAAGTACAAAATAAATACACCTTGTTGTGCAACTACAGACTGCCCGGCAAACCGACTTCGACCCCGTCCCGACGCATGCCCGGAGGGAGTCCAACACAGAGACAGCACACGCACAGGCATCCATACCGGCACGCATATGTGACTTGCTGCCTTGGGCTTTTTTGAGAAGTACCAAGACAAGTTTTAGGTCACAACCTTTCGCCGGCCAGTGTAATTTGCTTGCATTTGCGTTTGTATTTCGAAATTGGTGGTCCCTGGGCAGTGTAGTTTATGTGTATCTCTTGTTTGTGTACTTTGTGCTTGTATTCCATGTTGTATTTTTGTACTCCAGTGACCTAGCGCTAGTACTGGGAAAGGTTGCGACCTGAAACTTGTCTTGATACTTGTCACAAAAGCTCAAGGCAGCAAGTCACATATGCGTGCGCGTATGGATGCCTATGCGTGTGCTGTCTCTGTGTTGGACTCCCTCCCGGCATGCGTCAGGGCGGGGTCGAAGTCGGTTTGCCGGGAAGTCTGTAGTTGCACAACAAGGTGTATTTATTTTGTACTTTGGCTTCCGGGATGTTTCTCTGGGTGTATTTTAGTTTGCATCTCATGTGTACTTGTTGTGTACATTTCACTAGACTTATGTTTGCAGTGTTTGCCTAGGTTTGCCCATCGATATTGTAGATATATCAATATATGATGAGGTGGGTTTAAAGGGAAACCATAGAGAACCAACTTGCGATCGGTGCGAAATCGGTAGTGAATGAGCAATGGAACGAGCCGGAAGGGGATTCCCTCAAAGGAAACCACCAGTTGGATGGTTTATCGGGGTGATTCCCTCAGTCCCTACCGAGAACCTGCAAGAAAGCTAAGCAGGAACTTTTTATTTACCACCAAACCGATACCCCCAAAAGGTGACCAAAGTCCGAAACGGAACTCAGGAAGTGAGTCATACGAATCGGAGCCCCCCAAATGGCGCAACGGACATGTCCTTTGAGTTTCCCTTTCAAGCCAGATTCCTTCGAATTGGTGCTTTGTAGGTTGGTGGTGGTTTGGTGGTTTGGCTTCAACAGGAGAAATTCTGGCCCTAAAGCAGCTTCCCTCAAAACGGTGGTTTGGGTTTGTGGTTTGGAGGTGTTTCGGGTTGGTTTCCCACTTCTATAAGAACCAGGGGTTCAAATCACCAAATCACCAATCCAAACCGTCTGCTACAGGCACAAGGAACAACCCTGACTTATACGACGGCTTACAAAGCAATGCCTGGTAATTCAGCTTATACTTGCCCCCCCCCCCCTGCCAACAAGAAAAGTGGCATCCCCAACTGCCCCGAACACTCTGAAACCCCTAGAATTCTCCGGAACCCTTCGGAAGCCTCCGGAACCCTCCCTGCTTCGAACTCCCCCAAACCCTACCCCGCAGCTTTCGTTTGTTGCGGAAAAAAACAGTGTTTGTACGGAAGACAGAAGGAAACTTGCCGTTTGCAGGAGTTGTCGGGTTTGGGACGCCCAATTCAGCACACGTTTTTGGAAACACGGTCAAACTGAAGGCAATCAGTGACTTGATACAGCACATCATACTTGCACCCAAGCCATCGCAAATGACAAGGATGCAGGGTTCGTCGAGTGACACTCCTGGGAAAACATGCCACCGAGTCAGTCTGGGTCCTTCTGAACTACGTTTGATTCTACAAATACCTCCGGCACCACAAACTCTCTGCTGCGTGGTTTGTTGATGCCTTGCTAAGCAACATACCTCACCACAAACTCTCTGCGTCGTTTCTTGAACATACCTGGGCTGTCCAAATCCTGAACGCCATCCTGACAAACCACTGGAAACCTGAACTGGAAACCTTTTGCGGCTGAACTGGAAACCCAGCACTAAACAGGGATCCTTACATTATACACCTGAACATTGCCTTGTAAATGGTGGTGTCCCCTTATTTTGGTGGAAAAAGCCATGTTTCAAATGGGCAAAATGGAGATCTTTTAAGGAGCCCTGCCAAACCAACTGAAAAACCCTCAAAACCAGCGCTAAGGAAACGGACGGCTGGTTGCGAGGCGCGAAGAAAGACCTTCATAAACCTCTGCTCCACATAGGTGGCCTTTGGGTTAAAAATAGATTTTGTTTTTTTGGTAAATGGAAGAAAACCCATCTAAACCAGTGGAACCCATGAATTAACCAAACTCACCGATCAAAACTTTCTGCTCCCCTGCTAAAAGTGAATAAGTTTTAGTGGTTTAATTCGGAAACCCATTCGTTGGCAAAAAGTTAAAGTACCAACATCCAAGCACAACGCACCAAGTTCATACACCTATACTCCATCTACTCTTCGCACGCTTTGGGGCGCCGGTGCTCGGTGCCGCGCCTCCTTCTGCGCATCGAAGCCGTCGCTGCGATTCACCAGGAAGGCCGCGACCAACTGAGTTCCGCGGCGCGGACAGAAACAAATCCATCGCTTCCATTTGCGTGTTCGCCTCCTGGAAACTTCCAGTGATCATAGGTGTCCTTTTTGGGAAAATAGATGGGTTTCCCTGGTCAACGGAATCAAACCCACCTAAACCAGTGCCATCCATTTCTAGCCAAAATCACCTCAACAGGACGCCTATGATAGTGAAATCGATTCCCTTTAAAACCAACAGGGGAAAATAAACATATTTTCAGATGGAAGAATTGGTTCCCTCCCCAAAAAACCGTGGAGCAAGTGAGAACCTGCGGGTGTATCTCCACATAGGGACACCGCTTTTCATGGTTTTCCTTTGGGTTTCGCTGACAACAGCCTCAACTCACTTGCCCAAAGGACCTGGAATAAAAGGTCCATGCGTGACCTTGACGATGGTTAACAGGAAAAACCAACATGTCAGACTAGGTCCTCCAGTAGAGAGGTTAGAATAGGGGCACCAACTTTGTTTCTGTCTATTCTCGTAGGGGAACCCTCCCCCAAAACAGTTGGTACCAGGGCACTACTGGGGGACCTGGCAGACTTTTGCCAATTCGCTGGCAACTGCGTCAAGCACGTCCATTTGGTGAAGCCCTGGACACAATGACAACACTTCCAGTATTGACAGATTCCCCTTCAAATTAAAGAATAAACTTGGAAAAAAAAGGGGAAGACAAAAAATTCCGAAAACAAACGACTCCCCTTCAAACAAAAAAGGAAAATCAGAAGAAACCAGGAAAGTTCCCTCTACCCACGGAGTGTCCCAATCATCCACCTCCTTTGCTTCGTCCCTTCGCTCCGTGAAGCCGAAAATGGGGAAATCTATGGTCCGGTGACAAACTCCCATTAACATGCAGAGGAAAAGCCATGAAAAGCCATGAAAAGCCATGAAAACTCCCCTTAAAAGCCATGAAAATCGGTGATTTGTGTTGAAAAGGGGGAAATCAGGGAAGTTTTACTTTTTCTGAGAAAACATGCCGAAGCGGCGAAAGATCGAGACATCTTCAGAGTAAATGATGCCCGGCACAACTGGTGTCCCTTTCACCTCCTATTGGCACTCGAGAAAAGAAACGGCAATAAACTCAAAAATCAACAGAGACCAACCGAGAATCAATAGAAACCAACCCAATACTAACAGAATGGCCTTGGGTAGGACCCAATTTGGACGCTCATCCTTGGTGGGGAATCAGATCGCTGTTCTTCCATTTGCTTAAGCCCCCTGAAAAAAATTAAAAATGTTCCAACAGTGATAGATTCCCTTTAAACCAACAGGGCAAAATAAATATTCCTTTCAGCAAGTGGAAGTGTTGGAGGACAAGGAAGCCCCGTTGGATCCCACGCGATGATATGTTGTCTTTATGTACATAATTGGTTCATTTGGTTGTTTTGAATCAATTTTGATTATTGATTCATCTGGATTATTAATTTTATTGTCTACTTTTGTTGTGGTTGTCATTATTTTTCTTTTGAAGGAATTGATTGAAAATAATTTTGGATGGTCGGCCCTTTTTTGCAGTTCGACTAGTTTAGCTAGCAACAATGAATCTGAACATGTTTTACAACATGCATTTTTATTGTTTTAGGGGTTAAATGTTTTTAGAAACAACAAATATATGGTGTTATACGTACAAAATCTATGACTTTCTGTCATTTGCTGTTGTCTTATTTTTTTTTAACTCTAATTTTCCTTTTCTATTGTTCTTTAACATAACAATAGCTGTTTTTCATGTTTGTTTATGTTCTTTAACATAACCTGATTTTTTCCTTCTTCACTCGGCTTTCTTTCTTTTGGCCAGGCGCCGGCCGTGCGCCCGGCAGCACCGCCACCACGGAGCCGTTGGAGGCGCAGTGCCCCAGCGCCCGAGCCGTGCCATCGGGCCTCGGTCTCGAGTGGGGCGGGGGTGGTTGGCGGGGGTGTGGGGGGTGGGGGGGGTGGTGGGGGTGTTGGGGGTGGGGGTGTTGGGGCGGTGTGGGGGGTGGGGGGGGTGTTGGGGGTGTTGGGGGTGGGGGTGTTGGGGCGGTGTGGGGGGTGGCGGGGGTGTTGGGGGGGGGTGTTGGGGCGGTGTGGGGGGTGGGGGGGGTGTTTGGGGGTGTTGGGGGTGGGGGTGTTGGGGCGGTGTTGGGGTGGTGGGGGTGGTGGGGGTGTTGGGGGTGGGGGTGTGTTGGGGCGGTGTGGGGGGGGGGGGGTGTTGGTGTTGGGGGTGGGGGTGTTGGGGCGGTGTGGGGGGCTGGGGTGGTGGGGGTGGGGTGGGGTGTTGGGGTGTTGGGTGTGGGGATGGTGGGGGGTTGGGCGGTGTGGGGGTGGGGGGGGGTGTTGGGGTGTTGGGGGTGGGGGTGTTGGGGCGGTGTGGGGGGTGGGGGTGTTGGGGGTGTTGGGGGTGGGGGTGTTGGGGCGGTGTGGGGGGTGGTGGGGGTGTTGGGGGTGGGGGTGTTGGGGGTGGGGGTGTTGGGGTGGTGGGGGGGGTGTTGGGGGTGTTGGGGGTGGTGGGGGTGTTGGGGCGGTGTGGGGGGTGGGGGGTGTTGGGGGTATTGGGGGTGGGGGTGTTGGGGCGGTAACTCAAATATAAAAAGCTCTTAAGATTAATAAATATATATATATATATATATCAATATAATATTACATTCTTTGTTGAATATTTTTTATCTCAATCTCAATCGCTCCGTCGGGTCTCTTGCCCGGACAAAAAAAAAAGGGTCAAAAGCCCTGGCTGCGCTGCTCCGAGTGCCCAGTGTTGTCATCCGACGAGTCGGCCCAGTGCTTCCTCGCCTTGCTTGCCTTGGCCTTGCTTGCCTTGGCCTTGCTTGCCTTGCTGTGGTGCTTCGGTCTCGCTGCCGCTTTGCTTGCGAGCCCCTGAGCTGCTGCTGCTCTTGCGGCTGCTCTTGCGGCTTTCGCGCTGCCCGAGCTGCTTGCGCTGCCCGAGCTGCTTGTGCTGCTGTCAGCGCGTGCTGCTTCTTTTTCTTTTCCTCCCCCCTCCAGATCCTTGATGGGCTCTGCACCTCCGCATCCTCCAGCCTCCTTTGACCTCCTGCTTCAGCACGAGCATCTGCCGCCTCCAGCTCCTGGATGGCCTGAACCTCCTGCTCCTTTGCCTCCTCCTGCTTCTTCAGGTTTGCCTCTTTCCTCTCCTGCTCCTGCTGTTCCCATGCGGCGAGTGAGGCCGGAAGCTTTTTCCGGTTTTTTCCCAGCGCTGCCAGCGGTGCCAGCGGTGCTGGCTCTCCTCTGTCTTGTTTTGTCTTCGGCCGAAATCTGTAAACACGCTTCCCCCCGCTTGCCCCCTCGTATGGCTTTCGTGCCTTGACTTGGCTCAGGCAGCGCAGGCATGCCTGAGCCACTTGCGGCCAGGTCAAAAAGGCCGGCGGAGCCAGCTGCTTTCCAAAAATCCTTTTCTTTTTCCCCTCTTGCTCCTCCTGCTCCTCCTGACAGAGCTTCTCTTCCAGCCTTTTCTTCACCTCCTCTAGCGCTTTATGCGCTGGCGTCCTTCTTTTTCTTCCTCCTTCTTTTTCTTGCTTGTGGGGGGTGGGGGGGGTGTTGGGGGTGTTGGGGGTGGGGGTGTTGGGGCGGTGTGGGGGGTGGTGGGGGTGTTGGGGGTGGGGGTGTTGGGGTGGTGTGGGGGGTGGGGGGTGTTGAAGTGTGTGGGGGGTGGTGGGGGTGTTGGGGGTGGGGGGTTGGGGCGGGTGGTGGGGGAGGTGTTGGGGGTGTTGGGGGTGTTGGGGGTGGGGGGGGTGTTGGGGGGTTGGGGGGGGGGGGGGTGGGGGGGTGTGGGGGTGTGGTGGGGGTGGGGGTGTTTGGGGGCGTGTTGGGGCGGGTGTGGGGGGTGGGGGGGGTGTGGGGGTGGGGGTGTTGGGGGTGGGGGTTTTGGGGCGGTGTGGGGGGTGGGGGGGGGTGGGTGGGGGTGTTGGGGGTGTCAGGGGGTGGGGGTGTTGGGGGCGGTGTGGGGGGGGGGTGGGGTGTTGGGGGTTGGGGGTGGGGGGTGTTGGGGCTGGGTGTGTTGGGGTGGGGTGTTGGGTGTGGGGGGTGGGGATGTTGGGGTGGGGGTGGGGTGGTGGGGGGTGGGGGGTGGGGGTGTTGGGGCGGGGGGTGGGGGTGGGGTGTTGGGGGTGTGGGGGGTGGGGGTGTTGGGGGGTTGGGGTGTGGGGGGTGGGGGGGTGTTGGGGGTGTTGGGGGGTGGGGGTGTTGGGTGGGGGGGTGTGGGGGGTGTTGGGGGTGGGGGGGGGATGGGGGGGTGTTGGGGGTGGGGGTTGGGGTGGGGGGTGTGGGGGGTGGGGGGGGTCAGGTGTTGGGGGTGGGGGTGTTGGGGGGGAGGTGTGGGGGGTGGGGGGGGTGGGGGGGGTGGGGGTGTTGGGGGGGTGTTGGGGCGGTGTGGGGGGTGGGGGGGGTGTTGGGGTGTGGGGGGTGGTGGGGGTGTTGGGGGTGGGGGTGTTGGGGCGGTGTGGGGGGTGGGGGTGTTGGGGGTGTTGGGGGTGGGGGTGTTGGGGCGGTGTGGGGGGTGGGGGGGGTGTTGGGGGTGGGGGTGTTGGGGTGGTGGGGGGGATGGGGGGGGTGTTGGGGGTGTTGGGGGTGGGGGTGTTGGGGCGTGTTGGGGTTGAGGGTGTTGGGGGTGGGGGTGTTGGGGCGGTGTGGGGGGTGGGGGGGGTGTTGGGGGTGGGGGTGTTGGGGTGGTGGGGGAAGGGATCCGAGCCCAGGGGAAGAAGTCGCAGATCTGCGTGTGGGGTTCCGGTCTGCCAGTTTTGCTTTAAAACATTCTTCCGGCGCAGACCCCAAACAGATTGCAAAAACACAATGATGCACTACACAGGTTAAGCCAGTTTTGCTTAAAAAAAAAAACTGCATTCAGGGGAGCCATATATCATATATCTGCAACATCTGATCCCAGGCTTGTTCTTTCGGTCCATAGACTCCCTCAGACGAACAGCCGGAAGCTCTCAGGCCGATTGGGGTCTTCCAAAGGGGTCCGTTCGGGAGCTTCCACGTTAGTCTGGGGGAGGGTAGATCTGCAAGTGATGCTTAAAAAAAAAAAAAAAACGCAAGCTGAATTAAGTGATCCCCTGCTGTCAACTAACATGGCACCCAGCAGGGTCTTTCTCAAAGGAAAGTAGTCTTTCAACACCCATCAGGTTCCATGCTACTGGACAGGATGCTGTGTTTTGAGGGTCTAAACCAAGGCTGCCCAAAGACTACCCCCTGTAAAAACGAAGATTCCTTTGCACCACAGGGGATAAACCCCGGGTGATCCCACTGATCAAAAGCCGCTATGTCTACCTCCGGGCTGCAACGAGGTTCCGCCAGGCGGCAAGGTCAGCAGCTGCAAGCCCAAGCCCCACCTCGAACGCTTTGCAGGATGTCGAACGCATGTGGTTGGAGGCTGGCTTTTTGGCGTGGCAGCTGTGGGTTTCAAATAAATGGGCCTGCCCTTTTTGGGGGGGGAAACCAAGAGGATAGAAAACCCACCATTTTGGGGGAGTCCACTATAACAAGAAGCACCAAATGAAGCAAGGAAGACTCTCGCCCAAAGATCTCCCTGGACTTTGGAAGGCTTAGTTCCATCATATGCCTGGGAACTTCCATTGAATCAATCGCCTGGAGGGTACGTTACCAATACTGTGGGTGGACGAAATCCATTTTGCACCACTTGGGATAGATAAAAATCCAGTACATAACCGGATAAACCACCTACCAACTGATGCAGGATTTCGTCCATCCACAGCATTGATTGATAGAATCTGTTGTTTCTGCATGACACGGCAAACCGAAAGGAGGCCATTCCCATTTGAAGCAGGGCAAACTCATTTCAGGCTGCTGGATGTGGAGACTACAGAATCATCCTATGCAAGCAGCCCTCCGCGGATAAGCAGTACAAAAGCTAGTGGGAATCGTATTCTGGGCGCTCCAAAAAAACAATTTCAGTTTCAGCTATAGGAGCAACATGCGGAAAAAAATGGAAACATCAAATTTCCAGGTGGAAATTATGTAGTTTTCAAACCCTTCATACTAACCTGAAGAAATATGGTCGGTAATGCTTTCCGTATCTTGTCTTAAAACAAAGGAACCCTCAAACTGGTGGTGTCCGGTTCGTTTCCCTTTAAAACCACCCCCAAAAGGGCACCAACTCAAGAAAGACGAGCCACCCAATATGATGTGATTCGACCGATTCAATCCCAACCCATGCCCCAGAAACCGAACGGTTCGAAGGGCTGAAAACCTCAATCTCTCACCTCCTGTAGAGTCGCTGCAGGCGATTCCATGACAGTTCCATTTGACATGGATTTCTCGTAAACAGAGGAATCGAGAGGGAAGTGGATGACTCGGGACATTTGGAAGACTTGCTTCCGTTTACAGAGGCAAATTGGGGGGAGCTTCCGTCATAGTCTGAGGGAGTGTGAATAGCACACACACACACACTAAGATGGCTGCCATTACTGCTACAACAAAAGTCCTGCGGCTTTTTTTTTTGTTTTTTTTTTTTTGGGGGGGGGGGCACAGAACACCCCCTTAGATACGGGGGATGCCCCTGCGGCTTCCCTTGGAAGACGGTGGGATGTTGGGGCTTAGGAGCATTGACGGTGCAACTCAGTGGTTCCTTGATCCTTCGCTAAAAGTGAAACATTTAGTCATAAAACCCTGAAAAGTCTAAAAAGCAAAAAGTCCCTCCTCAAGGGGAATCCAGCTCACGTAGACGATTTGGCAACTCATATGACTCCACTGCACTTTTCACATGGGACCCCAACGCCATCAGAGGAATCGTCTTTTGTGGGAAGTGGTCCCTTCCATGAATTTGCGAGCCTTCGCCTGCGGAGGAATCCCTCCTTGTTGGATTCCTCCATCTATTCGGGTTTGTGCCGGAAGAAATGGCCCCATTTGCTACACAAATCCCCAAGCTGCTGAAAAAAACCAGCAATTCACAATGGGTGCGGATTTATTTTGGGATTTTTTTTCGTTTTGTTTTGGGAATTTTTTTCGGTTTTCGTCCGGGCCAGCAAAATGTCGTTTGTTACTGCATTTTCTCGCGAAATTGACGCATTTTACACTAGCTCGTCAACATCCCCAGCAGCGTTTTCAACATCCCCCGCATGTCCGACCAACATCCCTAGCATCACCAACAAATCGTGGGTAACAAAATCCAAAAATGTAGCTGGCGGGTTGACGGGGTCAAAACAATGATGCTTCAAACAGGAGGGCATTTCAATCCCAGCAAAAAAAATACAAAAAAACAATTAAGAAAAACAGAGCGGGGTAGTGATGATTCGAACAGGGGTGCAATTAAATCTCTGCAAAAAGTCTAAAAAGTAGCGGGGGGGTTGGAAGAATTGATGATTCAACTAGGGGTGCAATTAATTAAATCTCTGTAGAAAATCTAAAACGTAGCGGGGGGGTTGGGGGGGGGCGGCAGCCCCCCCATGATGTCGGAAGAAGTGGTGATTCAAGTAGGGGTGCAATGATTCAAGAAAGGGTGTGATAGAATTTAAAAGGCAGCGGGAGGGTTGGCGGGGGTGGCTTCCCCTATGATGTTCGAAGAAATGCATACAGACAGACATACACGGACTACACAGATTACCTAAAATGTCGTATTTTGCAGCATTTTCTCGCGAAATTGGATGCTCGAAAAAGTGATGATTCAAACAGGGGTGCAATTCAATCTCTGCCGGGCCAGTAAAGTGTCGTATTTTACAGCATGTTCTCGCGAAATATACCCCGCATGTCCCACCAACATCCCTAGCATCACCCACAAATCGTGTGACGGGGTCAAAGAAATGATGATTCAAGTAGGAGGGCATGTCAATCCCAGAAGTGATGATTTGAATAGGGGTGCAATTAAATCTCTGCAAAAAGTCTAAAAAGTAGCGGGGGGGTTGGGGGGGGCGGCAGCCCCCCCCATGATGGTTCAAGAATTGATGATTCAACTAGGGGTGCAACCCCCCCATGATGTTCGAAGAATTGATGATTCAACTAGGGGTGCAATTAATTAAATCTCTGTCGAAAATCTAAACGTAGCGGGGGGGGTTGGGGGGGGGCGGCAGCCCCCCCATGAGGTCGGAAGAAGTGGTGATTCAAGTAGGGGTGCAATGATTCAAGAAAGGGTGTGATAGAATTTACAAGGCAGCGGGAGGGTTGGCGGGGGTGGCTACCTAAAATGTCGTATTTTGCAGCATTTTCTCGCGAAATTGGATGCTCGAAAAAGTGATGATTCAAACAGGGGTGCAATTCAATCTCTGCCGGGCCAGTAAAGTGTCGTATTTTACAGCATGTTCTCGCGAAATATACCCCGCATGTCCCACCAACATCCCTAGCATCACCCACAAATCGTGTGACGGGGTCAAAGAAATGATGATTCAAGTAGGAGGGCATGTCAATCCCAGAAGTGATGATTTGAATAGGGGTGCAATTAAATCTCTGCAAAAAGTCTAAAAAGTAGCGGGGGGGTTGGGGGGGGCGGCAGCCCCCCCCATGATGGTTCAAGAATTGATGATTCAACTAGGGGTGCAACCCCCCCATGATGTTCGAAGAATTGATGATTCAACTAGGGGTGCAACTAATTAAATCTCTGCAGAAAATCTAAAACGTAGCGGGGGGGTTGGGGGGGGCGGCAGCCCCCCCCATGATGTCGGAAAAACGCCACCTGCCGAAGAGGAACTGGGAATGCAGAGGATGCGAAAAGCCAAAAAGCCACCAAAAGCCGCATAAACCAGCAAAAAGCCGAAAAGCCTAGAAGCCCAGAAGCCGAGAAGCCAAGAAGCCGAAAAGCCAAAAGCCAAGAAGCCAAGAAGCCAAGAAGCCAAGAAGCCAAGAAGCCAAGAAGCCCAGAAGCCGAGAAGCCGAGAAGCCAAGAAGCCAAGAAGCCGAAAAGCCAAGAAGCCAAGAAGCCGAGAAGCCGAGAAGCCAAGAAGCCAAGAAGCCAAGAAGCCAAGAAGCCAAGAAGCCAAGAAGCCAAGAAGCCAAGAAGCGAAAAAAAATCCAAAAAAAAACGAAAAAAATTCCTAAAATAAATACCCCTCCATTCACAATTCACCCGAAGAGTTTCACCATCTCCAAAACTTGAGTGATTCCCTGGAGAGCGAACCACCAGTTGGATGGTTTATCTTGGGGTCATTCCATTTCTCCCTCCCTGCATCGATGTCGCACCAGCGAGATATTGGGATTTCCTTTGCTCAAGGGATGGTTTATAAGGGTCCTTCCCTCATTCCCTGTTGAGCACCAGCGAGTTATATCGGGGATCCTTCGCTCTAAAAGAACCTTCGGCTTGGGCGAGGACTCCGCTTCCCTGAAGCACTCCAGGTGGTGCGGCATGCGGGTTGCCTCCCCTAGCCGAATGAGGGATCGATTTGTTTGGGATCCCAAAGTTCAAAATGTTGGTGTGACATGGCCATGGGTCAAAATCCAAATCGTACCCCCAGTGAACATCCCAATCCAACCACTAAAACAGGTTCTAAAATGGGTGGTGCACCGAAAACCCCAAAATGGTACCATTGGTGTTGAGCCACAGCCACATCTCGGCAAACCCTTTGGGGTGTTGAAAGGTCATTTGCGAGGGGGAACACTTTTACAGGGATTGTGTGAGGGAACTCTTTGTTGGTTGGTCTTAGGGATTTGGTGAGGGAGCACTTTTTTGCAAGCTTCCTTGTATGTTGGTTTGAAGGAGACACAAGAGGCCACCAGCCATTGTGGGACCCCCCCCTGAAAAAAAAGAAATGACTTCGTTAAATCCACCAAAAGGAAAAAATCATTCAACGGAGCCAAGGAAGGGCGAATCATTCCCTGGGATTGGCATATGGCGTGCCGCCTGGCCATCCGGCTGGAAAAAACCTCCAACCTGTTCGGTGTGCTCGGTGGAATTTGCAGGTAATGGCCTTCCCTGCTTCAATTGCTCCTAGCAGCCATCTCCTGCTCTGCTCATTGGCTTGGAGTGAAATGTTGTTCATCTCATGCTCAGTTAATTGTTGCCTTGTAGTAAAACGGACATCCCTCTATCTGCTCATTTGCTGGTTGTTCTGTAGTAAAATAGCTGTCCCTTGCTCATGTGCTCGTCCCTCAACGCTAGCCAGAGATGGAAACTGGTTTCGGCGCTGGCTCCCTCGCCCTTGCGCCCTCAGCTTGCGACCTCTTCTCCGGGACACGGAAATAAAAGGTTGCCCGACCCAAAAAAAGGAAACGACAAGTTCCCAACGAACAAACCTCGGTTGCTTTCTGCTCCCCTGCTAAAAGTTTAACTTTTGGCGGTTCAATGGAAAATCCATTAGTTGGCAAAAAAGTTAAAGTCGTAATATCAAAGCAAAATGCACCAAAGAAACCCAATGGCAAAACACCGCAGCGAGCTGCAACCAAAACATCCCGGAAACTTAGGAGCTCGGCGCCTGTCAGTCAAAGCGTCAAATCCTAAGAGGCAACTTCGTCCCCTTACCCGTTGGTCGTCGGTCCCTAGGTCTGAAAAATAAAATAAATAAAAAACACCGAGGGACCACAAAAAAAAAGATCCCCCTGATGGTATGGCGAACACCCATCGCACCCACGAGTTTGCCTCTGTGCGAGAGCTTCTTCCAGGGGGCTATGTAGCCTGCATGGCCCATTTACAACCATTTAGGGCTCCAACAGTTGCCTTCTAGCTGTAGCCATACCTCAGGAACTCTGGAATGATGATTCCCCCTGTAAATACCAATAAACAATGGTTGCCCATCGTTTCAGAGCAGTGCGAAACGGATTTCGTCCATCCACAGTAGCAGCCGTAGAGAGGCCATGCAAGAAACCAGTCAAGTTGTCCACAACCATTCAACTTCCCGGCCATAGGGGCATGGACCAGGCCAACCCGAAAAAGGGTAGCCCAGAAAAAAGCACACACACCAAAAGAGCAGCAGGAGAAAGGGTAACCACAATACTCAGGGTATATATCCAATTTTCAATGGGAGGCAATTGGTTTGGGGATCCCTCATGACAGCCCGGAAGCGCCTGCGTTGGGCCGTCGCGACCGCGAGGCCTAGACAGCGCCCCCGCGCGCATTTCGCACGGCATACGCGCGCAAGGATGCCTTTGAGCGCCCAAAAATTGTCCACAGAGAGTAGTATAGTCCACTATCACCCTTATGAAGGCAGTAGAGCTACTTTGGCGGCTGGCGGGATTGGCACTGCTCAATTGAGGTCCTTTGGTATGAATCCGTTGGACATGAACCGCCGGGGTGGGAACCCCCCCTCAGCTCCTTTTGTGGACGGTGTTCAGATCAGCCACAATCAATGCTTAAGAACCGCAGAGAAACTAGGGCTTTCACAATGGCTTACTTGAAAACCGTCCACCAAAGGAGCTTCCTATGCCAATGGGTTCATACCAATGCTTAAGCAAAGAAACGAGGGGTTCATTCACACCTAGGGTTGACACGCGTTCACACCTTCATCCTTTGCTGAGAGGAACAGCGGAAGCTAGGGCTCGGCATTCCGAAGACTTTGAGGTGCCCAATTTTCTGTGGATTTATGGGGAAACCAAAAGTAAAATAACAATTTGTGTTTTTGTGGGGAGGGGGTCTCCGGAACAAACAAAAAAAAACACGATATTTTGAGAAACAACCGCAACTTGCAGCTCCATCTCATTGATTAATTGAGTCTGGAATGGCCTTCTGGCGCTCGAACTCTCGTCCATCGATTGTCGCTGACATCAAGCAGCAGGGGATCAGATCCCAGCGCTTGGTGAGATACGCGCCGCTGAGATGTTCTCTTGTGAACTTCGTCCGCCACGATGAGCGCTCCGCGTTTCTGCGAGAACGCTGCGCGCTTCTTGCAGCGGTTCAGCAGGGAATCCTCGACGCAGGATTCACATGCCGACGTCCACGTCAAGTACTGAAAGTATTCTGGTCCTTGAGCCAAGGGTTAGTTTCCTCGGCCCTCCAGTACAGATGTTAGAATAAGGGTACCCTTTTTCCCGTAGTCTATTTTAGTAGGGGAACCCTCCTCCAAAAAAGGGGAGAGAAGGGCACCACTGGGGACCTAGTTTCGGTTTTGAGACAGTTCCGACCTCTATCGTCATCTACTGAGCCCGATTTCTGCGATCAAATCCGGAATCCGAAATTGTGGAAAGTACTGCCTGAGGCTTGGGTACAGTTTGGTTGCGCAGGGTTCGATGGAGGCAGTTTAGCCTCATTTGGCCATGGGTCAAAATCCAAATTGTACCCCCAGTGAACATCCCAATCCCCACTAAAATAGGTTCTGAAATGGGTGGTGCACCTACCCCAAAATGGGATCCCATTGGTTTTGACCCACAGCCATTTCTCCCTGACCTGAAACTTATACTCCTTGTCCTATTGGATCCTGAAAATATGTTGATTGTGCAAGGCGTCCTTGTAAAAAGATTTAGGGACAGCCCGGGCACCCTGAACCTGAACAGATACTCCTTCAGGTTAACTCTTAGAATCCTTCGAAGGAATTCTTTCCGTTTTTTGGAGGGTGGAAGATCAAGCACTTTTCGGGAAGATCTTCTCCGTTTGATTCCACAATTGCACCTTTTGGCTCCATCCACGCAGGAAGTCAAGCCTAGGATGTGAACCGGATAACTTCTCTCAAACTCGAGGGCCCCTTTAAATGGAGTGTTTCCGTTTGGATCCCGTTCAAAAGTCTCCCAAACAGGGTCTACCATTTTGGAAAGAAACAAATGAGTCTTGAGAGGTTTGTCAAGCAGGGTTTGTCTCAAAATAGAGGGCTCCCAAAATGGGTGGTGTCACTTCCGTTTCCCCTACCAACTCAAACATCGGGCTCCCTCCAAAACACACGCCTATTTCAAAGGGGAAAACCCTCCAAAAGTGAACCTGGGACTGAGAGAACGGCCTTTTTTGACCCGACAGCCATGCCCCCCAGTCAAAAAGAAATAGAATCGGAGTACAAAAGGGGTCGACCCAAAACCACGTACATCAAAACGGCCGCGCCCTACGGCCGATGCCTATGTCCTATTTCACAAAGCTCCCCTTAAAGAGGATGAATCCCCACTGAAAGAAACTGGACTCCCCCCCAATCAACTGAACCTTCCCCGAAAGTGATGAATCTACAAGGAATTGTTGGACTCCCCCTACTAAACCGCCAGTTGATTCCAACTCAAAGTGATGAATCTACAAGGAATTGTTGGACTCCCCCTACTAAACCGCCAGTGGATTCGATTCATCCCTTCAGGTCAACCCCTGCGCCGTTCTTCACCCGGCCTCGCGCCAAAGTGTGGGCGACAGCAGCCGCTTGGCGCCCCGCAGCGCCTGCGCGGTGTCCTGCGGGACATGGAACTGGGCTGTGGTGAGTGAGTCCCCCCCTTCTCTCAACCGATTTCTGTCCCCCCCTTTTCTGATTTCCTTGTTTTGTCTTGGTATAATGGAAGCTGAATTAAGACTTGGATCCCCAAGAAGAAACTTTTTTTCTGTAGAAGGCGAATTAAGAATTGGATCCCCAAGAAGAACCTTTTTTACTGTAGAAGGTGAATTGAGAATTGGATCCCCAAGAAGACAGAAGTGGATCCCCAAGTCAAAGCCCTTTTATCATGGTGAGCTCGCCACACCCCCAGGTGAGCTCGCCGCAACATATGCAAATAACGTGAAACCCACTCTTGCATGCCGTTGCGCTTGGCCCCAAAATGACACGGTGCATTCGAGGACAAGTTGTGTCTCTAATTGTTGCTCACTTCCAATTGGTGGTCATCTATTTTCTGGTCATCTCGAAACTCTATTTTGATCCGAAATAACTTGCTGGTCATCCATGTGGTTCACTTCGGGCTAATTCCAAAGACCCCCCCCCAATGCGCGAAAACACATTGAGTTCGAGGGCACCTCTGTGTTTGTGGCTTTAAATTGGGACACAAACCGGTCAAGTCCGCCACCCACCGAGTGTCAACCAATTCCATTCTTTAAGTCCCCTGGAAAACAAAAAAACTCATTTCCAGTCATAAAGGCCTCACCGTTTCCGGCCTTGGCGGTGGCGAAGGCCTGTAGCCCCGGAAGCAGGGAGCTGCGGGGGAGCTCCCGGTTCAGCGCCGCGGGGTTGAACCAGTGCTCCCGGCCTCGCTGAAAGGTTCTCTTGGGGCGGCTGACATGTGTGTGTGTGTGTGTGTGGGTGTGTGGGTGTGTGCGTGTGTGCGTGTGTGCGTGTGTGCGTGTGTGCGTGTGTGCGTGTGTGCGTGTGTGCGTGTGTGCGTGTGTGCGTGTGTGCGTGTGTGCGTGTGTGCGTGTGTGCGTGTGTGCGTGTGTGCGTGTGTGCGTGTGTGCGTGTGTGCGTGTGTGCGTGTGTGCGTGTGTGCGCGTGTGCGTGTGTGCGTGTGTGCGTGCGTGCGCGTGTGCTGCGTGCGTGCGTGCTGCGTGCGCGCGTGCGCGGTGCTGTGCGTGCGCGTGTGCGTGTCGTGTGCGTGTGCGTGTGCGTGCGTGTGCGCGTGCGCGTGCGCGTGTTGTGCGCGTGTGTGTGCGCTAGCGTGCGCGTTGCGCGCGTGTGCGCGCGCGCGTGCGCGTGCGCGCGCGTGCGCGTGCAAGCGCGCGCGTGCGCGTGCGTGCGTGCGCGCGTGCGTGTGCGTGTGCGTGTGCGTGCGTGTGCGTGTGCGTGCGTGTGTGCGTGTGCGTGTGCGTGTGTGTGTGTGTGTGTGTGTGTGTGTGTGTGTGTGTGTGTGTGTGTGTGTGTGTGTGTGTGTGTGTGTGTGTGTGTGTGTGTGTGTGTGTGTGTGTGTGTGTGTGTGTGTGTGTGTGTGTGTGTGTGTGTGTGTGTGTGTGTGTGTGTGTGTGTGTGTGTGTGTGTGTGTGTGTGTGTGTGTGTGTGTGTGTGTGTGTGTGTGTGTGTGTGTGTGTGTGTGTGTGTGTGTTTGTTTTCTTTAATATATATATATATATGTATGTATATATATAATAAACAAAAATAAAAATATGTATATATTTATATATGTATATATATAATAAACAAAAAGAAAAATATTTTTATATATATATATATATGTATATATATAATAAACAAAAATAAAAATATTTATATATATATATGTATGTATATATATATAATAAACAAAAATAAAAATCTTTATATATACATATATATATATATATATTTGGGGGGCGCTGGGCGCCTCAGATGGGCGGCTCAAAATTCAAAGAGCAAACAAACAAACGGGCAAACCGCAGGAAGCTTCGTCTTCACATAAAGTCAATTTTGGTCATCAACCCCATGTTGTTAGGTCCAAACCACAAATTACCCAGGGCTACCTGAATTGATTGGGTGGCTCAAGATTGAAAGAGCTACGGCAAACCGCAGGAATTGTTTGTCTTCCATTTGCCAAGGGTGCAATTTTGGTACAGGTTTTTGAGCCACAGCCATAAAAATCATTTTTGGAGGGGAATAGCCGGAATAGCCCCCTATAACAACAAAGAGAACTGGGGGTTGATTCATATGGGGTCAATGTTTGGTGTTTTAGGAAACGCGAAGAGCCGAAAAGCCGAGATGTAGCAGTCCCATCTTGGGGACCTCCAAAGCTACACTTCTGGCGATGGAGAAGGGGTACTTGCCTCTGGGCCTCTACGATTGCCTTTGGTACTTTTGATCATGGACTACGAGAACGGTCCAACCCCACAAAGCCACGAAGCTCCGAAAACGGAACTCAGGAAGGGGGGGCTCTGGGGCCAAACGGTCGGCATCCGAACCGGATCGATTCGAAAGCTGGGGCTCTCAGCCGAAGAAGCTCATCCACATGGCGTTCTCGGCCTGGCGCGGTGTGTTTTCAGTTTGCCGACCAAAGAGGGCTGTGACCACTTGTTCACTTTGGAAGGGGAAGTCGATGTTAAACAAAAAACAACACCCCCTTTATTAAAAAAAACAGAAAAGAAAAGCACCACTGGGGGTCTGGGCGCAGCAGGTGCCAGAAAAAAGAGCAGTAAAACAAAAGGAGACAAAGGAGAAGAGCCGCCCACTTTGTCCCCCTTTCCAAGTAATTGCCCATCCACATGCACTTAGCTGCCCGTATAGCCGGTTAAATCTATAGGTCAAGGCAGATGCTCTTGCGCAAAAAGGAGCCGCAAGATAACACTGGAATTTATAGCGCTTTGGATGCGGTTGGCTCGCTTGCTCGAACTCTGGTCATTTCTCCTGTCCTGGCTGTGTCTTTGTTGGATACACTCGGTGGCCGGATTTAAATGGAAAGTACCCCCGCTAAGTACAGAGGAGAACATATGACCCACAATATTAGTTGTTCTCCAGCAGGACATGGGAAAATTCGGGACTGTCCCTCTTCTTTCTGTGAGAAATTTGGGCTGTCCCCCTTTCTCGTCTCCCCAGACCAAGAGACTACCAATAGTTGTGTTGCAGACATTATGCCGCAATGCGGCTTAACAGCATGTGGGTGATGTTTCGCAGGGGATCCTTTGGTGCACATGATGTACTTGGGTGCGTCCTTTGTTGGTTGGCTTTGAAGGCAAACCAAAAGGAAAATCCTTTTTGGGGGGTTCCCTAACAAAGACACCCCCACATAGGATTTCATCATCATCATCATCATCATCATCATCATCATCATCATCATCATCATCATCATCATCAACCAATTTCAAGGTGCTTCCCCCCTATAGAGTTGAATAAGGAACCCCCCACCCCACCCACAGGGGAACAGGGGAACCGGAAAGGGGATGTTTTTGTTTGTGTGTGTGTTGTTCGATTTGTTGTGTTGTTTGATCACTTCGACCACTCCCCCCACCCACCCCACCCATTTAGGGGTTAGAAAAGCCCACTAGTTTTGCCGCCCCTTAGCGCAAGGGGTTACCCTACAGATTAACATAGAACCAAAAAAACATTCTCCTTAGAAGAAAAAATCCCTTTGGAAAAGCCCCCGTTTCTCACTTCCTGAGTGGATCAGTCAATAAAAGTCCAGAACTTGTGTTTACCTTCAAAATGGTCCAACCAACCAAAAAGCGACCCAAGTCCAAAACGGAACTCCAAAAATGAGTTTCTTGGGGACCCTTCCAACAAAAAACCTCCCAGGGAGCACCCCCCCACCCACCCCCCCCCCCAAGGCCCCCCGGCACCTCTTCCCCCCCCACCCCCAGCGCGCCTTCTCGGCCTGCGAGGCCGTCTTGGCGCGGCCCCGGTTGGTGGCGTCCACGAAGTGCTCGAACCTCCGCTGTCGGCGCTCTCGCGGCGCGCGCGTTTTTGGGGCGTCTTTGGCAGGGATCCGGATGCATTATACACCTGAACATTGCAACTTGGAAATGGCGGTCTGCAACTTTATTTGGTGTTGAAAAAGCAACACGTTTCAAATGGTTGCAACATGGATTATGGGCGTTCGGCGCGTTTTTGGGTTTCGCCCCCCCAAAAAACGGCTTTCTCGGCTGGGGGAAAAAAACGTCCGGGATTCCGGAGCCACTTGGTCCAGGATTCTGGGCGCAAATGCGACCATGCTAGGGGTACCTTCCCCCTTCTTTCCAGGGATCCGAATCTTTCTAGAAAACCTTCGGAAACCTTCGGGAAAACGGAGCCAGTTTTTGGAAAGAAGGATGGTTGAAAAGAATGGAGAAGGAATCAACCCCCAGAACCATGCACCGAGTATTTGAGGGGTTTTGAAACTTCGGAGATGTGGGGCTTGGGCCCTGAAATCTGGCGCGTCTTGGGGAGAACAATCCAAGTTGAGTCGGGACTCGCAAGGGCTGCAAAATGATCCTCAATGGCCCCGGGAAAAACGAAAGAACAACACACTTAGTCACTAGGCTGGACTGGCTCCCCTCTCCAAGCAGCTCCCAATCGTTTTGTGAGGAAGGGGGCGCAAAGCCAACTCGGCAAAAGGCACCCCCGTCAGGAATCTCCGATTCGAACTCCCTTTGCAACCCAAGGGCACAACACCATCTGATTTAAAGCGATCCAACTAGTTCTTTATGGGGGCGAAATCAAACGGTCCTTCTAAAACGGGCAAGAGGGAATTTGGGCACTGCACTGCACGCCAATTCCTCCTTTTGAAGCAATAGATGCATTCCACTGGACCCGGACCAGACTGAAACCAGTAGAACCCATCTAACCAAACTGACCTCATTCACACCTCATGGGTTACCCAGATTGGAAGACCTTCTGAACTTCTCACCCACATTTTGCCGATTCCTGTGAAAATCCACCACCCCTTGGCGGAAAAGTCTCCCTGGGTAGCCAAACGTGGACCTTTCTCATTGCTCCGGGGCCCCCGAAAGTTGCTGCCAAGGGGCTCGACCATGCGCTTGCTCAGGTCCTGAGCAAAACAAACAGCGGCAGTCTCTTGATGCTGTCCAATGGGTCGGTCAATAAGCTCGACCGGACTCAGACGCCATGCAAAAAGTTAGAGCTGTTTGCTCCCATCTGAAGATGGTCTGCAAACGACACCGGTGATATTTTCTGCATTTAAAACAAAGAAAGAAAACACGAATGTTGAACAGCGATCTTGCTGGTTGCAAAAACCAAAACGGCGAGCTCAGTGTGGCAGTTGAGTTTTTGTGGACTCCATGAGAGGCAGCTCAGAGTTCTCTAGGGTTCGTTAGGGTTCCCCCCCCGGGGATTCCATAAGTATAGGTCTTAATTGTTCTTAGGGTGTGGTAACTTCCTTTGTCTGCCTACAGGCAGAGGCAGCATCGACACCAGCCGGGGAGTTCTGTCCACCAACCATTTGGGAGGGGATTCCTCGTTGAAAGTCAAAGCCATATTTCGGCGAGAATGCCAACATCGGACCATGCCCAGGGGTGACTTCCCTAGTGGGCATCAAGTTTAGGAGGGTTCCTTTCAAGTACGGTCCTCCAGATCAATTGAACATCTCTACTCTTGGTATGGTAGCAAAACACTTTGTTTTTTGCAGACCCCCAGTAAAAATGAACAGAACCAAAAAAACTAAAAAACTAAAAAACATGCCAAGAACAGTGAAGTGAAGTGGACGTATTCGACCGAGACCTACCCCCAAAAAGTTGGGCATCTCCATCTCGAGGAGCTCTCCAAAAAAACGCGGTCTAGGGTCAACCCCCTTAAAAAGGAGGGCAACCCATTTTGGATGATGAAATTCCCTAGGTAATTTATTTGATGGTGCAACATGAACCCAACCAGTGGTTTCATGGTGGGAACTGAACCCAGGGTGATGTCCGTGAATTGGCAAAGTCAAAACTAACTTCAGAGGGTGGAAGCCCTCTGGCCTGATCTTGGAAGCAGGAACTCAGGAAGTGATAACCTAACACCCAACCTACAAACCACCTTCCCCGGTTCAGCCCAGCCTTCCCCATGCGCGGTCGTTCCCCCCGCCTCCAAGCTCGGGCTCCTGCCAAACCGAAAAACTCTGGATCAACGGACTTGGCTTCTGACATCATTTCAGATCCGCCATGTGAACCTACCAACGTCATGGAATTTTGGGGGGGGCTTTATGTGGGTGGGGGGTGGGGGTGTATCCCTGGATAAGTGCAGGATAAGCCAAGGAGAAGTTACTCCCCCTCCCGAGTTCGCCCCTTGGAGGTCCATTGAGGCAGGGTTGAAGCTCGAATGGGGACTCCTTGCTGGACACCATTTAGGTGGTTGAAATCGGAATCCACCGTTGAAAGGACAAATCCCAGACTCAAAATCCGGTTGAAATCAAACCTCTGGAACACATCTTCCATTTGAGTGTGCCATTTTGAGCGGACCCCCAATATGGCTTCGGAGTGCCAACCAGGTGGGTATGATACGGGCAGGGCACCCTAAACATGGCCTCGGTTCTCCTTTTGGTGCCCCTTTCAACGCAAAATAAAAAAAGGCGCTGGGCCTCAAAAAACCTACATCATGTCAGCAGCCGGGGCTAAAGACATTCCCGCCGGTGGATTTTGACCGAGGGGTGTCGCCACTGGAATTGGGGACCTGTTCATCACAACGGAAGGGAACCACCCATCCATTGATAAGCAGTTGAGGTGCACCGGGATTTGAGGTGCATAAATCCGGGGACCCCAACTTACCCTCACATCCACGAACAAACTCCTTCCATTGAAAGGGGCCCCTGGTTGCGAAGCCGTAGCAAAGTGGACCGGAGCGTAACTTGGGGAGACAATAACCAAATCAACAAACCCAAATGGGCCTGTCTTTCTTTGAAGGTACCCTTTTCTTTCGGGAAACAAAAAGGGAACCAACCATTTTACGCATTCTAGGGGGGGCCCCTATTGCGGTGATTATTCTGTTGGTTTTCCTTTAATCCACAAAAACGGGTACCCTCAAAAAGGAGACAACCAAATCAACAAACCCAAATCCAAAATTGGCCTCCCCTTAAAAACATCCTTTTTAACGGTAGTCTCAGAAAACAATGCCACCCAAATCAACAAACCCACACCATATCCTTACCAAACTCCTAGCTCCTTGGTTCCCTCTTCAAAGGCAAAAGTGATGGTTCAAACCAAAAGAGAGCACCGCCAGGGAGCCTCCAACGAGAGTTCCAAATGGCTATTCTGTGGACCCCATATGAATCAACCCACCACTTTCCTAGGGGGGGGGGTGCTTTTCACTGGGTTTATTGGGGAGTCAGACAACTTTGGAGGGCCCCCACCCGAACCCCTTTATTTTCATAAACTGGTTGGTTGACTAATCTAAGCTGTCCTCAGATCCCCCGTCACAAGTTTAACTTGTGGCTTAAATGGACATCCAACCACAAACACAAAAAAGCACTCTAAAAAAGGCTCAGTTAAACCCGATGGCATTCGGGAGCCACCAAATGAGTCTCAATCAAAACCCGGTATTAAAACGGTCTACCCAGAACCATGTACAGGATTAAGAAGGCGGATATCCGCAGCTATTTCTGGCTGGGATATAATCCCTTACCGGATCATCTACCAAAGGCTTTTGAGCAAGCTCAAATGTTCTATGTTACAAAAGAATGCACCAAAAAAAAAATCACCATCCTTGGAGCCTCTAATTTGCAGGCTCCGGATCTCCAAGAGGTTTTGGGACCTTCGTCCCCGGCCCCACCGCCAGCGCTCCGCTCGTCCGCGCGCCTCATCTGCGGCACCGGCTCCGCGAACCCGGCCGGAGCCGAGGCCGGAGAAGGCGCCCGGAGGTGCACCGAGCCGCCCGCCTCTGGAGGAAGAAAACCAAACCGCCAACAACCGGTTGGTGTCAAAGGAAAGGACGAAAACATCTGGCAAAATCTGGCAAGATCAGGCAAAATCTGGCAAAATCAGGCAAAATCTGGCAAAACTTGGCAAAATCTGGCAAAACTCGGCCAAACTCGGCAAAAATAGACCAACGCCAACAACCTCGGCTGCAAAATCTCTGCGAAGCCCCTGCGAAAAGTTTGACTAACTTTGAGTGGTTTAATTCGTAAAACATCCAAAAGTTGGCAAAAAGTTAAAGTCCTAACATCCAAGCAAAATGCACCAAAGAAAGGAAAGGACGACAAGTGCCTTGGTGCTACTTGATCTCAGGTGTTCAGTGACCCTGGAAAAAACAGGGAACCCTTTTCGGGGAAGACCATTTTTAGTGGGGCAGCCACTCAAAAAAAAGAAGGAAAAAGGGTGCCACTGAACAACAACTGAGTGATTGTTAGAGGTGTGCGTTGCTTAACGTGGTTGCTCGTAAAACCTGCGTGCACAGAGTGAACGCGTAGAAAAGGCTGTTTATTGTGAAGAACAATGGATTAAAATCGGGGGAGATAACGACGATCCGAGACTACGCGTAGATTTGGGGCAACGACCACGACCGGGAAGCCACACAACCTTCCCGACCGGACGAGCGGTGGTTCTTTGCATTGCCCCGGAATAGAACAGAAAGCGAGATCAAAAGCTCGAAAATGACACAGTACTTTGGTGTGTCTCTGCTTTGAAAGGCATCAAAAGCTGCTTCTTCAAAAAAAATACTTCGGCGCGTCTTCGCCCCCATTTACATGTCCAAGCACGCCTTCATGGCCCCTCTTCCAGGAACCACCCACCCACCCACCCACCCACCCACCCACCCCCCCACCCACCCACCCACCCACCCACCCACCGCTCGATTCGCGCCTCCTCCATGAAGGAGGACCAACAGGGCTCCAGCTCTGTGCGCGCTTTCTTGCACGCCTCGCTGCTCCACAGGCCGCAGGCGTGATGGTACCTCAGTCAGAGGTAACACGAGGGCCGAGCCCAAGGCGCCCAAAAAGTGGAGCTCGGCGGTCCCTAAACCCACTGGGAAGTGTATTGTTCTTGGTCAAATTGGCTCATCCTTTACTCCTGCGCTGCATTGGTGCAGGAGGCACAGCTGGTCTTGAAGCACATCGGAAGCTGCGTATAGTCCGTTTCAACCAAGGTGAGAAGGGGCACCCTCGACGAAAAAAGCTCACAATTTCTGGGCAAGCTGCACAATATGGGCAAATGATTCCTCCCAAATCAAATCTTAGCCTTTCGCCTTGAAAAGGAGAAGGCCTAACCTGAGTCTGAGAATTCCTGGGTTGATCCTAGAGCCATCAAAGTTCCTTCCGCAAAAGCACTCCCAAGACTGTTCTGCAAATGGGGTGATCCGCAAGGGGCCCTGATCATCTTCAATGGGTTCCGTGCTTCTTGTCCCTCGTGTTTGGCAATCTAACAAGAAGTACTGGCAATACTAAACCAAGTACTGGTAGCACTTTAAACTAAGAACTGGCAGTCCGACAGGAAGAGCTGGCAATACTAAATGAAGCACTGGCCTTAGGTCGTCCAAGCCTGGACCTTTACAGAGGACACCGACTGTTCCGGTGGAGGGGGGGGCCAACTTAATTAACAAGGTCCCACATGGTGCAGGCGCGCCGCAAGCCGCCACTTAGGTCACAGAAAAATTGGAGCGGCCCAACGGGTCCCCCCAAAAATGCCAAGCTTCTGCTGCCGCAAGCCTGGCCGACCGCCGAAACGAGAGACTTCTGCCTTTGGACCCCGGGTCCAGCCGGCTGTGTGTCTTGTTGTTGGGAGTTCGTGGTCCTTGTCTTGCGAAGGGCACTTTTTTGGCAAAGCTTTTTATGGAGATCCTGTCCAAGGTAGGGGGTTGACTTTCCGCTGGCAAAAAGGACCTCTTGAAGGTAGTGCAGCCCAAGGGTCTCGGCATTTTCCGCCAAACCGGGTCCTTGAGGCGAACTGGCTGCAAAAAGAGAGGGGCTGTAGGGGTTCCTGAACCTTTCCATCTCTCTTGACCAACTATGAGGGGGTCGCCATTTTGAGAACCTCCCATGGTACAAAGTCTCAGTGGCTCAGAGTTCCGCTCGGCCGACTGCATGTGAGCTCAATCCTCAGTGAATCTTCAAACAAAATCCAAAGTGTCTTTTTGCTTTTGGGAGGCTCAGTGGAACTTTCAGCGCCACACAGATCTTTTGGGTCAGCAGGAATTCCAGGTTTCAAAGTCGCCAGAACCATTCCAAAGCTCGGGTGCGGGTTCTGGATCCAAAGCCCGCTGGCTTGCAAATGCGCCCGTCGGCGCAGACGGGACAGTCTCCAGCTGGGATGGGGAAGTGGATTCAGGGTTTACATCACTCAAGTAAAACATGGCCAAATTAGAAGAAATTGCATCCACCCCAAGTAAAGGTCGTACATGGCGAGTGCGAGAGAAAGCTCGCACTAAAATTGGCAGATGGGGGTGGATTCCACAGGTTTCAGTATGGATTCCACTGGTGTTCCTAGAGGACCAGGGCAGAAAAAGGCTGCCCATAATGCTTCTTGGCCGTTTGGGGACAAGACAAAACCCACCCGAGACATTGAGATGCTCTGCATCAAGCAGCCTGTTAGCACTCTTCGTTGCCCAGCGAATCGACCACGTCCAGTGAAGCGACCGCATACACGGAGCTGAAACACTTTCACACATTATCTGGTCGTGGTAAATAGTTGCTCGCTTGACCAAAGGCGCCATGGGTCAAAATCCAAATCGTACCCAGTGAACATCCCAATCCCCACTGACATCAATTTTTACTATGGGTGGTGAATTCACCTACCAACCAAAAGGGGATCGATCCAAAACGGTTTTGACAACCACAGCCATATCCTACAGAAGTGGATCCACAAAAAGCACATACTTCTCTTAGGAGCATGTCCGCAAAACCCCGCGTCTCCCGTCGCACAAAAACCCGCGCCGCTCCGCCTGGCTTCAGCAAGGGCTCCTCTTTCCGCAGCTCCTGAGGGTTTCGGCCGGAGCGCTCAGGCGTCCCAAAGATTCAGACGGGAACTGAGGGCAGTTTGAAACACCCCAAAGGTAAACCCCCGACACCTGCAAGGGCCTTTCCCCCCATTCTTCCCCTGGCTTTGCTTTCCTCCCTGGGTTTTCCGATTTGGTGAAGAACATTGACATGTTCTCCTACATTTGTTTCCTGGATTTTCAGGTTTGGTGAAGAACATACCAAAGCAAGGTAAATGGAACAAAACCCATCTAAACCAGTGGAACCCATCAATTTTTAACCAAACTAACCTAGAACGGCGTTTTCATATTTTAAATCCTGGGGTACCTTCCATTCCCATTCTTTCCAGGGATCCGAATCTTTTCATCAAACCATCAAAAACCCAGCGGAAACGGATCCGGTGTTTGAAAAGAACCATGGTTGAACGGAATGGGGAATCAACCCCTAGAGTGCTGGTCAATGTTCTTCACCAAATCGGAAAACTCAGGGAAGAAAACCAAACCAGGGGTAAAATGGGGAGAAAGCCCCTTGCAGGTGTCGGGGGTTTTCCAAAGGTGTTTCACAACGGCCCTCAGATCCCCTGCTGAAACTGCTTTTAAGACTTGTGGGTTTAGATTGGGGACTCTAAACCAAACCAAAAAACTAAAGAACCGAGCCAACAGAACTAAAACTTGTTAAAGCTTGTGGGTTTAAATTTGGAAGCTACCACTAAACCAAAAGCCGAACCAAAAAAAGAGCTCAGCTGCGGCCCGCATGGCCTTCGGGAGCCAAGACGAGTTCGGAAACCCGTCCGCTTCGAGTCTTAGGCGACCGCAAAACCCTGCCCTAAAACCACGCCGCACACCCACGCCACCGGCAAAACGCAAAAAAGCCCCAAACCGACCTGAAGGAAAGTTTTAGCAAGTGTTCAGCTGGAAACCAATTTTGTCTGGGTTGAAAACCTCATTGTTCAAAACTGCGCATGGGGCGTTGCCTGTACAAGCATTGCCAAAACTGTGACTTGCAAAACGGCTGGAGATGTCTGGTTCCGTAATCCTACGACCTCTTTGTGACACAACGGAGTTGCCACCAGCGAACCGCTCGAAAAATGATTGGGACACAGAGGATCAGATCTTGAACCATCAAAGCAAATGAGCGACAGTTGCTCATCTGGCTTGATGGGTTCAAGATCCAACTATGACCACTTTATGACGTTAAAAGAACCTTTGGCCACCCAACTCGTCCGGGCTGGCGAAAGGCGCGCTGCTGATTGCTTAAATCAACAAGTCCCCGCCCTCAAGGAAACAAAGATCTGTGGCCAAAAGGCCAGGCGCTCGCAGCGGTTTAGGTTCCTGGTGTCACCCTTTATGTGGGCGCCTTTTTGGAGGCGCCCCCCCTTTTTTGTGGTTGAAAACCAATCAGGGGACACACCAAAGCCATTTTATGGGGGGCCCAAAGAAAAAGCATCGTGTGGAACAAGTGCTTACATTGCAAACATGAAGGTTGGCACTTTGAGCGGCTTCACGCTCCCCCCCTTGTTGGTCTTTTGCCACGGGGGCCATGGACACGTGTTGATATCTGCCGCCCAAAGAATCAGTTCGATCCAAAGTGACAAAAACTAACTCAGGAGTACATGTGTTTTTTTGAGATTCTGAAAGAAACAAAGTATCTGGGCAAGAAGATCACTCATGGAGATCCATTCGGGTCGGTTTCTGAGGCTGGCCGTTTGGAACCTGTTTTTTTGTTGGCGGAAACCAAAAAAAAAAAAAAAAAAACCGCCGGTTTTGGTTGGGTTTGGGCGTCCAACAACCAGAACAACGGCAGACCCATTCAGCTGTGGCTCAAACAACCGGAATTCCAAAATGAAACCCTGGCAAGTGGTTTCACATGGACCAAAATTCCTGCGGTGTGCCCCTCGTGTTTCATTTTGAGCCGCACCCATTCCGTCCGTCCGGCCGATGCCGATTTTCATTTCGCGGCAGGCCTCGCCCATGCGCGCGGCATCGCAGAAGTCCCGGAAGGCCAGGTCAGAGCTGCCTGCGCCGCTTGGAAGGAAACATCCGGGGGTGCCGAGCCACAAAAATGTACCCTGCCCCGAAGAAAATGAGAAGAAAAAAAGGGCGGGGAGAGCTGAGTCAACCATGGTTCGATGTATCTAGTTGGCTGGTTGGCTAGTTGGCTAGTTGGCTGGATAGTTGGCTAGTTGCATAGTTGGTTGGTTTGGTTGGCTAGCCAGCTAGTTATAGCTAGAGTAAATTAGTCTGTACCTTAGAAAGTTACTTAGTTCGTGTATATGGCATAGTTGGACTTCCCCACTTGCACCACATGAAACCCGCAAAACAACCTGGCTAGGTAAAGACTTACTAGGCTGTTCTGAAACGCTGCATCCAAACTCACCTGGATTCACAGACAAATTGTTCGAAATCAGCTGTGGTCATGTGATGTTTCACTAGCAACAGCGCATCCTTTGAGAAGCCCGGTAGTAGGATACAACCATGGTTATAACTGGTTGGAAAATGGGGTTCACTTCCTTCTAGTCCTGGCTCGAACCGACTGCCAAATTGAACACACCTGTGACCTGGTTGCGAAGCCAGTTAGGTTTGTCTCAAAATCCCCCACGAGCTGCACGAATATCTATCTGTCTGAGCATAAACCCTAAAAATAGGAGTCCACCTTGTTCTTCCCTGAATTCCTCCGGGTGGGCTGAGGGCTGGTCTAGGTTGGGCTTATGGTTGCTGAAAGTTGAAGAGCTCTTCTTTGGCCAACCAACTATAAGCTTGCCTTTCAGGATCTGTTTCTGTGGTTCGGGAAGGGGTTAAGAAGTGTTCCCAAGAGTTGGTTCAGAGTTGCGTGCGTGCGTGCGTGCAGCAAAGTGTTTTCTTCTGGTTCAGAGTTGCAACTCTTGAGAAACGATAAGACAGCCAGCAACTTGCTGGTTCCCGCTCTCTCGTTTTTGCGCCCAAGACAGTATTCTTTTTTTCTTTTGGAAAGGCGCCATTTCTGGAGGGGTCGTCGCGAAAACAGCCACTCGACTCCCAGCTTGGGGATTCCCTCGTCTTCGCCTGGGTAACGAGAAACGTTCTCTCCACTGAACGTGAAACCTGACAGGCCGAGGTCCTGGAAGCCCAGGTGTTGAGAGACCCCTGGGAAAAAAAAGGGAACCCTCTTTGGGGCTTGGGCAGTTTTTGGTGGGGCAGAAAAACCAAAAACAGGTTGGAAAAAGGGGCTTGGGCCATTTTTTCTGGGGCAGAAAAACCAAAAAAACAATGGGAAAAAGAATTGGTGCCACTGAACAACTGAGGCAGTTCTCTGGTGGCTTCTATGGCAACGTCAGGACACCTTGGCCGAACACTCCAACTTCAAATCCGGCCTGGCGCGCACTTCAGGTGCCCCGACCTCGAGAGAAAAACGACAGAAAGCTGAAGCGGCTGTTTAGCAGCTGATGCTCAAACTAGATGGTCAAATACGAACAAAGATGTGTATGTATTGATATGCATATAAATACAATTATGTGTATGTATATATATATATATATATATATATGTATATATATATATATATGCATACGTACATATACATTCCTCTAATATGTATGTCTACAAATATATACAATACGTACTACATGTCGATCTACCTACATAGATTGTGGGTGTGTACCTATATATATATATGTATAAAAATGCCTGAAACGTGCTTGTACACCTACGCAGAAAACAAAACCGACCAAATAGAAAATGCAAGACTCAACAACTGCACTGCAGCACCACAGCATCGGGGAGAACCGAGTGCGGACTGGGCTATCTTCATTCACTCCATCTCGGAAATGTAGGGACAGCCGTTAACCAACAAGTGGACTCATGGGGCCCTCCCCTCCCCGTTTTCCCCAGCCGCCTTGCTGGCATGGCCAAATGCAGTCATGCTTTCTTTGCGACTAATATGGTCTTCCCCAAAAGCAAACAACCATATACTGCCAGCGTCGCTCGACAAAGGATAACGCACAGTTCCTTTGCCTGTGATCTCCACACAAGCTGAGGTCATCGAAACACAAAGCATCTGATCTTTCATTCCTTCTGCGTCATGCCTACGGACCTGTTTTGGTGTTTTGGGATTCCCTCGTGAGACAAACCCGTGAGCGCCATGCCCAGATAAGCCCCGGGTAGGGATGCGAGAGCGAAATCCACGCGTGGTGGATTCGCAGTTTCTCGCCGTCGAGCTCACATTTCTCGTGACATATGATGCACCTGTTCACCTGCTATTTGATGATATCGAGGAATGTCCTTTTCAAAACCCCAGTACCATGCCAATCAACACCTGCTTAAAACCCACCATGTAGAAAAAAGCCACGTGATGGTTCCTCCTTGTTGCATCGTTAAGCTTGGCCTCTGCCGAATTCGAAGTCGAAATCGAAGTCGCGAGGAAGTCGCGAGGTCCCAAAGGCCACTGTCAAGACTCAAGAGGCCGGGAACATTATTGACCACCACAGGTTATGTATGGCTTATTTATAATATATATATATATATATTGTTTATACATAGATGTTCTCTACTCACTACAGACAAATACTGCAAGCATATATGTGTTTGGTTGCCTAAGTTTAAACATTTGTCAAAAAAATACGACATACTAGGCTACATTGATTGACCATTGCAGCCTCCCAAACTTCATGAATCCAAACTGAAACGACACAGGGGCGTGGCTTTGTGTGACGCTGGCCTGTCTCCAAAGAAATGTGTCATGCCACTGGCTCCGCCCAAATACATCGAAAAAACAAAGCATGGTGCTAAGGACAATAATTAATGAACATCACAACAAAGACCCCCCAAAAAACGAACCACCACGAAATCACCCAAAGCCACCACAGGATCACCCAAACCACCCTGAGCCACCCAAACCACCCTGAGCCACCCAAACCACCCTGAGCCACCCAAACCAACCCTCAACCCCTCCCACATAAAAGAAGAGCAAGTCGCGTGTGGCTCAGGGCCTGCTCGACCGTCACCTGCCCGGTTCGAGCAAGCGGGTTCACCATGTTTCGGGACTGTTCCGTGGTGAAACAAAGGAGCAACCCAACCTCAACGGGGCAGGGTACTAGTAAGCCTGGTGGGCTAACCCACTCAAGCCATGGTTACAAGTCTCCGTTCAGCGGGCTGTAACCAGTCGTACCAACCACTTGCGGCCTGGGACATGTTTGTCAAAACCAGGGATTTGGACCCCGACAATTGTGGCTTCCGTTTGGTTTTCCTGTAGGGCACCCGCAAAAAAAAAGACGCCGAAATAGATGCGCAATGTTGGCTTCCTTTTAAAGGAGTCGCGACCTCAGAACCATTCCCGAACTGGGCTCCAACACTGGCTTCCCTTTCCCGCTTCTCATCCAGCCGCGAGAGGATATTCTCCCGGTTTAGGGCTTAGGGTTTAGGGTTTAGGATTTAGGGTAACAAGACAGATGTTTTCTTGTTGCGCCAGTTTATGCATCACTTGGCTGCCGATGTGCAAGCTGAAATATTTCGGGAGCCAGCCCTCCGAATCAGTAGAAGCATTCTTCTCCCACCATCACGAGGTTCGATCTCTGGCCGCATTCCAACTACCCCCTGGTGAAGCAAGTGGTGATCAAAGCAAACTTGGACCAAGAAAGGAAATGCAACCCTTTATATCGCCCCAATATTGGTGATACAGGTTCTAGAGGTTGCAGCATACCGCCGTGCGCGGGAAAAGGCAAAAAACGAAGCCCTCAAATCAAGACCTGATACAAGGGACTAGATGATGACAACCAGTATTAGGCGTGTCTCGTTTTAGGGCAGCCTTTTCGGAGTGCGATTAAGGGAAACCACGCATTTTGACACACACCTAATTAGTTGGTTTTCCTTGAACCAGGAAAGCAGGAAATAGTGAACAATGATTTCGGCCATTATACACGCAGGTGTATGTGTGTGTATATATATATATATATACTGGTACAAACAAAACTAAATTTTTCGGAGAAGCACATCTGCGAATACTTTCCGCCTGCCTCTTTGTAGAAAGCAAAGGCTCAGAGCCGCTCACGGGCTCGGCCAATCCCTCTGCCACCTCCCAACCAGATCTTCATGGCTAAGATGGGTATGTCTTTTTGAGGGGTTCCCTTTTTGAATAGTTTTAAAGCGACGCCAAAAGGAAGCCCACCCTTTTTGATGGGTACCCTCAAACATGACACCACTACCCCTTGCTGCGCATGCGCCAGGCAAGCCTTGGCTTCAGCCCGCATCACGTTGAAGGAGAGGAAGCAGTCCGACGTCAATCCAAATGATGCCATGCGCCCCTTTAAGACATGAGTTGTTTTTGAACAAGCACATTTGCAACATTAGTTGCTATTTAAAAAAAAAAAAGAAGAAGAAAGTGACGTGCATTGGGTTTCTGTTCATGACAACTCCCCGAAACCACACAAGCGCAGCAGCCTCCCGCGTCGCGAAAGTCGCGTGGCGCGCGTCGCGCCTTGCCCAGGGCACTGTCCTGCAGCGCTGTGCTGAGCTGCAGGCGTTTTTGGTCCACCAGCCGCAGGACCTCTCCGCGAGCCAGACCGGGGTTCAGGAGTTCGGTGCGGACGAGGATGCCAAGTGCGTGTGTGTGTGTGTGTGTGTCTGCATAGACACATATATATATATATATATATACATATATATATATATATTATACATATATATATATATATACGTATATGTACATGTGTATATATATATAGATCCAGATATGTATATGTATGGTAGTTGTGCGTGTGTTCAGCGATGTTTAAATGTACATAGAGACTCCTAAGACTTTATTCTGGGGGGGGGGGATTCTGATGTACTCCGAAAGCGGTATATATATATATATATGTATAATATATATATACAGAGAGAGAGAGAGAGAGACCTATATACATATATCCCAATATGTATGCGTGTTTGTATGTATATATATATATATATTCACATGCTATACTTGCATAGATGGATAAGCTGTTGGAAAGGAGTTGAATCAAAGGGCCTCAGGAGCCGGCCAAGAGGAGTCGGCAGAGTCCAACGAATGCGTCCACTCTGGTACCTTTTCGTTCACCAGAACATTTTTCATTGACCAGAACCAGAAACCCTGGATCGCACTCGCTTAGAGTTGTTTTTTCCTTGGTGTTCATCTAGAATCCTTCTATTCTAGAGGACAAGGCCAGAAACAAAAAAAAACGTGCGCCAAAACCCAACAGGGCGGATATGTGTGGCTGCTGGGCTTTTTTTTGGAGTTGGCACAGTTCTAGAGCTGGTTTAGCTTTTTACCCAAAGGGTTTCAACCCACTTTGGAAAACTCACATACCCTTGGCTGGAAAAATCAGACCCCAGCAAAAAAATATATATCTGTTTTGCCTGGTGGAAAACAGAGGGGACCTTTTTTGGGAACTAATTCTGGGGAAGTACCTAGATGAGTCAGTTGAAAGTCTGTGAGCACCAGCCAGATGGTGAATGACCAGTTGAGTCACCTTGCGGGCTGCTGAAAAAAAACAACATGTTTGTTGTAAGACCAACTAGGCCACGGGATATGCTCAGCTCGCTCGGTTGAACCTCCACGTACTCTCAACGAGTTCAAAATTCGAATGGGAAAGTGCGGACTTCGAAGACAAATAAAAGTCATGGTCCTAGAAGCAAACCGTTGGTAATCATTTGGCCCACACAAGTGCCTACAGTTGCCTCAATAGGAATCCGTACGATGCCGTAAAGGGGTGGTTTGACCTTGCGGCTTGTCGATCAGAGACACCTTCCGGTGATACTAGCCTCAAACTACGGTGGGAGCTAACCTGCGGTAATTCGAACATGGCTCCGAAAGCGATTGTGCCTACCTTGTTTGACAGAGGTCCTTTCAACCTCTGGCTCAAATGGTCTATGGATGCATTCTTTGCCAACCTTAAGTCGGGGAACAATGGCAAACTTGCGAATACTCGCATCTTCGCTGATTGGGGCTTGAATTGTTTCGAAGATGGCTATATATAAAAACAAAACAAAAACACGCGCACACGAGGGGCTCCGAGCTGATTTCTTCGAAGAACCGTTCAAAAGGCAAGCCAAGCCACGCTGAACGCGAGGAACATCTTAGAGATCTCCAGGATGTTAAAGATCGTCTTGGATGTCACCTGAGCCGTCAGAATATGGGTGGGTGGACGACATCCTGCACAACTTGGAAACCATGGGTATTTGCAAGGGAATCATCATTCCAAGGTTTCTTGGGTGCAGAATTTTGTCCACCCACCGTATGGGGATCCTTTTGGTTTCCCTTTGAACCCGGTTTCCAGGGGTGGCTGCACTTCTGCTGCATCCATGTCTGGTTGGGACTGTCTACTAAACCTCCATTAAACCTGGGCTTTACTTGTGGCTCATATGGGTGTTTCTCAGAATTGGCCACAAACCTCCAGGTGGTGTCCTGTTGATGGCCTGTTAAGAACATCCAAGAAGGGATCCGAACCTACTTTGCGACACACTCATACTTGGTGCCCGCAAAGGCATGTGAAAAAGATTCTTCGAGTGCCGTACCCCGGGTGGTGGTCGAATCTCTGAGTGAGTCCCCCCCATATCTTTCTTTCTTTCAAGCGGACCATACACGAGACGTGTGAAACCTGAATCAACTCCCAAACAAGCAAGAAATCATCAAGACTTGGCATAAATGCTCTACCCAAAACTATGTGAATTAACAGGGCAGCCGCACCTGATTTATGGTTGCGATCCATGGCTACGCTTCTACCCTCGGTTTTCATTGTGACTCAATTCCAGCCCTGAAAGCCGCCGAAAAGAAGCCGAAAAGAAAGTGGCTCAAATCGGACCACAAAAAGAGGTGTAAAAAGGAGTGCTCCCCCTTCCTTGAAGCGAAGGTCACAAAAGAAATACATCTTGAAAAAACAAAAGAAGGGTCCTGAAGGAAGGGTCCCAAAATGAGGGTCAAGGAAAGGCCCGCAAGGTGGGCTTTGCGAGGGGTCAAAACAAAACGCGGCCCTTGTTTGAACAAGCCACAAAGTGCGGGCAGGGACGCGTGAATCAAAAGTAGTTGGGATGAAGCCCTTACAAGGGATGTCAGCCAGACAAAAACCCTTTTTGGAAACAACCAGGGTTAGGCCAAGCCTTGATTAACCATGTTTCAACCACTATTACTTCAGCAATCACCTTGGCCCAACCCCTCTGCACAGGAAAAATACTGCGTTCAATTTTCTGTGTCACATAAACCAATGTCATTTGGAGAACACCAGGGAATCCCCAACTTGGTTGGCTCCCTTTTCGGTTTCCCTTGTCGCAAGAAAGAGGCCTCATCCCTTCTGACGAGCCACCCACTTGGCTTACCCTTAAAGAGCCGCGACCATGGAATGTTGGCGTCCAGAAATCCCCTCCGACTGAAAATTCTGAGCGATTTGCCCATCCCGTTCTTAAAACTCAGCTAAAACATCATGTGAATTCACCTTTGCTAATACACTTCTTTTATCTAATGCTGCGTATCTCTCATTAACAACAAAGTTTCATCAGCATATATAATTTTCTTCACTTTGTGGTCATTCATCTTGTCTTCTCTTTTATTAGTTAGCAGATCAACTATTTTCGCATTCTCGCAATGTCAATTAATGTTCACTTTATTCCTGTCTGTTCTTTGTTTTATCAGTTTCTTACACTTCAGTCGTCCATCTATTGGTCTTCTTCTTCTAAATCTTTCTTTGGAGTTGTAATGATGGAATGAGAGCATGGGAAAGAGTGAATTGGCTGCGGAAATAGAATCCTCTTCATGCATCTTGGCTAACCCTTGGAGCAAGACATGGCAACCTGTCAGGTGTGCCCATGAAACCGTCAAAACATCTTGAGCCAAGGCCAATTTCCGGCTTGGAATCCCTTGACACAGACCTGGGGCAGGGGACAGGGGGCTGAGGTCTACGTGGCTATGTCTGTTTTCAAGAATCGGACCCCCCCCCAAATAAAAAAAATGAACAGACTCCAAAAGGGGTGCTCTCTGGGATGTAGTTTTTGGCGCTGCAAAGCTCAGAAAACACTGCGAATACCATACACCCGGTCTCAACACAAAAAATGGCTTGACGGCTTTCCTTTTCGCGCGCGGAAAAAAAAAAGGAAAAAAACACCCAAAGGAGGCTCCCCGAAACAAAACCCACCCTGCCGAGCAGCAGGCACCGGGCGCAGCCAAGAGCAGTGCCCCAGTGCGAGGTCCGCCAAGGTGTCGCCTGCCCGGAGTCGATGGTGTTGGTTCGTGTGTGTGGGTGGTGTGGGTGGCGTTGGTGGTGTGGGTGGTGTGGGTGAGTGATTGAGTGGCTGAGTGGTTGAGTGGGTGAGTGTTTGAGTGTTTGAGTGGTTGGTTGAGCGGTTGGTTGGTTGGTCGGTCGGTCGGTCGGTTGGTTGGTGGGTGCGTGGGTGGGTGGGTGAATATTGGTTGGTTGGTTGGTTGGTTGGTTGGTTGGTGGGTGGGTGGGTGGGTGGGTGGGTGGGTGGGTCGGGCAGTCGGTCGGTGTTTGTGATGCTGTTGTGCGTGGGTTGTGTTGGGTGTTGTGTGTTGTTTTGATGCGTGCCTGTTGTTGGTCTAGCTGGTTGTGTGCTGTTGGTTGCTTGATGGTGCTTGAATAATTTAACCATTCTGAGTCTGTTTGTTGTTCGCTGGTGATTTGGTTGTGTTTGTTCGGGTTTGCTTGGTTGTGTGTGCTGCTTTGTGTGCTGCTTTGTCGTTTTGGTTGGGTGGTGTTGGCTGTTGACGTTGATTTTGGTTGATTTTGTGCTTGTCCCCCCCTTCTCTGGGCAGTGCGGATTTTCTCTACGGTCGGTCGGGTGCCGAGACATAAATACCATATCTGAAACCTCCCAAGGTAGTTTCCTCTAAGCGTCGCTGGCATTGATTCCATCCGCTTTTAGCCCGCATTTAGCTCCTTCCAGCAAAAAAAACGCAGGAGCATCCGGAAAAGCCCGGACCTACGAGCTTAGACAAGGGCATCCAAAAATTCGGTACAACCCGGAAGACGAGAGAGAAGCCACGTCATAAGGGCTAGGTGGGTATGGGTCAATATTAAACCGTCAGGGAACCGCAGGTTTTAGTCCTTGGTTCCATTTGCCAGGGTTCCATTTTGGGTACCTATTTTTGACCCACACCCAAGTGTAAACGGTTAATCCTCCACTCAAATCCCCCACTGACACTGCCCGAAATCGGGCAGCTGGGCAGGTTGCTACTCAGGTGCGTCAGGCCATTCTCTTGCGGCCTATCAGTGCCTGCCCCATGTTCAGGGAGCCTTCTCTTCAAAGAGAATGATGAGTGAAGAGAATGGGAATCAAAGGCATGAGTTCTGAAGGTATGAACATTCGCCACTTGCACAAGGGGAACTACAAGTCTTATATTTGATGTAAGGTCTCAATAGCTCCAAAACCCAAACCTGGCAATGCACTTCATTCCCGCCTTCGACATTTAATATTCGCCATAAGGTGTCGTAAACTGGCGATGTCCAAAACATCCCCTGAGTGACCCCTTCGCTTAAGACATTCTGCAAAAGACCCAAAGGAACAACATCGAGGAAGCCCTGTCCCAACAAATGCGCCAAAGCCAAAACACAACCCACGCAAAAAGGCAACAAAATAATCCCAACAAAACCGTTCCCGCAAAACAATCTCAAAAATAGGATCCCAACAAATGCCAACAACATCTCCACATAATCCTGACACATGTCCCAAAATCTGCCAAAAATTCCCCACACAACCCCAACAGCATCCTATAGGAATCCGGAATCAAATGACAGGGTACTGGGTAAAATATAGAAGCATCCAACAAACACTGTGGGTGGACAAAATCCATTTCGCACCAGTTGGGATGGATGAAACATGAGGAAACCCTGTAATTTGTGGGCTAAATATGAGCAACACATTTAGTAACTGGTGCAGGAGCTTCTCCATCCACAGTATTTACCCACCAAAAATACGAGATAAACAAGAATGTGTCAGGGTGTTTTGCTATTGGAAAGTCAATTATTGGGGAATCAGACAACTTTTGGAGGGCCCTCCCACCCCGCCATCCAAAATGACAAGCCCAGAAGCTCGACCAAAACCACCGCGTGCTGTTCCCCACGCCTGTCTCCAGGTCTAGCACGCAGAGCTGCGCGCCCAGGATGCGCCTAGCTTCGCGACAAGGCTTGAGACGAAAACCCAAACAAAGCGGGGCATCTTCCGGTCTTAGGGTCGTAGATGCCGTAAAAATGCGTGTGTGTTCAACATAAAGATGTGCGTTGTTGTTGTTTTTGGGGGAAGGAAAGAACAGAGTTGTGTATTCTTGGAAATGTGTGTGTGTGTACGTGTATTTACAACGAGAAATGTGTTTTGTTTGGGAGGAAAAGAAAAAGAGCTGTGATTGTTCAACAAACGATTTGTTTGAAATAAAGATGTGATTCTTTGGTGAGAGGGAAAGAAACCGAGTTGTGTGTCATGTTTACGAAATATTGTTTGTCTTGCAAGAATTCCACAGAAGAAAAAAAAGAAGAAGAAGAAGAAAAAAACTGAAATGCGGAACCCTCAAGTAAACCGCCTCTGTGGTGAGCTCGCGATGAAATATTTAAATATGCTGGAGAAAAAAGTCCCCTTGTCTGATGTGTGATGGCAAGTCCCTTTCGAAAGATTCCTCAACTCTGGCAAGTTTAATGAAACCGCTCAGACAGAACCTTACCGTGGTTCATGTTTCAGGCAGAGTGGCACGTAATGCTACCAATCAAGGTATATTGTATTTAACACAGTTTACAGTTGTTTTCCCTTAAACCAATACTCTAAAGTTCAATATGGCTGGTAAACCGATGGTGTCCACGGTGCCACGTTGGACCAAGGAAGACTTAAACATAGGGAATCCCCTTTTTGGGAAATCAACCTGCTTCTTGCGGTGAAACCTTGGTTCGTGGATCCCTAGTTCAACTTTTGGTGGGATGTGACTCACAGTCCTTTCTATCACATATTTTGACTGTGGCTTGTATCGGTGTGTCTTTCTTGAGGGTACTGCGAACTGGTATCCTAGCTGTGTCAGAGAATTTGATTTCACTTCTGCTGATGAACGAGAAAAAGGAAGCCAAAGGTAACCCTGCCTCAGCTTAATTCTCAGCCATACCCTTGGGGTTTTTGCTTTGGGTGCAGCGGATTTAGAAAACATAGAGACCCCCTGGTTTTTGTGGTTAAAATTTCGGGCTCGTCCCCTAATGTCTCGAACCCCAAGTTGAGTGCATTTTGGCCGAACCCCATATGGGATTCATACACTTCAAACCGAAGTCCTTTCGTATAACTGGAGTACAAAACGAACAAATTGCATCACTCTTGCGCGGCCTTTGGGTGACTGAAGCACCGAAAGGAGTACTCAAGCAAGAGCCCCAACCCCCCGCACTAGGCGAGCCATCGGGTTCAATGAGTGAGCCTCTCGGATGCAAAAGACACGGTGCCCTGAGCCACTGAGCCATCGCAGCCGGTTTTGTTGGCACTTTTGGTTGGCACTTTTTGGGGGACGGGACGGACCCCGGGAGAGGTACCCAAAATGGATCGCTGGTACATGGAAGCAAGGTTTAAAAGCCTGCGGTCTTCTGGTGGTTTAAGTTTGACCCATAACCGATTCCCTGAGATGCAGGAATCTGAGTGCTCAAAATCTGCCGGTACAGGTTCCATTTGGGTGGCTCGTCTTTTTCGGAGTGGGTCCCCAGTTTTGGTTCTTGGAGAAACCAAAAGGAAAGCTGACTCGCGGCATTTTGGGGACCTGGTCCGGTTCCCACAAAAAAAACGAGCCCATTTGAGTCACGATCAAAACCTGGTCTTGAAATGGTCTACCCAGAACTAAAGAATCAAAGAGGCTCAGACACCCGTCCTTATGGCAAGGAAACTATCCCTCAATCTTCATCTACCTGGGTTTTGATTGCGGCTCACGCGAGTCTGTCTCAAAATAGGGAGCCGCCTTCTGGCGTGTTGTTTACTGGGAACCCAAAAGGAAACCAATTAGCTTCAGGAGTTTCCTTCAAAAATGACATGTTTATTTCCAGTTCTGGGGGGAGCTTAACCTACTTTGTGACCCTCCAAACCAAATTGCGGCCGCCGCGCTTATTCCTTCGCGTCATGTCTCGCTCACGTCGCGCCGCTCACGCCGCGCCACCCGTCGGCTCCGTCCGAGGCGCCCCCTGGCGTGGAGCTCCTCGAGCAGCTGCAGCAGCTCCGCGGCCAGCCGCGGAGCCGCCGACGCGCCGCCTGACGCGCAGCGCGTTGTGGGCTGCGCGGGGGGGCGGGTGGGCTGTAAAATGGGACGCCCGGAAAGAACGGGAGGTGGAAGGGGGGGGGTGAGGGTGAGGAAACAATAAGAAGAAGGGGAAAAGGGAAAGGCGAGGAAGGGGGGTTCTTCCAATTCGTTGAAAGTCCTTGTTGTTTTGGCACCTGCTCCAGGTTTAGTTGCGTACACGCCCGGCTTTCCGGGTGTCAAAGGCAGACCTCACGTGAGGTGTTTGGCTGCAGGAAAACAATCCAGCTGCAAGGTTCATAAAGGCGGATCCCTTACTTCCGGTTGAGGTAGAACCAACACCCTGGAGTTCAGTTACCACCATTAAAATAATGGTTGGGTTCATATAACCACCATTGTTTTTCCCTAAGGAGTGCCATCATCCAAACTAGTCAACCCTAGGGAAGTGGACAACTCCAAAACTTGAAACTGAGGACACCCTGTCCCGGCACCCGGGCCCAACCACGGCTTTTTAGACAGTACCAACTGGACTTTGGTCATGGGAAAAAGCAGTTGATGCATAGTGCTGCAACCAGGGGTGCATAAACGCCCCCATTACGAGGGTTACATCAATTTGCTGGTGTCTGGTTTTTTTTTCGACGATCGCTACTTGAGGTTCCTTAAAAAGGTACATGGCTCGGAAACCCTGAAAGATGTCCATTTCCACAAGAGAAGCATGGCACTCGGCCGAAACTTGTGAATCAATCCCCTTCAGGTTCCCATTCGGCAAAGATCCTCGATATGACCCCCTGTGGATCCAAAGGGATCTGACTTGTCGGGGTCAGCTTGATTTTAGGGAATCCCAGCGTAAATCCCGACCAAACCACCCTCCTTGTTTTGAGCACTTTGTTGGAGTTTGTCAGGCCGCGCTGCTTTGGTTGCCCGGATGAATTGCATACGACTCACAAAGTCGGGCACAAGCGCGCCGCGCTGCCGCGCCGCCGCGCTGTCGGCCTGCGGCGTGGCTGGGCTCCAGCACGAAGCTGCCCTGACTGGGCCGCGCCTCCGAAGCGCTTCGAGTTTTTGGGAGTTTTCCTCTCTGGCGCCTTTGAAGGGGCCAAAAATATACCACGGGTTTGTCGTTTGGGAGGGAGGGGAGGGAGGGGAGGGAGGGGAGGGACCTGTCAAAACTGGGATTGCTTGGGATTGCTTCCTTGTTGATTCTGTCAAAACTGGAAAGCATGTGACGGGGGGTGTCGTTTGTTTGGGGGAACCTCTGAAAAATGGGCGGCCTTAACGTTTCCCAAAAGGCTACCCTCAAGAAAAGACACACCCAGACACGCATGTCAACATGTGGACGAATCACCTGAAATCTGTTCTCACATAGACATGTACCCACGTACCCCCCCCCCTTTTTACCCAAAACCCCAGAGTCAGTGATAAGATAAGAATGGGGCGGAGGGGGTGGGCAGGGTAGCGGGAAGGGCAGGGTGGGAAAGGTGGTGCGAAGGGTGGGAAACCCGACTAAGTTTTAGTCTGTCTTGAAATCGTGATACCATGGGACAAGCATGGTGGTTACCAACTACGGCAACCACAACCTGATGTGTCAAAGGGATACTCTCGTACCCCCTCCCCCGCCCCAAGATGGATTCCGGCTCTCCTTTTGGATGCTCGCTTTGCACCACCCCAACTTGTCTTGAATAAGCTCAGGTGACATCCCCAACAGCATGCGGTGCTCTTTTTAGTGCGCGCACCACCCCGCAGCCCTCGCAGAACCTCGTGGAACCCTTGTGGAACGCTGGTTACAAACCCTGCTCGTGGAACGACCCCAAAGCTTTCAGCGGTTGGGGAATTAGGACCCCAGCAAAAGACTAGATTTGTTGCCTAGTGGAAAACAAAGGGAACCCAAAAAAAGCAAAAAACAACAAGGGGAGCGAATTCTGGGGAAGCCAAGGGTCCCAAACTGTGCCTGGACGCTGCCGTGGCCCATCTCCTTGAGAAGCATGGGGTAGCCGTGGCACACCTCGATCCAAACCCAACCCGGAAAACCCTCAATCGGGCGGCTCGTCGAATCGATTCTTTAGGCTTTGGATTCCCCCAACGTGGCAGTTTTCCTTGCGGCTTCCCTGGAAAAAACACACACACAAAAGACGTACGATCGCAAAAAAGACACACCCAGATTGCATCAGTCGCTGCCCCAGAATCACCCCGTATGGCTGTGTGTCTGTGTCTCTTCTTTTTCCTATCATGGATGCTTGATCATAAATGCAGACAACATGGCTAGTGACGACGACAAGTTATTTATGCACGTGGCCTATGTGTGCATGCCATGTTTTTTGCAGTTGGCAGGGTGATGGTTAAGGGCAAAGTACATGTGCTCTGCACGTCAGTACCCAAAAGCAGCTCGTGGAAAACTGACGCGTTTCAATGTCCAAGCGATGCGCAAATGGGCATGTAAAAGAAGCCCCCATTTCCTGGTGGGTTTTTTGGTGAGTAACCCGCTTTCAGGGACACCAAAAAGTGGAGTTGCATTGAGGCTCTACTTTGTCAAATTCCCACCCATGCAAATGTCCTTGGGTGATGCCCCCAGCCACTGAAGGGACCGGAGCCAGCCAAACACATCCAGAGGCGATTGAGGTCCTCCACGAGTGCCATTTTTACCGAGTCCAGATAGGCAGGTTTCCTCCCAAAAAAAAAATGAGTTCTTAGGGGAGTTCTCTTGGGGGACCCTCTTTTCGCTAGGTGTCCAGAGCTTTTCTCCGCTCCGAAGACCTTGCAACCTGAGCCGTGAATGGAAATCAAAGGAAACGGCAAAAAACCGCGAGGCAAAAAAAGCAAACTTGAAGGTGGAAACATCTGGTGACATGTTTCGAGGCTCGGTACCCTGAAATGAGGGTTTGAAAAGGAATTCAACACCGGCTTCACACCAAAGGGTGCCGAGCAAAAGGAAGCCAAACCTTCGTTGCTGTTGACCTCCCTGCAAAAAGTTTAACTTTTTGGAGGTTTAGTGGAAAACCCCTTGCTTTCCCAAAAAGTTAAAGTCTCAAGATCCAACCCAATAGCAGTTAAGCAATGATACCTTTGGGTGGATTCATCCCGCCTTCCCAGCCTTTTTCGGCAAAGGGCAAACATGTGCATCAGCGGCAGCGAGACGTCCAGGCGGCTGGACACTTCAAAGAGCAGAGACACCTCGGCTGTCTGGCCAACTGGGGTCTAAACTGTTTCTTTTCGTGTTTGTTAGTTTCTTCTTTCTTTCTTTCTTGCTTCCTTTTTTTGGGGGGGGGACAGAACATTGAAGCCAACAGGTATGCAGAGTCAATCCCCCCGTGTCAGTTGTTGTTGGGCAAAACAGGCTTGCCCTCGTTTATTTTGCCCAAGCATCAACCAGGAATGTACATTAGAGGGTGAAATGGCTCTCTGTTGGAGGGCAGGAGCATGTCAAAAAGCCCCTTGTTGAGGCTTACTTGAAGAAACAAGTGGCAGGGTTGAATGTGCGACCCGCTGTTTGATTGAAACAAAACCTTGAAGGCCGAACCTCTGGCTGAAGTCAGAGCATGCAGGAAGAAGAAAGCAGAGCCCGAGCCAAAGCGTGCCGCTGGAATTCTCTCTATCTGATTTCCGTGGGCTCTCTGAAAACGGTTGCACTTGGGGATAGAGGGCTCCCCAAAAGATACATCCCTCACTCACCGTCCATTTGTCTCATGGTTGTCAGGGGCCCCCCGAAGGCCCCCGAAAGAGGGGGCCCCTCTTAAAACGGAGCCTTGGAATCGGCCCCTGTTGGAGTTTCGCACCAAGAAGAGACTCTGAGGCCAAAAGCACGGTCTGAGCAAGCATCCCACTTGGCCAGAGAGTCTCAGCTCGTGATTAGAGGAAAAAAAATGAAAAAAAAGAAGAACAAACAAAAAAAAATACATCTGGACCCCCTGCAACAACGTAACTAGCAAAAAAGGAAACTGAAAAGGACCCCTGTTTCAGGGGCAAAACGGCAAAAAGGTGATATAGGTAAGTCTGGAAAAATGTTAAAAAGTGGTTTGCAACATCACCTGGGGTCTGGTGTTTGTAGCATTTCTCAGGGTTGACTTAGAGAACCCCCATATTTCCCTCCTGCTTCGGCGGTTTCCAACATCACCGTTTGCAAAACTGAAAATCCATTGGTGAGGCTCCTCTTGCTGTTTTCTTTGGTGGATGCCTGCAGAAATGGCCGTCGCATACCCCAGAAATGCTCCAATCCCTCGTTCAACTGCATAATTAACACGGCCCGATGTATGGCAAGTTCACACCTGGACAAATGCCATTGGTGGCTTCCTTTGAGGAACTGAGATGCCAAAACAGCCCCTTGAAAATCCTGCAAGAAAGGAATATTCGTGCCTGTTGTCCCCCTCAAGTCAGGCTGCCGTCTTGGTGAGGGGCATCAGCGGGCCCTTCACAATCTGCTCGCCACCTCAGGATTGTGCGCTGCAAAACCCCAAGGGGTCCCGGGTGACCTTTTGCGGATGCACAGATTTCGGTGGGCGAAAGCGAAGCGGTTGCTGGTGTCAGCCGCAAGCCTTAGAGAACCGCGTGAGGGGAGACCACATTGAGTCATAATCAAAACCCGGTATCAAAATGGTCTACCCAGAACCACGTAAAGAATCAAGAAGGCGGATATCCGCAACTGTTTATGGTTGGGATTGTCACTTACTAACGTTCATCTACCCGGGTTTTGATTGTGGCTCAGCATGACATGACATGCAGTCACAAATTCAGGGGCACCCGGATTCTCTTTCTCCCGCTTCTTTGGACACCCCAATTATGAAAATCACCCCGTATTTTGGGGGGGTCAAACAAAAAAAGCCCGGGGCCGGGGAAAAAAAAGACAAAAGCGGCGCGGAAAAAAAAAAAAAAAGCGGGTCGGCCCAGCCAGACATGGCTCGAGCGAGCCGCCTGTTTGGATGGCCTTCGTCTCCCCGTCCAGCTTTCCAAAGACCTGACGCACTCAGAGAGGCCGTGGGATCTAAGCAGAGACGCCGGTTGATCTGATTCGGCGCGAGTTGGGGGGCGGGGGCATGTTCGGGTAGTTTTAAGTGGGGATCTAGACCACTTTTGGAAAAAAACCCTTTCCCCCCCCCATGAGCAGCACGGGTTTATTCACCCGGGGTGAACATTAGTCCAGAATCTCGATTGGAAACCACGAAGTGAATCGAATACTTTCGATTGCCCTTCAACAGCCCGGTCTATAACTCATTTCCTGAGTTGCTGGGCCAAAAAACGTCCAAACCGTGTTTTGTTGCCACTAACATGGTCCAAACCCAAAAAAGTCCATGAACTCAGGAAGCGAGATAAGAGCGTGGCTGCCTCTCAAAGGGCCTTCGCGCGGCTCACAGGCACCCTGAGGTTCAGGCAGGCCATGAACACAATCCGGGGCCATGTTTCACCTCCATTGTTTATCCAAGGATTTTGTCATGGGGGGCAAGTTGGGTGCTGGCCGTTCTTTTCATGGAACCAAGCAACCTTCATGCTGAGCCATGCCCACCTTACCCAGGTGCTTTTGTGCCTAACGAATGGTTCACCTGTGGCAGTGGCTCTTCTTCGATCGATTCCTTGGCACAAATCCACCTTCTTCGAAGGTTCTTGTGCGATCCAGGTTTCCTGTGGGCTTCCCTGGAGGTGAACTCAGAATTCGGCCTGGGCCCCCCCCCTCGAACCCACCAGATTAGGGCGAAAGTGGATGGCACCATTTTCCCTTAGGGGTAAGGGGATGCTATGGATGACATCCCCCAACGCTCAAAGGGGAAGTACACTTAGGTCAGTAGCCATGGTCAACAAGCCCAAGCCAGGCCAGGAATCACGGCTTGCTATAAGTGCCCTGCCTTCAGGCAGCATCTACCAAGAAATCCTGCGCACCCGACCGCCTGCCCCAAGTTCCACGTTGTTAAGCCTCACTGCGAATTGAGCACCGTCCAAAGAGATCCCCACAACCTATGGGTGCGTGATGCTGTCAAAGGCGGAAAAGAACTGCACACGATCTTGTGGGAATCATGAGATTTCTTGGTTCACCTTCCAACCCCCCGCCCCCCCCCCCCCAAGCCCTCCCAAATCCCCCGAAACGAGTCTTCCGGCTGCCCCTTTTCCTGGGAGAAAAAAAAAGAAAAAACGCCCCGTCGGACTGGAGATCGCGCCTGCTCCAGCTGCACAAAGTCCGCGCGGCTCTGCGCGATCGGCCGGGAGTCCCGCAACAGGAAGCCTCGATCCGGGGTCCGCGATCCGAATGGGTCGAAGGAAGTTCCAGCGAGGGCCCGAGAAAACCCGTTGACTTTCGGGTCGCTTTTATGCTGGAATAGAGGTGTAGATGGGGCTGACTGCTTTTTTTGTGGAAAGAAAATGGCGGCTGTGCAGGTGGTTGCTTTCCTTTTGGTTCCCCTGGAAAACAATCCGAAGAAGGGTTTCCTATTTTGAGACAGATCCATATAGCCTTTACTATAACTCCAATGAAGCCAGGTAGCAGAACAACCTGCTAATATGGCTTCCCGAGGATTTCGAGCTGCTCAGAGCTTGTAACAAGTGGTCCTTCTCTGGGGTGCTCTCCTTTCAAAAGGTCGATCACAATCCGTAGGTGCCATGGAAACTTCGCCGGCGATTCAGTCACAAAGACACGCCATGTGTTGACCCCGTTTTGATTGATCAGCTTGGCATCCAAGAGCAATGCACTGGGCCAGAAGTCAAAAAAGCAGCCTTTGCACCCACTTTTCCCAAAGCTGGGGTACACAAACAATATGTTCCAAATATGTTTCATGTTTAGGCCGCACAGAACCTACATCTCTTCTGAGACCCCATGGCTGTATCTGAGTGAAAAAGCCACTTTACGGACCATGCTATGGGTGGTTTCCCCACCTTAGACCTTGAGCAAAGGTGCTGATTGGGCGATGGGGAACTGTGGGAAACTTAGAATTGGGAAACCTCTAAAATGAGTGTTGTCCTCTTTGCGCCCCTTGGAATCGAAAACAAACAAAAATCAAGAGAAAAGGTACCCTAAATTTCGCGCAGCATGTCCTGTACGCCTTGGACCCGTTTGCCAGCTTCCAATACTGATGGGCAGACTTGCAAAAGCCAAGGGAAGCTTATGACCTTGCTACCATATCCTCGCCAAACTCCTGGTAGCTCCTTGGCTCCCTCTTAAAAGGCAAATTTGGATACCCCAGCTCCTTGGCTCCCTTCCGACCCTCATAGTCACTAGCACTTGTAGCACAAATAGGTCGCTATGGCTCCCCTATAGCTCTGAAATAGCTTCTCAGCAACCGACTCGCGAGTAATTCAGAACATCGCCCAAGGGCTCAAAAGCACACCTCGAATGTAAACCCGAAAAAGGGATCCAAGAGCCGCAAGCCGCTCTTACACCCAGAGTCTTCAACATGTGGATAGACTCAATCCATTTCGGACCACTTGGGATGGTAGTTCAACCTTGCTTAGTGGAATGAACCATAAACTGCAAACCACCTGCCAAGTAGCAAACACCATCACACCTGGACCAACGATTCTGACAAAATCCCCTGGCGAACGGGCGACTGGTGTTGAAACGAAAAGGCCGGATATCCACACCCATTTCATAGTTGGGACTGTCACTTTACCCGAAAACACCAGGATGCAATTCTGGGTAGATGTTAAGGGGATAAGACTCAAATGAAAGTGGATGCCGGCAACATGTCCTCCATGTTTCTTCAGTCCTGAGGGAAGCCTCTGCCACGTTTTGTGATGGCTCGAGCCAAGGCCCATCCGCCGAGGCCGAGCCGCGCAGGGCGTTGATCATTACAATGGGCGTGGGGTCCGGCCTCGGTTGAACAATCCGAGGCGCAGTTGGTGGCTGGCTCGTGGTTTGTTGAGACTCCCGATTTTTGGGGATGGGGTTTAAAGGGAAACCAAAAAAGAACAATATTTGAAAACATGGTGGGGGTCTCATAGAAAATAGCCGTAGTCTATTGCAGGAGACTTTCATCCAACTCATGGATGTTGTCCAAACATACCATTTGGAGGGAACCGAAGTCTCTAAACCATCTTTCTGGGGGGATCCCCTCTCTTTAAATCTCATAGGAAATAATGTGTTCAGATTGTGTTTCATACGTCAACCCTGAAAATACAAAATAGTTGGAGAGACCCCATATTCGGAGGGATCAAACTGGCGCCATTCTGCTTTCAAGAAAGGGTTGTCTGTAACTGGGAACCCTTGAAATGGCAGGTTCCTTGTTACGTCGAGGAATCTGCTGGGTGCAAAAGAACCACCGATCCCATTGTTTCCATCAAAGCCCTGTCCCAGTTCTTTCCATCAAAGCCAGTGTTCTCTATGATGCTTTTAAGTATAGCACCAGAACAAGTGAACAACAAATCCTTCTATGTGGTCTCTGCCCAGATAGGCGATAAGGGGTGGATGAGGGCCCGCCTTCAGGGAGGGTTCTGGAAGGTTCCAGGCAAATACCACCTGAGCTTATTTTCTTTTGGAGTTCCCCCTGTTTCACATTGGTCTGAAGCCAGAAGCCGAAAAATCCACAGGGCCCGCTCGAACAAAACCGATTTTCCCACATACCGATCCGGTGCTGCGATCCATCTTTTTAGCTTTCTTGGGGGGAGCCGCCGTTTCAAAAATCTACCACCCAAAAAAGTGCCAGCTCTTGTTTTCCCATAACATATCCCCTCTTGAGCTGTGCCCCAAAGCTTCTCCCAAATTTTGAACCCCTTGTTGGCATTGTGGGCGCGCCGAGGATTTGTCTTTTACTGCTTGAGAGCTTTTGGTGTAGGCAGTTGGCGGCACGTGCGCCCAAGGAGAGTTCTCAGTGACCACGTGTTAGACAACGCTTGCAGATCTCTTGCCTTTCCTGAGCCTTGCACTTCTCAAAGTGTTTTGTTTTGCTATGATTACATTGCTGAGCATTTTGCCGGGAGAAAGGGAAACGGCAATTTTGCTTTGCGGTAGGAGCCTTACTGTGCTGTCCGCACCATGAGGTGCAGGACTTTTCATTTCGTCCCAGGCTGGCCTCCTCGCCGAGTCTGGCTCAAGCAATAGTCAGCTTTTTTGGGGGATCCATCGTGTCCCGTACTCAGAGTCCAACGTGTCCGCTATCTCAAGATGCGCATGGCACTCGAACGCAGGTCTCCCTTCGGACCCAGCGGCTTCCCGTCCATGTCCTGGAACTCAAAGCCCAGGGTCTTGCAGCCTTGCTTCCGACGAACCAAATCATGCGCCGAGTGGTTTGGTTTGGTGTGTAATGTTAACCCCGGATTAATACACCCCTGCTGATTAATAGTGCCCCCTTTTTAGTGGGGATTCATCACTTTTAAAGCAAACACCCCCCTAATAATGGGACGGGCTTATTAATCCTGGGTCAACATTAGGTCGGGTGGCGCTTCCCCCGCGAGTTGCCCCTCTACGAGAACCAGGGGATCAAATGCAAAAACCGTCAATCCAAACCCTGGCCCTAGAATGGGGGTCTCTTTTCTTCAGAGCACCCGCTTCTTCGCGGTTTCAAAGAAACCAAAAGAAAACCATGCAGGTGGTATCCTGTTTCGGAAAAATCGCTGCAGATTTGGGTGCATCCTTTTCCAAAACCACCCGTTTCGAAGTTCTGCTAAAGCAAAAATCGAGGGAAACCACAATTTCAGGTCCCCTGCTTTGAAGACCCGCTTCGGCTGTTCGTGTCCTTCGAACTCCGTCGGCTCGAGCCGATCGTCAGAGTAGAAGCTTGCCCCCAAGGAGATCAAAACACAGGGGCGCAGAGCTAGTTCTCTGCCTTGTTTTTTTTAGGGCTCAGGTAAACCCAAGGCTCACATTGCGGGGTCCCCGATTTGGCAGAACCCTTCTTCCTTGCATTTGTTTTGCATCACCTCAAAGGAAACCCACACCAAAAAGCATGTGATGCTTACATCAACCAAACCAATGGTCTCATCTTTGTGTCTGGTACATGTTTGGTGAACCCTAACATACAATAGAACTTCAAACAAGAACCCCGTACAAGAAAAGACACCGGACTCCTTGCACTGAAAAAGGCCCAAAAGGTGATGACAAAAAACTAAGGCAATCTCCAGCAGTCTTCGTGCTTTTGAAAGTTGCCACCCTTGGGGTAGTTCCAAATGGGCGACCAAAGGGTAGTGCGTTTCTTGAGAGTACCCGTAGGGTCGAACCCAAGGGGATACGGTATTAAAAGGAAAAGCAATTCGTGGGGTCCCAAAAAGAGTTGAGAGCGCCGGGCCTTCCACGAAGAGGTGCACGTCCTCCGTCATCGAGGCCATAAAGATCTTGGCATAGGCGAAACCTCGAGTGAAGGGGTGGGGATTTCTGAGGCTCGGTGCCCTTGTAGGAGTTTGCTTAGGAGTATTTTGAACCAAAACCCATACTGTGGATGGACGAAATCCTGCACCACTTGGAAACCATGAGAAACCATTGTTCGTTGGTATTTACAGGGGAATCATCATTCCATGGTTTCTTAGGTGGTGCAGGATTTCGGCCATCCCGTTTTCCAGCGCGAGCCGCGCTCGGGCTGCGCCAGCTGCCGCACCTGGCCCCAGTCCAGCACGCAGAGCCGGCCTGGCCGTGCATTCCGGTGGATGCTCTGGCCTTGAGACGGCTTCACGTTTTGGTGGCGCTCAAGTTTCTTGCTTCTGGTTGTTTTTTTCTGGTTGCTTCTGATTTTCTTCTTTCTTGCTTCTGGTGGTGTTTTTTGCCGGGCCAGGGGAGGAGCGGGGTGGAGGGGAACTGCAAGTTGGCTGAAGGGAAACTTGTTACTGAAGGAACCGAAACAGGGGTGGATATCTCATCCCAGACTTCAAAAAGAAAAGGATGTCCTTGCCGAGTGGCTGAAGGACAATATCAACAGCAAGCGTGCAAATTGTGGCTGTTGTTTCACCATCGGATTCATCCTGACTGGCGCGGGACTGTGTCCGTCAATATGTGATGTGGTTCCTTGCGTGCACCAGATGGGGAAATGAGCCCTAGTTGGTCTATCTCAAGATGAGTTTGTATTTCTGGGAGGTTCAGGCCAAACGCAAGAAAAAGGCAAGGCAGCTATATGCCAAACTTAAAATCGATTCAAATTGTCAGAAAAGACCACCAAGGGAAACGCAAGGGCAACTGACTTGCAAGCTATGAGCATTCAGTGTCGGTGAACCTGGATGTTTTCCTGGGTAACGGCATACCCGCTGTGGCTTGTTCGAAGGATCATAGGTGACCTTCTGGAAAAATCGATAGGCTTCCCTAGTAATCCGGTGGAACCCATCTGTTTCATTGCCCAAACTAACCTGAAAAGGACACCTACGCTAAGGATACCTCTTTTCACAATATGGTTGACAGCCCGAGGTATTTGCCGTGAAAAGAATGCGGGGGGTCCCAGAGAAACATTCATCTGCACAACTGATCAATGACTTCACGTTTCCTACAGCTCAACCAAGGGTTGCTTTGGATTTTTGGAAACTGGCCCCGTGAATTCTTCCCGTCAAAATACACCTCCTAAGTGGTAGGTGAAAGGGAAGCAGCCTCGGTTCCCTAGCGAGGGCAACTTCGATAAACGCCAACAATGAATACTGGCCCCATGATTTGTTCATGATCAAAGTCACCCGCCAAGTGGAAGGCTAAGGGGAAGCAGCCAACCCATTTTCTGACTTCAAACAAGTCCCCGGAAACAGTCAAAATACTGACCCCCCCCCCGATTGTTGGTTTGGATTGGTGGGCCCGGTCTGTACAAACGCCAGCGGTTCAAATCCTCAAACCAATCCGATCTAATCAGACTTTCTGAACCATGACTTGTCCATGCACCCCCTAAGTGGTAGGTTAGAGGGAAACATGTCCAACCAGCTTCTGACTTACGAGGCCCCAACCGTTCGAAAAAAACTGACCTTCTGACTTTCGGGGCTTAGAGGAACGCACTCAAACGCTCGCTGGGAACCCGCCTGTCTCTTTCTCCACCAGGAGGTTGCCAGGGTGGGGGTCGCAGTTGAAGATGGGCCCGTGCAGCGTGAAGCCTGCGGAGGTCACGGGTGTCACGGCACGCCACCCCGCCCATGGAACGAAGCACGGAAACCCATAGCAGTTGCTTTGTCCTTGAATTAACGGGATGATAAATGGATGGGTGTCTTTAGGGTACCTGAGTTTTTTGGAGTTTTAGGGGGTCCCTGGAAAAAGACACACTTAGATGGGTGTTGGGGGAAATGGGGCCCGTTACTCAGCAGGAGAGCAAAGCTGGGTGACCGTCACATTGTGAAAAATGCAACCCCTGAGAAATTCCGGAAATTACCGCAAACCACCCAATAGGGAACATATGGGTGTATCTCAAAATAGGGGACCCGAAAATTGTGGGTTGTTTCTCCCCCCGTAAGGTATTCACTGCAAAAAATGAAGAAGACAACAAAGCCAAGCCTCGTGTTTGATCCCTGCCTTTTTTTCCTAACCACGAAGCGACACCGGGAGAATCTCTTGGCTTGGCCCCCACCCGAGCCCAACTAATATATATATATATATATATACATATATACTAGGTCCTCCAGTAGAGAGGTTAGAAAAAGAGAACCTTTTTCTGTAGTCTATTTTAGTAGGGCAAGCCTCCCCAAAAAAGGACCTTTTTTTTTTGTGTACATATTTGCCCTGAAACATCCGCTGAAGAAGATTCACTTCAAATTGGCTCAACTATTGACCTTTACCACCGACAAAGGGTATGTCTCTTCTTTTCTTGTTTGTTTTTCTTTGTTTTTCTTTTGGGGGGGTATGGTATGTCTCAAAGTTGAGTTGTTTGGTATGTCTCAAAATTGAGATGTTTGGCATGTCTCAAAGCGGAGGACCCTTCCAAGCTTTCAACTCACCCCAAGAAAGACGCGCAAGAGTAAGAATCCTCGGCGCCGGACGGACCCCCCCTCGCCCCTCACCCCCAAATTCATGTTTGTAGTTCCCCAGGGCTTTGACGCATCTTCAAACATCGGAAACTCCGCAACAGAAGCCCCCAACTCAAGCACCCTCTTTGCCCGCACCAGTCACGGCTAGGGGCAACTACGTGCCTTTCGGATCCATCAGTTTTTTCGTTGACCCAATATCTCACAGCCAGACCGGCGAGACCTTCAAACACAAGATTCTTGGCCCACTGCCACATCCGGGTCCTAGGTCGTCTCTTCCAGAATATCTCAAAGCTTGAGGCAAAAAGCAATGACCTCGGTCAAAGAGAAGGCATGACAAATCATGGCTAGGGTTTTTTCAGGTTCATGGCTGTCTGGCATACAGCTTTGAGACCCCAAAAAAAAATCGAACCTCCTCGAAACGACCCCAGCCCCCGCCGTAGAAGTTGATGAGCTTCGCCAGCACTTCGGTCCTTTGCTGCTTCGAGACCCCCGCGCCTGCCTCGGAAAGAAGGCGCTTTTGGTGCAACGGGCATGGGATGGGAAGCCTATAGGTATACGGATTTTGTTTTTTTCGTTTTCCGCCAACATCCCCAGCATCGTTTTCGGCATCCCCCGCATGCAACATCCCTAGCATCACCAATAAATCGTGGGGAACAGAATCAAAAAAGTAGCTGGCGGGTTGACGGGGTCAAAAAAATGATGATTCAACTAGGAGGGCATTTCAATCCCTGAAAAAGAAAAAAAAAAAAAGTAGCGGGGGGGTTGGGGCAGCCCCCCCCCCCCATGATGTTCGCAGAAGTGATGATTCGAATAGCTCTGCAAAAAGTCTAAAAAGTAGCGGGGGGGGTTGGGGGGGCGGCCCCATGATGTTCGAAGAAGTGATGATTAAAGTAGGGGTGCAATGATTCAAGAACGGGTGCGATAGAATTTAAAAGGCAGCGGGAGCTTTGGCGGGGGTGGCTTCACCTATGATGTTCGAAGAAGTGCATACATACAGACATACATGGATTACATAGATTACCTGAACTGTCGTATTTTACAGCATTTTCTCGCGAAATTGGACGCTCGAAAAAGCGATGATTCAAACAGGGGTGCAATTAAATCTCTGCAAGAAATCTGAAAAGTAGCGGGGCGGTTGGGGGGGGGAGGCGGCAGCCCCCACCATGATGTTTGAAGATGTGTTGATTCAAATTGGGGTGCAATTTCTCTGCAAACTTTCTAAAAAGTAGCTGATGATTCAAATAGGGAGAACACTGGTGATGCTGATGATGCGAAGAGCCAAATCCAAAAAACCAATGAAAGGGTGCAAAAGCCAAAACGCCCGGGAGCCAAAGCCGCCAAGAGCCGCATAAACCAGCAAAAAGCCGCGGAACTGGGAATGCGGAGGATGCGAAAAGCCAAAGCCAGAAAGCTGCCAAAGGCCGCATAAACCAACAAGAAGCCGAAAAGCCAAGAAGCCAAGAAGCCGAAAGCCAAAAGCGGAAAAAGAGAAGAAAAAAAAAAACGTAAAATAAATACCCCTCCATACGTATATGACTGTGGTTGTCAAAACCAATGGGATCCCATTTTGGGGTTTTCGGTGCACCACCCACTTTAGTCTATTTGAGTGGGGATTCGGATGTTCACTGGGGGTACGATTTGGATTTTGACCCATGGCCAGCCTTCTAGTCCATGTTTCTATTTAGGGCAACCCATCTTGGGGGTTATTTTTCACCCACCCATTGGAAGCCCCCGGCACCGAAGCCAAAGGGGCCCCCAAACAAATCAATCTGCTTTCGCTGGTTCGATAAGGAAAATGAGAAACGGAATGACCCCGAGAAAAACCATCCATCCGATTTGGCGTCCTTTCCGGAATCCCAAAAAACGGTTCATTCCCAAGACATGGAAGGACATTCTCTTCTGAGCACCAGCAAGTTGGTCAACATTCCCTTCGGCCCCCGGCCATGACCATGGGTAACTTGTCCCATGTGGTGATTCAGTCATATTGTTGGTGGTGTCCTTCATGGCGGAATGTAAAGGACGGTCGTTTGACCCTCCAAACCTTTCTATTCAACCCTTCCACTTTGTTTAAGCCTCCACCCTTTTTGTCGAATGATATTTGGGGCCTCCGACATGTGCATGGACTTTCAAAGAAAGCCAAAGTAGAGATCACCGGGTGAGGAACCAGAACTAAATGATTGACTGACAAACCGACTGACTACCTCAATTGGGGAACCCACCATGTTTGTCAGGTCTTCGGTGGGAAGCCCACGGTGGTTTGGGGCAATCCAAAAATTGTCCAGAGACTGCAGGATGGAACCTGAACGCTTCTGGGTTCTCATGGTGGACAGTGGACCGTTTGCAGTCGAAACATGGAAAAATGGGGCCCAACTCCCCACTGCGGCAAATCTGGCCCGTCCCCCCTTCTCCCCAAAGCAAAGGCAGGTCAATCTTGTACTCCAAATCAGGGCTGTCTAGATTTGCAAACCAAATCAATACAACTGACATTTGGGTCAGGGCCAAGCCCATGTAAAAAATGTCTATGCTGTGAGTTGGCTAAAGTGAAGTATGAACAAAGTGGATGGAACATCCAACGCACATGGTGCCCATTGCGCACCTAGTCAACCCCAATCTTCATAGTTCAATCCCAACTCGCACACTGGCAAGTGGAATTTGTCCATCCACAGAGATCCGAACCTTCGTGTGGCTCCCCCCCCAAAATCGTCGGCTCGGAATCAAGATCGCATGCTGGCTATTTCCCGGCCGGTCTGTTCAAGGTACCCACGCCAAAACCTATCCTCACAAACGTCTAGGTGAAAATCCATATGACATTTTGACTAGTCGGGCTTTAGACTGCGGACATGTTTCTTCGGTTCTTCCTTCGGCTTCCCGAAAAACAAAACCCACCCCCCCAAAAAAAAAAAACATCGAGCCGCGCAAAGCCCGCCCAAGCGTGGGTGCAACGCCCCCGGTCCAACCCTCCGGCCCAACCCTCCAGGCTCGGCGCGTACTCCGTGATCTTCACCCCTTTCACGAAGTCCATGGCCAGCACCCGCTTGGTCACGAACCTGGACGCACACCCGGGCCCGAGGATGCCCAGACAAAAAACCGAACCGGTGCGCCATTTTGAGAACACATAGGAAGAGGAAAGGAAGAAAGACACCCAGGATTGGAACGACACAGAAAACAGATGGAAAAAGGAGCAAGGGCACGGAATGCATGTCTTCATTCTTTCCATGAAATGGAGATCATCTTTTGGGTTGCCAAGTTGCCATGAAAAGTCTATGGCCTGGGCTTCGCGACGGACCCCGGGGCGGTACTCGGAAGCAAAGTTGCAGACCATTCGAAGACTCAACCAAACATTCCCGGTGAGTCCTATTTACCCCAATGGTACTTGGTCCATCTTCCTTTCTTCCCCTCCGCCCAATCCTGGAAGTGGGCATGGGCGTATGGGGCCCATTTTAGAGGACTGCGGTCTATGATTCCTCGGCCCTTCTTGTTGGAAAGAGGGCATACTTGTTTTATGTGGGGCTTCAGGTAGACCCAAGCCAGCTTTAATTACCAACGAGAAAAGGGGTCAGTGGGAACTACCCCAACCTTTGACCCAAAACGATCTGCTTGGTCCATACCAACTCAAGAAAATCCTGAGACGGGATGCTTCCCAAGGAAGGGGTCGGTGACCTTTTTGGGGGGGGAGCGGTGAGGCAAAAAGCGGTGGAAAGCGGTGAGGGGGTCAATGTAGCGTCGGCTTCAGCTCAGGAGCTCTTCGATGACCTTCGGCACCAGCACGTCCTGGGAGAAAAGTTTGCTCATGCGTTCGACACACCTCTCTGGAGGGCAGCGCACGTACAGACACACGTACAGACACACAAACAAACAAACCAACCAACCAACCAAACAACCAACCAAACAAACAAACAAACAAACAAAACAAACAAACACAAAAACACACAGGGCAAGCCGAAAATGGACCACTAAACTGCAGGCGTGCTTGGATTCGGGGGTGGTTCGTAATGAGGCAGACGAATCTGAAAATGAACGGCCGGAACCGCGCCATTTAGAATCGGCCGAGTCTTTTTGAGACCCCTCCCCAACTTCGAGGTTCCCCTTTACAAATAAAACAAATTGTGGTAAATAGGTGCCCCTAAAAACCAGACAGACCCCAAAAAACAAAATATTTTAAAAAAAAAAAAAAAAAAAAAAAAAAAAAAAAAGAAAGAAGAAAGAAGAAAAAAAAGACAGACCCATTTTTATTAAAAAAAGAGGAAAGAGGCCCAGCTGTGGGCTCCCTCCCCTGGGCGAAAAAATGTCCGAAGCCCGGAGGCCCGGATCGATCTCCCTCTCGAGCCGCCCGGAACTCCCCCCCTGGCCGCTCTCAGCTCGGGTTTCGCCCCCGGCCCCCTGCCCCCTGCCCTGAACTCCCCCCTGCCCCTCTCCCCCCAAAATGTCCGGCTTAAGAGGTCTGGCCAAATCATGATTAGAGTTAGGCCCAGCTATAGCATGTAGATCTTATTGTTCGGTTCACATGGAGCTGGCAAAATGTAAAATGTATCCTAAGTCTACCCTGAACTCACTCAGAGACAAGCCTTTCGATGTCCAAGCCGAAACCGAGAACCGATTTGGCGCCTATCCAACTGAGAGACGAAAGCAGCCCATCCACGTGCGAAGGTTTCTACGGCCGTTGGAGAACAGACCCATGGAACCAGGTAGAACCTATGAGAACGGATTCCAGAACCTGTGGATGAACGAAATCCACCTCACACTAGTTGATAGGTGGTTTGTGGAATTGTTTATAGGGCTTCTTCTTTCCACAGTATGGAAAAAACGGATGGGAGTTTTGCCAGCCATGGGGATGATGTTTTTAAAGACAGATTGTAGATGGACAAAATCCTGCACCGGTTGTCCATCCAAAGAGGGTATCCTCAAAAAAAAAAAAAACATACCGAGTTTGTAGGTGGCCCCAGTGTTCAAATCGGGCTTCGGCCATCACAACTGTTTCCGATCGACCTCCAAAAACAGCTGAAGCAACCCTGAAACTCAAGGTTTTCCTGGTTTCCCTTTGTCAGCCACTTTCAAAGAGAGTACAGTGCCTCAAAGATACATATCCTTGACCCGCGTACTCTGTTCCATATTTGCCCTAAAACATAGAATGGTCTTGATTTGGAGACCCCCAAACACACAAAGCACACCTCGCTGTTTACGGAATCCAGTTGCGGGGTTTTGAGAAAGGTGCCACGGAAAACGAGAATGTCCATGGTTCAGAGAGGGGTATCTTCGCTTCCAATGGCCCATATCTGACTCCACAAAAGCGTGGGCTCGTTGGAATTCTCCCCCCCTGTTGAGTGGTTTTAAGGGAAAACGGAAAGGAACACAAGGAATTTCCCCTAAACATGACCCTGGATTCATCAACCCGTTCCACTGATACAGGTGTGGGGGGGCTCTCCGAAAGTGATGCAGCCCCACTAAACAAAATCAGCTTGGACTTCTGCTTCCTCCGGGGTTAACATTACTCTGAGTTGTCCAATGCACCCAGAGATTAAAGGTGGTTCCTTTTGAAGCCTTGACTAAATATGGCCAAACTGGAAAGCAAAAGGTCCTATCAGGTCGAGTTTGAACAACTGAGGTCCTTACCCTCCCGTCCGTTCCTGGAATCTGACTGAGGGGTCTTAGAAGACCATTTTCCTCCAAAAGAGGACATTTCTCTGGTGGGTTCCATGGCAACGACAGGAGAGGAGTCTGAAATAGGGGGTCCCTTAAAAAAGAGACAAACTGATTTGGTATACTGATTCAGGGATTCACCAACGAATGCCGTAGATTTGGGTGCGCCCCTCAAAAACTTGCTGGTGCTCAGCGGGGAATAATCCCTTGTGGCGTCCTCTAAGGGAATCCCAAAGCGGTGCATTCCCAGCAACCCCCAGGTTACTCGCACAGGGGGTGTTGGGTTTAGTTGGGCATCAGACCACTATTGGAGGGGCCAAAACCCCCCCTATGAAACTCAACTGGTCGGTTGATGAAAATGGGGTCCTCATTACCCCTAATGGGTGATTGGTTTGGTGGTTTGGTGGGTTACCCTACAACTCATCAGACCACTTTCCCAGCCCCCTATGAAACTAAACTGGTTGGTTGATTCATTCTATGCACGCATCCATCCAGTGCCCGCAAAGTAAGTTGACGACTGTTCTGTTCCACAGGCATCAAATGAGACGTTCAACTACATTGAGGTGGCCAAGAAACTAAAGAACGCCATAGAATTTAGGGGGTCCCCCAAACTGATACCACCCTTTTTGGGTGTGAAAAATCTCAACATGGACACCAAGGCACGCAGTCGAGGTATCCTGTGGGGTCTTCGCTTCGGGGAAAAAAGAAAAAGAAAAAAAAACGAGCGAGGCGGCCATATTGGTCTCCAAGGCTTCGGCCAGCCCCGCGTCCAGGATCTTCTCCCGGGCCAGCGTTTGGCTTTTCGCCTGAGACCAAAACGCGCGACCCCAAAAGCGGAGGGCGCGCCCGGCCTTTTTTCGAGGGAAGCCCCCTGGATTTGGGGTGGGGTGAAAGGGAAACCAAGGGAAGCACCAGAAACGGTGTTTTTTGGGAGTGCCCGAAAAAAAGGCAGTTTGTTTTCGTGAATTTTGAGGAGGGGCCCTTTGGTGGAAATCATTCAGTCAGGGGATTCATGTCCACCAAGCACTTTTGAGGTCGCTTACTATAGTTCACACTCAATTGAATGTGTGTGTGTGTGGCTCTCTACACCCTTTTGCTCTGGCTGGTGCCATGGGGTCTCTTGACCATAGCAAATGTGCGATTTTCAACAACAAAGCCTCCTTTCATGGACACCTGGCGATTCATGTCCACTAACTTGGGGAGGGGGTTCCCTTTGAAATGTCATTGCCATTTCCCAAAAGGAAGTTTCTGTAGAAATGTTTCTTGGGGGTTCGGTCTTAATCTGCAGAGAAGTAAGAAGTGCCCAAATCAAGGGAAACCTCAACAATGGAGTGGGGGGCCTTTTTGAAATGGCCTCCCTTCAAAACAAAAACAAACAGGGTGTCAACACACCCACTACACCTTGTGCCCCAACCAGGTGCTTCCTTTTGGTTTCACTTTGGAGCCAATTCCAAAAGGGAGCCCTCAAAAACACGAACCCCGCTCTTCACAAGAAGCTTGTTGCAATCCCGTCAAACACAGGGCGACTCTCAACACAGAACCTGAAGGAACAAATTTCGTGGATTCCCAACCTGATACGCTAGCCAAAGGCGTGGGCTTTTGTTCCAGGCCGATAAGCATGATGAGCCAAAAACTGATCAAAACTCAAGGTCTTGTTTAAAATTTCGGGAGTGGCTCCACGTTGATCCCAAATCGATTCACAAAAACACTGATTTGAAACACTGATTTTGGGCTCCCATAAACATGAAGGTAAAATCATGTTGGCCCCTGGTGAATTACAACCTTGATCCAAGGCGTGCACGTGTTACAAGGATGTCTTTTTCGGTGCTGGGTCATGTGACCCCTGCCACGCTTAGGAAAATCGCCGTCCATTCCGACGTTACCGAGACCCGATCAGCACATGGCCCCTGCTCCAAATGTCTGTTTCTTTCAGTGTAGATGTTGAAGCAGCCTGGGTTCCCATCATCATTTCACATCTTTTTTTCAGTCAAGGGAAGACATCATTCCCCGAAACCCGTTGGCGTTGGGACTTGGGGTGGTGTAGTGGGAAACCCTGAGGGCAACCCTTCGAGGTTCCGCCCCTCTTGGTGCAGCATGTACGTCGCTAGGTCAACGGTTGTCCTGCTGGTTTTCATTGGAAGCCAACCAAAAAAGAAGTTCCCTGAAAAAGACAGACCCACAAGTTGTGGCAGAACCAGAAAAGGTCAACCTCAAAATGGACTATGGAAAATTCCGGAATTGCGTTCCTTTGGGCCAGGGGCGGGGGGATTTCCCCTTCCAATGTGGAAACTTTCTAGCAATCTAGCAGGAAGAAACGCAATTTCGTGTATGTCTTGCTGTAGGGGACCCCACAACACGGTGGGTTTTCTGGTTTCCCGTTAAAAACAACCAAAAAGGGTACCAGTGTCTTTTTTCGAAGAAGCCAAGGTCTGGCCGCTTAAACTCGGCTTTGATTGAACCCCTAACTGGGGATTGCCCAACCCTACGCACCTACCCCTGCCAAAAACTTCCAACGTCAACTACCCCGCGAAAAGAAAACCTGAAATGTTGCAAGGGTTCCCTGAACACAAAAAAACAACCTTTCTTCTACCCCAAGCGAACACCTAAAAAAATCCATGGCTGGGCGTCCGGTTTTTCCCAACCCCGCAGAAAGAAAAAAAACAACCCCTGGTGTTGGCATCTGGCTTTTCCGCCACCGAAAAGGAAAAAAGTACACCAGCAGAGACCCCAAACAGTTGAGGACTGACGTGCAAGCACAAAATGCCAACAGCTTGTGGCTTTTTGCGCTTCAACACGGATGAATCAAAATGATGCAGTCGTGAACCTGGCACGCGTTGCGTTGCTGCACGTGTGTTGCTGCCGTGCTTCGCGCTTCAGCACTGCGCCAGGAGTGAGGTTGGGCCAGCGCGTGCGATAGCAGGCGAGCGCGCGCGCTTGAACACGAGTGTGGCTGCGCAAGCGCGCGGTCACATGGGCAGTTCAGACACACATGTGTGTACACCTGGAGCACACATATGTATACGACTGAAACAGTACACGCGGCACGTGCAGATGCGCACCTTTGAACACCCACATATACATTCACCTGCGGCACACGCATAAATGTGTTGAGCTGGAAAACAAACATGTGCTTCTTGGAAAGCACACACACATGTGTACACCTGGAACACATATGTGTGCACCTACGACACGCTAATGTGCTCACGTGGAACACACATGTGTGTTCACTTGGAACACAATGAAACGCGTGTCCAATTCAGACACACATGTTTGTGTGTCTAAGTGGAACACACATGCGTTCACCTGGAACACAAACGCGTGCAATTAAAGCGCACATGTGTGTACACGTGGGACACACATCTGTATACCACTGGAACACAAATATGTGCCCAGGAACCTGCGTGTGCGATTAAAGCACACATGTGTGTACACGTGGAACACACATATGTGCACACGTGAGCAAACATAAATGCTCACCTAAAGCGCACACACATGTTCGCACCTCAAAAACAATCATGCATTTTCTGGAGCCCATACATGTGCACACCTGGAGAGCAAATATGTTGTCAGATGCAAAAAAACGTTCACCTAGCAAACACTAATGTGTTCACGTGGAACACACATCTGTTCACCTGGAACACAAACACGTGTCCAATTGGAACACACATGTGCGTACACGTGGAACACACATATGTCACACATATGTGCACACGTAAACACTCACATATATGTCATATATGTGCACCCGGAACACACACCCGTGTGCTCATCTGATAAGAACCATGTGTTCTCCTGGAACGCAAACACGTGTCCAATTGGAACAAACATGTGTGTACACGTGAACACACCTATGTGTACACGTGGAACCTCTCTGGGTGGACGGATTTATTTGTCTCCCGATGTCTGGCACGGCTCTCCTGGTGGACGGGTTCATTTGTTGTCTCCCTTTGTCTCCTTTCATTTCTCCCGTTGTCTCCCAGCCTGGATGCTTGGCACGCCTCTCTGGGTGAACCCGTGCAATGAACCACCCAGAAAAAGAACAAAGGGAATTCAATGAGTCTGTCCACCCAGAGAGCCGTGCCAGGGCGAATCACTTTAAATGAATTTAGAACCCCTCACAGTAAACTGTTTGGGGAAAAAACGACGAAAAGCGCAGCCAAACGGGGGCGTCGTAAGCACCGCCTCCACGCGGAAGTCCAGCTCCGCCTTGGACATCTCCGCGGTGTCCTGGGCGGAGGTGTGGTCGAAACACGCGCAGAGAGGCAGCCAGCCAAACGACCAGCAAGCAAGCAAGCAAGCAAGCAACCAGCCCAGCGAAGCAACCAACCAGCCATTCAGTTGGGTGGGGGGGGTTCAACCACATCTCAAGAAGGGTCTCAGATTTGCAAACCAATCATTTCCAAGCAAGCAAGCAAGCAAGCAAGCAAGCAAGCAAGCAAGCAACCAACCAACCAACCAACCAACCAACCAGCCAGTCAGTTGGGTGGGGGTTTCAACCCCATCTCAAAATTTACAAACCAAGCGCATCTGAGAATTGGTGTAGGTCGGGCAGTGCCAGGTTGAATGTTGCTGGTAAACTGGTTTATTCATAGGGTGGTCCCCTCCAAAAGTGGTCTGAGCATCTCAAAGGGGACACCCCTGCAAATCAAAATCAACCAGGTTCTGCTGGGGAGTTCCGGGAAAGAAAAAACGGGCTTGATGTCTGAACATGGATGTGTGGCACATATTTCAGCGCTTCTTTTTCAGAGCTTAAGCAAGGCCCACCCCCCTCCAAAAGGGGTCGAAGGGGGTGTCGGAAGCCACCAAGATTTACATAGAAATCCAACCACTCAACCACCTAAGAAGTGGTCCAAAAAACAAGGAGCCCAGTTGAACCGGCTGGCCTAAACCGAGAACTTCCGAGATTTCTCGAAGCGAGGAAACAAAAAGAAAAGCCGCCGACTCGATCCTGGATCGTGGAGGATAAGTCGGAGAAGAGGTGGGGAATCAGCCACGTCAACACCCTGCCGCGTCAACCCCCAGAAGCCCAAGGCCCAGGGCTATGGTCAAAGCTCTCATGGGTGGCTCGTCTTTTGAGTTGGCACCCCTCGCTTGATGGTTTTGAAGGGAAAAACGGAAGAGAAAAAAAACGAAGCCGTTTTGGGGGGTCCCCTAAATACAGACCCATACGCCGATTGGGTCATGATTCCCTTGGTTGGAATCATTATAATGGTTAAGGATCCTTGCTACGAGGTGGATGGGACGTCTTCTTTTTAGGAATCGGATCCCAAAAAAAGCTTCGGGTTCCCTTCCAAAGCCTAGAGTTGCATTTTGGGGGGAAACATAACAAAGTTGGGAATCCTGGAAGTCGTGCGCTCGCCGGCGTTTCCTTTCTGGAGCGAGCTGCGACAGAGGCTTATTCGGGGGGACTCGCTACCGAAGACGAAACCACTGGAATTTTCAAAAAGGCCCAAGGAGCAATGTAAGGGCCTAAATAAGCAGAGCGGGGCATCGGGAAGGTTAAGTATTCATCACAAGGGGATGTTGCCGCGTGTATCTTGGTTGCTTGTGACCCCCTTGCAAAAAGTTTAACTTTTTGGGGGGTTAGTGGAAAACACCTTTATTTCCCAAAAAGTTAAAGTCTAAAGATCCAACCCAATAGCAGTCAAGGTATTATCCCAAACATTTCCTCCCAGAGTTACAGCTACTTTTAGTTTTCACAAGCCTTAGGGAGTCAGCTGAACCGAAAACTCCTCGAGGCCGAATTGGTGTGTCGTTCTTTTTTCGATTTGGACCCGCAAAATGGCGTCGGCTCTCCTTTTGGTTTCCCTTTCAAAGCACACAAAACGAGGGGGCACCCAGGAGAGTTCTAATAAGTCCACCTGAAATCAGGCAGCAAGAAAGGCACAAAGAACAACGGAGGTCACAAACGCGCAGGTCATGTCGTTTGCCGTGCAGCGTGGAAGCGCTAGGCTTGATTGGCAGGGATTTGCCCTTCAAGCAGGCAAGAACACATTCACTGGATTACCCTTTTGTCAACTTAGGGAAAACCTGTGCCTTGGAGCATGTTGAAACCGTGTTTGCTTGAACATGCCCTTCAGGCTGAAACAGGGCATCCCTTAGGCGCTTCGGGATCCAACTCCTTCCCTCTGGACCCAAACCCCCGGGTCGACATCGGCCCGGCGTGCACTGGCCGAAACCGAAACGTCCGTTTCGAAAGGTCGATGACTTTCTGCGGGGAGGGGGGGGGGGGGTGAGAGGGGGGGGGGAGGGGGGGGAGGGTGTTGGGGTGATAGCGTGCTTAGCATACGCAACTCAGTTTCCTGAGGCCTGCCCCATGGAGAACAAGCCCCGCAGCGGTTCCAGCGGATAGCAAAGCAAAAGCCAGATTTGCCCTGATAAAGCAAAAGACGCGCAGGGCAGCGTCCTTCGGACGGTGAAAAATTCCACATTGCGCGGAAGACTGTTTTGGTTTAAGCGTTGCTACTTCGCACCGCAAGTGCTGCTCGCAAGTACCGCAAAGCATGCGTGGCAGGCGAGGCGCAACTGTCGCCAAGAGACAGCTTCGCTATAGAATCCCTAACTTGGCTGGACTTGAAAGGAAAGTCTGGCAAAGACTCGGCACGGAGGTTCCGCTGACGGCGAACCATACGTCTTGGGCGTATTGTTCGATAGTTGAGTTCAAAAAAAAACATCCATTAAAATCCCAAAGAACAAATGCTCGGCTCAAGGGGTTCAAAAGGGGGACGTGCACTCGTGCACGTTGTCCGTCGTTGCCTGCCCATCATGACGCTCGCCGAGATGTCCACGAGCAACTTCCTCGATCCCAAACCAAGGGTTGACAGGAAGCTTTGGGCTGTCGGTGAATTGGAATCCACGAATCTGTGATACAACAAGGGCTTCCGAAACACTAAGCCTCCACATAACGGTTGGGAGATTCCAACTTGTATCAAGTGGTTGGTAAAACCCCTTGTGATCCCACAACCTTGACATGAAGGTTTGGGTTGGAGGATCCTCGAAGCAACCAGCACCCTGTCACAGGGGCAGACAGCAAAAAGGGCCGCGGGACCTGCCCAGGTTCTACCAAGGATCACAGCCGAGTCAAAAGTGAAGCAATTTGCTGGTGGATTTTCTTGAAACCCCATCATATCGGATCTTCTGGCAACTAGGTGTAGTGAACCTTGACCTTTGGCTTTGATAAAAACGGCTCTCTCAAGCATAGAAAGGGCACCCTAAAGAGGGAAGCCCAGCCAAACCGAGAGAGTCACCGAAAAGAAACCACCGCCGCGCGCTCCGGCCCGGAAAAACCGTCGATTCCCAAATGAGTGAGGCTTAAGACTGCCTGGCCTTGTTTAGACCCCCAATTTTGGTGCTCCTTTTGGTTTTCCTATTAAAACCTCCAACGAAATGGGTACCTCACAAAAAGACAGACCCGGCTGGTCGTTCGCTCGCAAGTTGTCTCGACCCGAGTCCAAGACCCTAGGGCCCTGGGGCATTCTGCCAAAGTCAAGCCCCAGTGGTCGAGTAATAAAGTAAGAAGAAGAAGAAACAAAAGAGACAACCCTACAAAACAGAACAAAATAAGAAACCCTAACGAAACAACAAACAAACAAAAAAGCGATCTTACCAAGACAAAAACACAAAAAGACACGACCCCGCAACGATTTCTACAGAAAGAAGTGGTGAGCTGGCCGAAAAAGCCAGCAACAGGAACATCACGGGAAACTCACCCAACCATTGGTGCACCTTTTCGGATAGAAATCGTTGGGTGTCCCTACATGGGGGCACAACACAATCTAAACCGGTGGAACCCATCTATATCTAAAGAGTGTTGTTTATTATTCGAACCAAGGGAAAGAGAGCCGCAAAGCCGAACTTTCCGCGGTTCAAATAAAAAACTACCGCGAGACACTAAAAGGCTTTAAAAGAAAGCCGAGGAACCGCATGGCTGGGATGCCAAGAACAGGACACCCCTTGCCATCTGTGTGCGGGTCAAACCGACCGACCCCCGTGCCGCGGGAGGCGGACCTGACTGACTTCCGGCGAGCGGCTCCTCCACTCCGCGGTGCTGGACCTTGATCACCCCCGGCAGCTCCTCGCTTCCAGCCGCAGCGGGGAACGTTGCCGCCGCTTTTCCGTCGGGGGGGCAAGGTCAGTTTCTGAAAAATGTGGTCATCATGGTTTTGTCTTTTCTTGATTCCTGCTTCTTTTGTTTTCGTTTTTTTCTTCCGGGGGGGGGGGGGAACCTTGGTTGGGCTGAAGGGAAAGCAAAAGAGAACCCTGGCCATTCGGCTGTGGGTGACAACCAATGGTACCATTTTGAGGTAGGTGCACCACCCAATTTAGTTTTTTTTAGTGGGGATTGGGATGTTCACTGGGGGTACGAGCTTTTGACCCATGGCCATTCAGGGTTCTGATCTTGAGGCAGGCCAGGAGGGCATCCATCCCACGGTTCATTCAACCCCAAAATGAGTTCCTTATCGATCAAAGCAGCCACGGAGCCAGAGCGGCTCTTGTCTGGGAAGTGCACTCGAGCCTTGATAAAACATCAACCTGGATACAATACCTAACCATCCTCAAAGCTACTGTTGCAACTGTTTCCGAGGAAAGCTGGAGAACCCAAGAACTGCAAATTCGCTTGGTCTCTGTTTGGTCTCCAGCTCCCGGAACAAAAAACCCAAGGTAACAAGGGCAAACCCACCAAAAAAACAGAGATTTGAGCCCAACCCACTATACCTGAGACCTTTTTGAATGAGTGAACTGCAATTTTTTGGTTGGTTCTCTGTGTCTCCAGCTCCCGGAAAGCAAAGCCCCGAGGCCACCGGCGTCACCCCTTCGCAACAAGGAGCCCTCTGGGCCTTCCCCCGCCCCCCCGCCCCCCGCCGGGTTTCGGAGAGCTCCTGGCCCTCGGGGCCCAGGAACGTGGCCCGGTGCACCTGGCGGAATCCCGCGCGCAGCTCCGCGGGTGAAGCGGATCCATCCGCCGCCGGAGGAGGCAGGGGGGGGGGGGGGAAAAAAATCGGGCGATCCTGAACGGGATGGTGAAAAACGTGTTCACCCCCTCGACCCCCCAAGACCCAGATCCAGACAGACAGACCAGACCCAGAACAGACCAGACCACACACACACACTACCACTGTTTCAATGGTGGCAACCGACCCCCGAGGATCTACTTTCACTCAACTGTACCTCGATTGGAGGAAAAGGACTCCATTCGACAGCTGACCTCGTTCCAGAGCCAATTTGTTGTATTAACAGAGATTTTTCGTAGTTGGTTACGAATCTGAAAGAAATTGCCACGATGCCAAAATGGGTATGTATCTAAATTAGGGCCCGACAAAACGGATGGCTTTCTGTTGGTTCCTTGCAACAACCCCCCCGAAAAGGGGTACCCTTGAAAGAGAAGACACCCCCAAATCGGGGGAAAAAACACAAAAGAAGAATTCCTGAGCTCCTGAGCTCGCGAGCTAATTTGCGCAGAATAGGCTGACTGACACAAAGCCGAGTCGTCCTTGGTTAAGTGGAGATATCGCTGTTATCAGCGGGAAATAGCCCCACGTGGCCAACCACCGGCCAACTTGGCCGATCACCCAAGTAGTTGGCTTGACATTCAAAGATTCAGTGTAAAGCTGAACAGGTGTCGTTCATCAAACCAAAGCGCGTTCCATAGCGCCCCGAAACATCGACCTTTGAGAACCCATGGACACAGTTTGATGGCATGTTCTTTGTTTCATACATAAAGGGGGTGGACCATGACAATTTGTCTGAAATGATTGGTAAGAGTGGAGAGGATAAGCTAAGAAGCGGGTGTTTCCACCAAGGCAGCAAGGGCAATTCCGTTTCATGGTGGGTTTACGTGCACTTCTGTGTACAGGCCCTTCCCTTGAGGTCAGATTGACCGAATTCTCCGCCTGCGCAATGGTGGCGCTGCCCAGCACCGGCCCAGTGTCCAGGCGGATCCGTTCGCGCCACTTGGGGCCCAGCTCCTCACGTGGGCGCCGGTGTTTTTTGGTGTTGGAACGGCGGGGGTGCGCTGCTTTTCGGGTCATCCAGGTGAATGGGAACCCCAGATCCTGAAAACCTGGTGGTTTGATTGGGGGTGTCCCCTTTTCGTGGAACTCATCGCTTGAGGCAGGCAGCACCCCCCTACTAATAGGAAGGGGTGTATTGATCCGGGATGCCCAGTAACAGCTTGGTTTGGGCACGGGATCAAAATGTGACGAGGAATTGCTGCACCGTGTTGCATTAGCACAGATCCAGCAAATGCAGTCGCCGTGAGACGAGACGACCGCTGGTTGCTTTGCATGGGCAGTTCATTTTCTCGTTTTGAGACAGAGCTTGAGACCAAATCCATAGCCATGAAGAAAACTCTTTTGGCGAGAAAACATACAGAGCTCGAACATCCAATAGAAACCCCATGTCCAACTCATTGAGGACGGAGATCTTTGAGTTGGTTTTGAGAAAGACCCTTCTTGAACAAAATCTATGACTCCACCCGCAAAACATTGGCAAAAAAAGAGAAACTGTTGACCCTGGTTTTACCTAGGTGTTCCATCTCCAAATCAAAACCTAATCCAAAGTGTCCCAAACCTGGGTATGGCAGGAACATGTGTTTTTTTGCAGCCAAATGAACACGAACGGAACATACAGAACCCATACAAAACCAAAAACTAGACAAAAACCATGAACCAATTATTGTTGTCCTAAAACAACAACAAAACATGCAAAACACCATGCTTCATAGTGTGTTGCATGCTTTGGCCCTTTTTTTCTTTAAATGGAATATGTTATTCAACCTAAAAAAAATGAGAATCCTGGTGGAGCTTGATGTCAAGGGCAAAAAGGGTAAGCTTTTTGTGTTGAATGGGTTCCGTTCGTTTGAAGCATGTCCTTTCCCGAAACCCCAAACGCTCCCAGCCTGGGACAGAAGGGCCTCCACGTCCTCCAGGGAGTCTGCAGGCATGGCATCCTGGAGCTTGGACAACTCCTCCACGTACCTCGAAATCGGAAATCGTATAAATACATTGTATATATATATACATATTTGTATAGACTCAGGTATGCGTGGAGGAATTGTCCTTACGCGACAAATTTGGAGGTTTTGCTTATGCCACTAGCTTACGCCACCTTACGCACGTGAATTCTTTGCTTACGCACAGGTCGATATGACACGACTCTTACTAACCGTGTACACGGAGGGTTTGGACACCGCTCATACGTGTGTATATATATACACATACAGGAATGATGTACAAATGTAGTCATCTTAGCCTTGATTGGTGGTTTGGATTGATGCTTTGAAGTGTTCCGGGGTGGTTTCCACCTTCTTCGAACTGACTTAAACCCAAAATGCCCCTTGAGTGAATCAACCCCAAGTTCTACGTCCTTTTCCTGAGAATAGGGTCGATGGAGGGAGAGAAGGGAGGAAAGGGGAGGGCAAGGGGGAGATACTCGGCCTCAGCACTTGTCTATATACTTCAGGATTTTTGAGAATGAACCGAAAGGGGATTCCCAGAAAACTAGTTGGATGGTTCAGTGGGTCATCCCAACTCATTCCCTCCTGAAAACCAGCCAGCCATGTGAATGGTGCGTCGTGTTTGGGGAAACCCCCCGTGCTGGTCGGTGTTGAGGGAAACCGACAGAAAACAACATACTATTTGATTTTATATACACATATACAAAAATATATTTGGGGGGGGTAGTCCAAGAAAGACACCCATGTCTTGTCATATACCCCTTCTGTTCCCCCATTTAGGTCGGCATCCCCCGCTTTTCTCGGCGACCAAGGTGCGCATCCGGCAGGGCGCTCATGACGGAGGCGGTCTGGGCGAGCTTGACCCAGAAGCCGCCCAGGGAGACGACCTGAGTACTGTGGATGGACGAAATCCATAAAACGCACCACCTAGGAAACCTAGGAATGATTCGATTCCCCTGTAAATACCAACAAACAATGGGTTTGGGGGTGGAAAACGGGTTTGGGGGTGGAAAACCGGCGGGAGGGGGGGGGGGGGGGGGGGGGGAAGATTTTCCATGTTGGACAGGAGGCTAGCCATATTGTTTTTTTGCTCGCTGTGGTTGTCAAAACCCGGGAAACCCCTGGTGGATATTAAAATAGGTGGTACATGGGCGTTCATCCGCCCCAAAATAAAGCCATAGGTTATGACCCATGACCGCCGCACCATCTAAAGAATTAAGAAGGCGAATATCCGCCACTATTTCCGGCTGGGACTGCCCCTTACTAATCATCTACCCGGGTTTGGATTGTGGCTCACCTAAGTACAACTGACAATGTGGGGGAAGGGGGGGGGCGGTTCGGGGTGGAAAGCTGACCTGCTGAGTTGACTGGCCAAAAGAACAAAGAAGTGGCGCCTGTCTTTTGCCCTGGACCCAATTTTCATGAAGAAAGCTGACAAGGTGTCCAAACGTTGAGAAACTGAACTGGTAACTAGGCTCATCCACCCTGTTGGAGCCGTAGCCCAAACCCTCTGTCACTCAGACCAAGGCTGCCCAGTTTCGCTGCCAAAAACGCCCCCTCTACCAGCCAACCGACCAACCGACGCCAACCAAGCTAGGTCTTACCATATAGAAGCTCTGCAAGCTGAATGAGGTCCAAGCTCTGGTCCATCTATATATCTATGTATCTGTCTATCTATAATCTATTCGTCTGTCTGTCTGTCTGCCTGCCTGCTTGTCTAGTCTGATCTACTCTAATCTGATCTAATTGAAGTCAAATCTAATCTAACCTAACCTAATCTAATCAATGTATCATATCTGTCTTGTCGATATATCCATGTATTCATTCATCTAACTCTTTATCTGTTTGTCTGCCTGCCTACTCGTTGTCTCACAAATACTTTCCAGTCGAACCTTGTCTAATCTAAGCTAACCGTCTTATGTATCTTCTCTACCGTTTCCATCTTATCTAACCTAATCTACTCTGTCTACCCTATCTAATCTGTCTTATCTGCCGATCTAAACAATCCGACCTTAGAAGTCAGCCCTACCCAGTCGACAAAAGGCCCGAATAGCTGCACAGAAGCCTTGGGACAAGACACTTGGCAGCACCGGGCTATGTGCGAAACATTATTTTATGCGGATTCTGATCGACCTTATTTGTATGGGGACATCCTTTGCAATAAAGTTCTACCCATGCAACACGTTTAAAGGTATCTTTGGGTAAAGAGCCTCAAGCCGGTACCCCACCCTCTTTCAGCAGCAGCCGTTTCTTTGCCGAACGGACCGAACGGAGAACTTCCGGGGCGCGGTATCGAAGAGGAAGCGCGCGTTCACCTGAAACGGCCGAAACGGCCGAGAGGTCAGGAGGTCAGGAGCTGAGAAAGGAGGAGCAAAGAACTCGTCATACTGTGGATGGACGAAATCCGTTCGCACCACGTTGAAACCATGGTGGAAACCATTCTTTTGTTGGTATTTACAGGGGAATCAAATCATTCCAGGGTTTCTTGGGTGGTGCAGGATTTGGTCCATCCACAGTAGGTCATGGAGCACTCATTGCCTAGGTCCAGTTGAGAGGTTAGACCAACAAACAATGGGTTTCCACCATGGTTTCGAAGTGGTGCGAACGGATTTCGTCCATCCACAGTAGGTGCCTTGCCCAGCCTTCGGCCTGGCTTCCTTGTGCTTCTCAGTATCCAATCAGTTTCGATTTTTTGACCCCCAGGAGATTGATGAGCTGGGGTCAAACTGGGAAGGAAACCAACCCAAGCAGCGAAGCCAAGCTTCGAAAGGAACCCGATCGATTGACCCAACATCAAGTGAGTCACTTGCTCAAAACCCGGTATTGAAATGGTCCTAATCCCAGAAGCATGCTCCAAGAATTAAGAAGGCGGATATCCGCAACTACAACTCTGGCGGGACTGCCCCTTACTACTCGGATCATCTAGCCGGGTTTTGATTGTGGCTCAAATGAAATCCATAAAACGCACCACCTAAGAGACCCTGGAATGATTCGATTCCCGTGCAGATACCAACAAACAATGGGTTTCAGCCATGGTTTCGAAGTGGTGCAAATGGATTTCGTCCATCCACAGGTCACAAAGCGCTCATTGTTTTGTGACCAACGTATGTTGCTGTTTTGTATGCCCAGGTACCCAGCCTTCAGCCTTCTTCAGGTTTTGTGAAACCCAGCCTTCAGCCAGGAGGAAGCTTCGAAAGGAACCTGATCGAAGATCGCCCCAAGCACGGCCCAAGTCCCCCGAGCACCGATCGCCTTGTGGCACAGCGCCCAGATCGCCTCAGCGGCCAGCGCTGGGCGCTGGCTGCACCGCATCCGGGCGCTCAGCACCTGGCGCAGGACGCGTCCGCTTTTCCGCTTTTCCACGCGCCGAGGTCCGAGGGTTTTGGTCCTCCCAGTGGGTGTCATCCCAGGCGCGGCCGTCAGCTCCGAGGTTTTGGGTACGTCACGCAGCTACTCCCCTACAACATGGAGGTGATGGTCAAGACCAAGTCATGGGTGTAACACCAAAACCCTCAGTTCAGAAGAACCTTGCGTAGGGAAACGACTTGAAAGCTAGCTCTCTGACGGAGAATAAGAAGCACGCGCCAGGGGGGAATCTTGCGGATCGCCCGACTGAACAGCCCAGGGAGTTGTAGGGAGCGCAAGCTGAAACCTGTTACTTGGAGTCTATGGATCCCTGACCAATCTAAGGGGTTTTGTATTACACCCTGGGAATACACCTGGGTATTGACCCCATTTAGGCACATGTCCGGATAAAACCGTGCTAATTTGAACCATTCTGGGTCATTTCCCTAAGGGTGTAATCCCAGGGTGTAATGCAAAAACCGTCAAACAAAGAAACCTAGATTGGCCCTTAATAAGCTCAGGTGATATCCCCAACAGCAACACGCCCGTGTGGGTTCTGCGGATGTGGAAAGAACACAAGCACACCCCTCACAAGATGCTGTTGGGGAAAAATGCAAGGAGGGATTCTAGTGACAAATCCAAAGTTTACCCACCCAGCCCTTAGCATGGAACCTGACAATTGTGGCCCCTCTCCGTTTTCTGATGCCCCAGAAAGGCTTTTAACTTTGTGGGTCAAATGGACGCCAAAGAGCTCTGGACCAACTAAAAACCACTGCAAACCTAATGAACTGGACCTCTTGGAACCCCCAAAAAAAAATACCGGCCCTACGGTGGAGTACCCACCCGTCCCTTGTACCTACCCCCCTTACCAAAAAAAAATCCCCATAAGCGATTGTTGATCATTCCAAAACTGGAAATGAGGTACGGTGGGATGCCCCGTTCGCGGAACAAGGTGGAAACCCTGTGAATGTCGCGTGGTGTGTGGTTGGTTTGCTTGCAATATTCAGGCAATCCACCCTACCTACCACTAACATAGCACTTGTGGGAGAGTACTTGGAAGATAAGCCTCTTGACGGCCCCCAATTGTCAAACGCCATGTTAGTGGGAGAGAGGGTTGCCTTTTCATTTGTCACCAAAATGGTCCAACCCAAGTATCTAAATGTCCAGCACTTGTGTGTGTGTGCGGCTTACTCGGGAGTGCGTGACCACAAAAATGTGGGGAGTGAGTGTCAGTTTACCTATTCGTGGTTTGGAGGGGTGTGCCAAATACCCAAGGAGTTCAACTCCACCGGGTCAGACTAGAGATTGAGTGGAGGATCCATGGAGCCAAACAAAGTCCGAACTCTTAGTTTCCTCACTTGCCCAAAGGACCCAGAAATAAAAGGCTGACCGTTTGGGGCCATGACTAAAATTAGACCAAAGAGGAGAAACCAACAGGTCAAAAGGTCGGCTTTGGGCAACTAAGTTTCCTAATAGCCTCAAAAGTATCAAGTTCAGGAACTCGAGTGAAACGTGACTCAAAATCGCAACCGCTTGATACCCTTTTTGCAGAAAGGTACCGCAGGGCGGTGTGTACGAACCTTTTCCCGAGGGCAGATAGGTACCCGCGTCAGCTCCTTCCCTATGCGGCCTCCGGTCCCCTGGAAGCCTGCCTTGCAGAGGATCACCAAGCACATCCACCCCACCTGAGCCGCCGTCTCGTGTGGCGAGAAATGAGTATACCCACTCATTGAACTCCCACGCATTGAGGTGATGCAAAACCCTTCAGGCGTTCTGTTTCCATTGGTGAAAAGCAAGCGAAAAGAAGAGGAACTCGCTGGACCCTCCAGGCGTTCAGTTTCCAGGGTGCAAAATCAAACCAAAAAACGAGGAGACAACCCCGCGCAACCTCCAGGCGCCTCTCTTGCAGAAAAACACCGCCCAAACCGGTTCTCCGCCTCGGCGTAGCGCAGCAGCCAGCGACGCAGGAAGAAGGCCAGCAGCAGGAAGGGGCTGAGCAGGAGGCGCTCCTGGATGCGCCCGGACGGCAAGGAAGGCTTTCCCCGGCCCACAAAACGAAGTGTAGAAACAGAATCTTAGGCTGAAAGTGAATGGAAACCAACATCTTGAACGTGGGAAAGGATTAAGTGGGCTAATCAGCACGTGGGAATCAAAGGAAGGGGCTGAACGTGGAAAGAAACAAAAACGCCTGCTGCAAGGCAAACTGGGAAAAAGGATATTCAGTGGGCACTTGGCAAGAGGGGTAAGTAAAAGGGGCCATCTTTCGTGTTTGGTGTTTCTGGTTCAGGGGAACACTTTCATGCAAACAGCTGGAACCGAGTCAAAACCAGCTCGAGGATTGGCGGCTTGGGGTTTGAACCCTTGTTCTTTCCCCTTTAACCACCAGACCGCCGATCCAAACCACCAATTAGAGGGAACCTGAGTCAACTTGTCCTTAAAAAGGCAAACAATGCCCAGGCCAGAGATGGTGCAGCCTGATTCACATGTTGAGAAGTTGAAGCTTCTGTCGGAAACAAGAAGCAGAACCAAGTCTGATCCACATGCTTCCCTCCACAACGGGAAGTGTATGCTATAAAATGGTTTTCAGAGGACTCACACCAGTCACAATGGGCTCTATTCTGCCTTTCCTCGCACTTCGTGCCTGCGGGAGAGTAACTGCAGGTACTTTGTTGGTGGGACCGGGAGTATGTGGTTTCATCACTTCGGTGAAGCCCAGGTCGCATTGCAACCAGCTGTTTCCCTTTCAGCCTTTCGCAGATTGGTTCCCTTGGTTACAAATGGAATTCTAACCTCAGAGGGTCCCCGAAACACCAAATCAAATGCAACTCTCGACCAACTCGAGCTATTCTGAAACAAGCACCGCAGTGGCGCGCCCAGTAGATCTTCTAAACAAATTGAATTTATTCACATTTCAACCACTCTGCTTCCCTTTTGCCTTTTTTGGCTCTTCTAAACCAACTACTTGGGGGTCCCAGGTCCCAGATTGGTTTCCGCCTTGGACACGCCGCGCTCCACCTCCCCGCAAGCCCCCGGCCCGCTCGCCCCGGCCTGGCTGCGCAGCGCCGCCACAAGATACGCGGTGGCGGCGAGGCTCAGGCCGAAGACGCCGCGGCGCCAGAAGCGGACCCCGTTCCTCCGGTCGTCTTTGTGTAGGAGACCCCTGCAAAATTGCGATCAACAGCCGCCGCGCTCAACCCTCAGGCCCCCCACCAAACTGGCGATGGGCGGTCGGTGAGTTGGGGGTGTGTTCGGCTCAGAAAAACATCCGCCTGGGCGCTCAGGCCCCCCACAAAATGATGGTGTTCCTTTTGGCCCCCTTTAGCACAAAATGGGTGGTCGTCTTTTTGTAGGAGGCCCCCGCAAAATGGCTTCGGTTGTCCTTTTGGCTTCCCTTTGTTCCTCCGGTCGGTGGCTGGTGGCAGGTTTTCCACCTCAAAAACAACATCCGCCTGGGCGCTCAACCCTCAGGCCCCACCAAAATGGCGATGGGCGGTCGGTGAGTTGGGGGCGTTCTCCACCTCAAGAAAACCATCCACCTGGGCGCTCGCCTGCCCCCCACAAAATGATGGTGTTCCTTTTGGTTCCCTTTAGAAGACACAAAATGGGCGGTCGTCTTTTTCTAGGAGACCCCTGCGCAAAAATGCTTTGGTTGTCCCTTCAAAAGACCCACAAAATAATTCAAAATGGCGGTTTCCTTTTGGCGTCTCTGTAAAACCACCAAAAAAAAAAGACACGCCCACCTTGGTATGAATCTGAATTGGGGACGCATGGGGACGCAATATGGTCAGTTAGGTGGGTATTAGTGTCCACCAACCACCTGCTAAGGGGGTTCCTTCTTTAAGTTCATAGCCAGCAAGTGGTTAGGACCCCAGTCTGCTGGCACGGGGCTCGCCTGCCATTGTGACCCTCGCTTTTCCTGCCTCTCCGGCCATTGTGGCGCATCCAGAAATCTTCTTTTGGTGTCTGGGGGGGGTGCGCGGCGCTCCTCACTTTTGGACCTTTCGGGCTGTCTGGATCGCGTCACTGCACTTCGGTGTTTCATCACGAGCTTGCCCCACCCCGCCGGAATGGGGGTGTCATTGCAGCCAAGCAGTAAAGCCTTAGGAGTTAGGACTGGCCAGGCCGTGTCCCCAGGCTCACTGGTGCCTTCCCTGCAAGTCAGCAGGGCGGGGGCCAAAGCTGGGCAGAGTTGCTGTGTTGCGTTGCTACTGTGGATGGGCAAATGCCAACAAACAATAGTTTCAACCAGGGTTTCAAACTGCTGCGAACGGAGTCCGTCCATCCAAAATATGGCAACACCTTTGAACACCTCGAAGCATGAAGCCACATACCCTTCAAATGAACGGACACGCTCAAGGTTGATCCCGAGTTTTTGTCTCGCCGAGCGTCAGGGCATCCTCGACATGGAACTCCACCAACAGCTCTGTGGTGCTTTGAGACTTTGCAATCGGCGCCTCTCGAGACGGTCACAGAAATGGAACCTGAAGGGGACCTGATGGAAGACACTTTTCCTGAAGGCACCTGTGTTTGAATTTCAACCGGTTGGGCCCTTCTGACATAAGTTGCCTGGAGACTTCTGTCCACAAATCATGTTGGAAGGCATTCTCCAGTCAACCCCAAGAGGGTTACAATGGAAAAGCCACCTGCAGGGATTTACCCAAATAGTTCAAATGGTTGGACAAAATTCCTCATGCAAATGATGTCCGCCAAAAGACCTTTTTTGGGATACTCCTACTTGGATTGTTAAAATAAAAACCAAAGAGACGCACCATTTTGATGGTCCTGATTAAGACATGCTCAGGAAGTGTCAAAAGAAGTGTCACTTTGATCACCCAAAAACAACTCTGACAACCCCTCCCCCCCCCCCCCGGTTTTGGTGTGTTAAGGGTTGCAACGAGGGTGTGCGCGGTCAAAGCATGCTGTGTCCGCTTGGCTGAGCAATGCCAACATCACCTACATCACATGCATCACCCACTTTGCCAGAACAAGCAGCATCGCCCGCATCATTATCAACATCAACAGCACTGCCAGCGAATCCACCAACGCGGCATCATTAGCCCCCAAAAACGAGAACACCTGCCACTGTCACCTTCCCTACATTGCCACACACCCAAAAATTGGGTTGTCTTTTTGAGGGGGGGATGTCTCAAAATGGGGAACCCTCCTTTTTTCTGGATGCTTTTTATGGGAACCAAAAAAAACCACTTGGTCTTTCATTTTGAGACACGCTCATTCGACAAATCGCTTGACCTAGCCTCCGGCTCCGGCATAGGCGCCTGCGATACTCGCCCATGGGCTTGGTGACAGGGAAACCACCCGCCCATGCGCTTCAGGTTTCTCTGCATTATTAGGCTTGGGGGGGGGGGGCATGGCGTGCTAAAAGGCGTTCTTGATTGGAACTCAACAGGGCCTGGTGCCAAGCATGGGAAGCTGGGTCCAAGCAATGAAATTGCTCAGTGGAGGATTTCGGACCGCATAGGCCGCGCCTCTTATTTGCCGCGACCTGGACAGGCCCCCAATTTTGAAAACCAACCGGTTTGGGGGGGGGGGGAGAATTCTTCAGGTGACCCTGTTGGGAGGCAAGCGTAAGACACGTACGACATCGACACCAGTTGCGTCAGTGCTGTAGCTGGTTGTCATACGAATATTCAAAGCCCCAAACCACCAATCCAAACCACCAACCAAGGGTGCGCCTGCTTCACCTCCCCAAACACAAGTGTGGAACCCGAAAGGGAGTCCTTTCCAACCACTCCCAAAACCAGGCCCCGTTGAAGAGAGGCCCGAAAGCTCATTTGAAACGAGGTCCGTCCAGGAGAGGCCTGCTCCCTCCAAAATAACAGACACGCCTTGAGAAGAAATCCAATGGACACAAAACGGAAAGCACCCCGGCACCTTGAGAAGCTTTAAATGTGATAGTCTCCTTTAAAGACCAACCAACAGGTCGTCCATTTCCTTTCTTGGGACGCCCAAGTCACTCTATCTATCTTTCTTGGGATCCCCCTTCCATTTCAGCGACATCCTCAAAAACACTATGATAAATTGTGCAAATGGTGGGTAAACGGGTGTGAACTGTAATTACGGGCCCTTTGGTGGGCATCGTTTCGGTGGAGATGATTCGTCCACCAACCACTTGCGAGGTGGTCCGCTCTTGAAATTCATAAAATGTCCGTTCAAGTGGACCTTTGGTGGGTTCCATGTTGGTGGACAGGAGGGTAGCCACATTCTATTTTCTGAGTAGAGAGGTTAGAATAAGGGTGCCAACTTTAATTATTCCCCAAGAAAAGAAACGGCAAACGGGCACCCAGCTTAAAAAAAAAACGAGTATTGGTTTTCCCACCTGCGCAAGATGCTCTTGAGGCAACCCTCCCGACCAAAAGCGCCAAAGCGCCGGCGTGGGAAGCCCCGCCGCGGGAGGGCCGGACACACCGCGGCGCGCGGACCAGCAGCGGCCGCAGCGCCGCTCCGGCGGGGAGCCTGCGCCGTCCAAAACATCCGGCGGCGCCCGCCAACAAAATAAGAACGGGGCTCCTGGATCGCCAGTGGCTGGTTTTTGTTCTATCCACTTTACCCCCCAAAACCAGCAACAGTGACTGACAAAAAACAGCAACTTGGCTATCTAGGTTGGTTTAAATGGGTGTGATTCAGACATGGTTTGAGCGGGTTTTTTGAGCGGGTTGGCTTTTTACCGGTCAGTTTGAATGGTGGATGATGATGATGGTTCAAACCATATGAATCTTAACGGGGCCCCCTTTTGTGAACATCTACATGGCGATGTGTGCCACCAACCGTTGAATTCAATCACCAAACAACGAAGGGAATGTTGCAGGTGGTCAAACGAGTTCTAGTTGTGTGAAGGAAGTAACACAACTGGCCTTGAATGGTTTTCGCCGGTGTGCAAAGGACTTTGGCTGGTTTTAAGAGGAATTGGGACCGTCTTCCCAACAGCATGTCCTTTTTGGGGCTGTGCATTGGCGGGTGTTCAAAAGAAGACCGCTTATTGACGGAAACCCTTTTGGCTGGCTTCAAAAGGGGAAAGGGCTACAGGAAAACAGCGGTAAGACTGCAAAAAATACAAGGACAAGGCAGCAAAAAAACGAGTCTTATTCTTGCAAGGAGCCCAGCAGCAGAAAGCAAATTGGCCGCAATCTCACCCACTGAAGTGATCCCATGGCCCATCCAAAACCGTGTAAAGCCTCCGAAGGGCGGATATCCACATACTATATGACATATGGCTGTCGAAAATAGGTACCCCAAATGGAGCCCTGTTAAATGAAACCAAGGACTAAAACCTGCGGCCCAATTCCTGGTTTAATTTTGACCCATACCCATCTTATGGCTTGGGCTGTCCTCAGCTTATGGGAGGATCCAAGCGCATCACAGGGTTTCGTGATAAAGAGCACCTTGCTTGCAGTGCCTTTTGGAGTGCATATGTTCCATGGTTGAAACCAGTGTTGGCTTTTGCAGGGGACTCGCATCATTCCATCGTTTCTTAGGTGGTGTAGGATTTCGGCCATCCACAGTAGCTTGGAATCATTGACATCTACGATGCGCTGACAATGCGAACATATGAGATGTTGATGCTTTCGCACCATTCACAATGTGGACGGAAAATCCACATCTCAGGTCCCAAATCTTAGAGGAATGCGTCCACACTTTGCTCAAAATGGGCTTCCAATACCACCACCAGCGTTGGAGCCACCTCTCTCGAGGGTTGGTGTCTCTTAGGTTCATAGAGCCGTTACTTTGTTTGAGAAAGAGTGCCTTCTATGGGTGGCCCGTCTGTTTTTTGTGGTTTGAAAGGGAAACCAAAACGAAAACCAGGAGGTCCCCTACAAAATGACACACCCATATCTGCAAAATTGTACAACAATGCCGACTCGCAGACGCACAGACTCACGGACACGCAAACAAACAGGCACATACACAATCCTTCCCCAAAAACAGCCCCTCCACTCCCAAAATATACCATTCGAATAAAGACACAAGCAGTTGTTGCATTTTGCACACCACCCTCCGACACCCCTCCAACCCCCTGCCCCCAAAACAACGCGAAAACGACCCCCCCCCCCGTGCATGAAGCAGACTCACTTAAAATTGACCGACAAAGGTGATGCTTGACAAATTCTAAGACTACATTGACTACCCCCAAACCACTACCCCCAGCAGCCAATGCATATATACAGGGTATATAAAGGATAGGAAAGGGTTATATAAGGGATATACGAGGGCGCCTCAATTTGTGCATATTTGGGTGCTGCAGAAACCAGGTAATTCTGGAGCTGCAGCATGTGTTTCATCCGGGTTCGCTGCTATCAGTTTGACGTTGAAACTCGTGAACATCAACGCTTGGTTTGCGCCGGTACCTTTGTTTAAGGTGAACATCGAAGCTTTGCTTTCTTGGCAGCCAGTTTGGTTTGCTACTTTGATCATGTCGCGTTGGAGGGACCGCCACATCCCCGGTTTTGGGGGTAGTGAGTCCCAAAACGCGCGGTTTTGGGGTAGTGGATTTGACTGGGCGATTTGGGGGTAGTCGCACGTCACCTGGTATACGCGTGAAAAAGATGAATCACGCCACTACCCCCAGTTTGGGGGTAGTTGGGGGCGGTAGCGCGCGGATAGTGCGGGAGTTCCGGAGTCGGTGTGGGTGGCAACAGTCCCAAAAATTGCATTTCGAATACCAGGACAATCGACCACAAAAGTTCACCACTTTTAGCCACGAGGTAGACGGGCACCAGGCTAAGCCATTCTGAAGAACTGTGCTGGTAGGGACTCACCATTCTAGGGGCCACGCACCTGCAGTTTGAAGGGTCCGCTGGAGCACAACATGTGGGCTTTTGGGGGTAGTGTTTTGGGGGTAGTGAGTTTGGTCTTAGACAAATGAAACCACAAAAAGGGGATATGTATGAATACATAAATATCAGGAATTTTGCGGCCAGTCCGCCTCGGGGCGGCGCGCAGGCGTCGCAAAAGATCCTCCCGCAGCCGCGGCAGTGGTGGCGCCGCCGCAGCAGAGTGAAGGCGCGCCCGCAGCTCCTTGGATGACGCGTGAGCCGTGACGGACTCACGACGCGCCTTTGGTTTGGTTTGGTTTGGTTTGGCTTGGCTTGGCTTGGTTTGGCGATTTGGACCCCTGGGGGTACCTTCCCCATTTGGCTTCGGAACTGGGGTTCAAACCCCGCCACGAATCCCAACCGCAAATTCAGTGGGCAAGTGGGGGGTCAGCCTCAAACGGAAATAACGGTGGCTGAAAAGAAACACGTTTCGGAGACAACCGAATCTTAAGGGGAAAAAGCTGTACGTCAGGTCCGGAGGTTCTAACCCAACGGAGCCTTCACGACTTCGGGGTGATAAAGGGTCACCTCCGTTGGAAGGCTTGGGGATACAGACACAGACAGACACAAAGAGGGGGAGGGGGTGGGGGGAGGGGGTGGGGGGAGGGCAGGTTCAAGGCGACCACGGCAGCGGGCGTGACATTGGATTCCGGAACCCGAAGCGGGGAAAAACCAGCTGCTTGGATAACCCCAAAACCCCGTACCAAAGAAGCCGGCGAAAACGTTCGCCGGTTTGCCTTCAGGTTGACCAAGCAAAAGCTAAGGACGGGCTGTGGAACTAAATCGCCCAGCTGGCAACCCGGCCTCCAAATCCCCGAATTGCCCTAGGGACTCCCTCGATGTTCTGAAGTTGGCCTGTCAAAATTGCAGGGCTCCCCTTTCAAACGCCGAAACGGGGCCTCCATTTGCTCGTTCGTCCCTGAAAAAAAAATCCAGTAGCGCTAGATTCCCTTTAAACCCCACCGGGGAGATGTTTTTTTTACCAAAACCTCTTCAGCCAACGGAAGCACGACGGAGGGCTTTCCCTAAGCGACCCAAAGTTTCGGAGCTTGCGGGCGGGGTTCGGTCCGCATCGAACCCGGAAAAGAATCAAAAAAAAGCCCGCAAGCACTCCGGCGAGGGTGTGTTTTCTTGGTCGGGCCAGAAAGACCCCGCTGCAAAAGCTGGGAAAAAGGCAAAGACGGGGGGTTCTTGAGAAAACGAAAACACTAGGAACAATATTCTGAATCAACTTGTGTTCGGTGCATATTTGGAAATCCAATTTCCTGTAGAAATTGCTGCTTTCTATCAAACACATCCACCCTCTACAAAAGCCGGGGGTTCAAATCCCAAACTAGCCCAGGTGGTATCCAACAACAGCCCCGGAACCGCCTGGGACCCTGCTTTTGAACCCCTGAAAGCTGCCCCAAACCACCAAAAATGCCTAGACTTGGGCCTTTTGACCTCCAGCTGATTCAGCTGGGGAAAACACACACAAATCAGAACCCAGGGTTTGCCAAGCGAAGCTAAGCTCCCAGATCCGATGTCATCGGTTTATCTTTTGGCGACCGGAGCGCTCGGACATGCAGCAGTCCGCAGCCTCGTTCGGGAGCCAGCGGACCTAAGCCCCGCGCTTTGAACGGCGAATGAAAACGACGAGTCGGGTGTGTCGGTACGTGGGGGTTATGTAATTTGATCAAAAGGTCGTTTACATGCGATGACCAGGGAAACCACCAAGAAGCAGGGAGCAGGATTGTGCGAATTTGCCAGACAAAGCGGCACTGGAGCTTAGCTTCGCTTGGCAAACCCCGGGTCCCCAACAGCTGGACCCCACAGCCCAGATAGGCGAGGGGTGCTTTGACTCCCCCGAATTGGCTTGTGGATGGACTATATGGGTGTTTGTCCGGTAAACATGTGATGACGACTTGGGAAAACCATTAAAAAGATAGTGTATGTCCCACTAAACGGTAAAAGTTACCCATGGTCATTTGGGGGCCAGGAATATTGATCAACCCCCATGTCTTTTGAGGATACACCTTGTTTGGTGCCTTATTTAGGTTTACATATATCATAGCTCAGCCGGACGACTCCTGTTTTTTTGGTTTTTTCCCGCTTTGCTGGTGGTTGTCAGGGTAAAGACAAAAGCAACATCGTTGCGCTATTTTGGGAAGTCCAAATCCGGAGAAGAGACGAGCCACGCTGTCAAAGGGATTCACACCACAAAGATCTCCTGGCTTGCCGGTTGGTGTAGCTTTAAATCCACCAACCATCATCGTCTCAAAAAAAAACACGAGCACCCCAAATTTTGTGGTACCAGCCTTGGTGTCGCGAATGGGAACTTGGGAGCAGCTCTAGAATCAAACCAGTGGGACGGCAGTGGTGTTTTTCTCTTGAGCCCAAGAAAGACGCGTCCAGGAGCAACAAGTGGCTTTTGATGGTTTGAATCCAATTTGATGAAGCTCCTTGATCGGGACACTTCCCTTTTAGGACCTTGATGAGGATAGTGTTCCATGAGGTCCTTCGCTTTTGCGGGAAACAGACCCCTATTCATGCAGTTTGATTTATACATTCCTTGACGATCTTTGTGGTGTGAGCGCTTCTTAATGGTCGCGGAAGCCGCGATGAGTTGATTGGAACGATCCCCAAAAGGATCTGTGGCAAGAAGAAAACAGAAGCCAGCGATCAAGTCTGCTGAGTGTTTGCCATTTATGACTCAAGAGCTGTCCAAGAATCCCGCATCTATGAAACCCTAGTCAAAAGGTGGCTTGCCAATGACCAAACCCCAAGATAAACTCTTGCCAACCACACGTCTGACATCAGGAATCCTCAAGCTTATGGAACCTCCCTGGGTTAGGTCACAGCGCCAAAACGGAGACCGCCGGCGCCGCGCACACCTTCGGGTCCTAAAGCGGGACGAAGAATTGGGGAGCTCTCCAGGAGAAGTCCCTCCATTTTCCTGGTCTAGTGGTCTAGTGGTCCCCATGGCTAACTCAACCCAACAGGAAGCTCGCTCCAAATGGGCCGTTGGGGTGATGTTCAGGGACCATTTTTCCCCCATCTTCTCTCTTGACCAGGGGGGTGTGGCCACCCGAGCTGCCTCAAAGGGACTCGCAGCCCGCTCCAGAAGGCGCCATCCGCTTCAGGGATCCGGGTCCATAGCCCTCCTTTGGCCTTCAAACATGTCATGGCATTCAAACAGCTTTCCTTCAGCCAAAGGACCCCTGCTTTGGCCTAAAAAGACTGCCCCAGACGAAAGCCCTTCTGGAATTCCATCCCCCCCCCCCCACCCACCCCCAAATAAATTACGAAGGTAAGGACCCCTGCCAAACTGCCATCCCCAAGGTGGGGTTCGGGTTCGTTCCCTCGCCTTCGAGTGGTTGAATACACAGGAAAATGCAATCACACACTGTGGCCGAAACCCTTGAAATGGGGCGGGTTTCCCTCAAATTGAGTACACCAGCTGTAAATGTTGCCCTTAGACCATTTCGGTCTAGGCTGCGGATGGGATGGACTTGGAAACGATGGGAAACCAGTGTTGCTTGTTACGGGGGAATCGAGTCATTCCAGGGTTTCTTAGGTGGTGCGGTTTATGGATTTCGTCCATCCACAGTATGGCTAACCCCAGGTCCCTGAAAGCTGTTCCGTGCGCGCCGAAGCACCGCAGTGTCGCTGGACATCAGCGCCTCGAAGGAACAGGGGCCGGGCGCATTTTGGCTCGGCTCGAACGGATGGACCGCAGGGGGCACCCTCCAAAACATCCCAAGGAACCTGAAAGAACCCTGGCCTGCTACCCATTTCTGAGACAAGTGGAAGCTTTCAAGCCCCTCCACCCACCGGAGGAAAGACAAGAAAAAGCGGCGGGGGGGGCCAGGGGGGAGCGAAGCGCCTCGGCGGCTTGCTCGAGGCTGGGCCCGTGGGGTGCCAGCTCTTGCCGCAGCTCCTTTGAAAGAAGCAAAGACAGCCATGAAGTATATTCATGGTATTGTATACTTCGTTGCTGTTGACCCCCCTGCAAAAAGTTTTTAACTTTTTGGGGGTTTAGTGGAAAACCCCTTGACTTCCCAAAAAGTTAAAGTCTAAAGATCCAACCCAATAGCAGTTAAGTATAGATGCTCCTACTGCATTTGTTCAGTGGGACACAAGGGAAACCGCTACCTGGCACGGTTGCAGGGGTTCCAAACTGGCTTGTTTGTGATCAATCGTTTCTCCCAGATTAACATGGAATCAACAAACACATTTTTGTAGGAGTCTTCTTTTGCGGGGGGACCACCCTCAACTTGAGCAAGTACCCCCGGGAACCACCAGTTGGACGGTTTATCTTGGGGTCATTCCAGTTCTCATTCCCCGCCTATCGCACCCCCCAAAACCCCCAAAACCCGCACCCCCAACCCTTCGCAAGTACTAAAGGAAACCACCAGCAACGGTTTGCAAGGGTCGTTCCATTTCTCATTCCCTGCCGAGAACGCACCAACAAGAAAACCCTCTCCCCCGACCCCCAAAACCCGCACCCCCAACCCCCAAAACCCGCACCCCCGACTTCTCGCAAGAAAACCTCTCAACCCCGACCCCCGCTCCTCCAGCAAAAAAAACACTAAAGGAAACCACCAGGAATGGTTATAAGGGTCGTTCCCCTGTTTTTCCTGCTGAAAACCTCAACCTCGACCCCCAAAACCCGCACCCCCGACTTCTCGCAAGAAACCTCTCAACCCCGACCCCGCTCCTCCAGCAAAAAGGAAACCACCAGGAATCTCAACCCCGACCCCCAAAACCCGCACCCCCGACTTCTCGCAAGAAAACCTCTCAACCCCGACCCCCGCTCCTCCAGCAAAAACATCACTAAAGGAAACCACCAGGAATGGTTGTAAGGGTCGTTGCCCTTTTTCCCCTGAGAACGCACCAGCAAGAAAACCCTCTCCCCCAACCCCCAAAACCCGCACCCCCAACCCCAAAACCCGCACCCCCGACTTCTCGCAAGAAAACCCCTCAACCCCCGACCCTCGCTCCTCCAGCAAAAAAAACACTAAAGGAAACCACCAGGAATGGTTATACGGGTCTTTGCCCTTTTTTTTTTGAGAACGCACCAGCAAGAAAACCCTCTCCCCCGACCCGCAAAACCCGCACCCCCAACCCCCAACCCCGCACCCCCGACTTCTCGCAAGCAAACCAACTCCTCCAGCTGCCCGAGATCTCCCTCCAAGCGCAACTTGCCCTGGGCCAGCAGCCCGATGGCCGCCCGCTTGCCTCCCGCCATCAGCCGCTGCGCCTGGCGCTCGCGGGTGGGTCTGGTTTCACTCCCTCAAAACAAGAAAAACACAGCGACTGACCCAAGGGACAATTGTTGTATAGTGGAAACGAGTGGTAAAGAGTTGCAAATAGTTGCAAATAGTTGTAAATAGTGGTACATAGTGGCAAATAATTTGTGGTAAGTAGTGAAAACATGTGGGTTGGCGGGGAGCATTTACTCTTTATTGGCGCAACAATGGCGGTATTCCATGGGCTGACGGGGGCCCCGGATCAAAGCAGCTTAGCGTTCCAAGAAGAAGGAAAAAGACGCTGCCCACAACCTGCAGACTGGCTTAAGATGGCGATTTTCATGAACGGCAATTAGTTGTCCTTGTTTTGCGCTTCGCCTTTCATGATTCACGGAATCCAAAAGGAGATCATTCACGCAGGGTCAAAGCGGAGTCACCCATTTGGAGACACACCCAAAGACAACGGCCCCTTCAAAAACGGGGGAAGGTTCCAAAAAGGGAAGCCGCAAAGGTGCCATGTGCCGCCTCCTAAGAAGCCTCCATAAATTTGACGAACCCCCGATGGTGGGCATTCAGAACTTCTCAAAGCGTCGACTGTCTGAAAAGTGTCATACCCACTTCAGACTCGAGCTGTTGGCGTTTGGTGTCTGCGACCCAACCCAGACACCAATGTGATGAAACACATGTGGCAAGCAGATATCTAAAACCGCTGCAAAAATGACGGGTTCCAAACATTGGAAACAAAACTAGTGTGATGGTGCTGAAAGGGAAAAACGAAAGGACGACAACCACAAACAGGGGGTTTCAAATAATTATTTGCAGACCTGAGTATGATTTCTTTTGGGGGGGGACTTCTTGGTGGACATTTACATGACCCACCATCTGGATGACATGAAGACGAAAAGCGTTGCCTTCGGGCTGTGCAGCACACTGGCAGGCCAAGTGGTGAGATTCAAGGTTGTTGTCCACATCCACAGTATGAATTCCCTTTGGGATTCTTTTTGGATATGCATTTCTGTGTATATGATCAAGGCCTGCATGTGCGGAAATTTGAGCCAGGACGTGCTCGAGAACACTTGGGGAAAAGGTGCGAATGAGGGCAGACTTTGGCGATGTCCCATTCAAAATGATGGCCACCTTCTAGGGGTAAGTTCCCCATTCTTTCAAGAAAAAACACCAAACAACAGGTTCGGTGCTTGAATAACAAAACGCATGGAAAATCATAAACTCCTAGATTGTCTCGAAATAGCGGAATCCCTAAACTGGGCGGTGTCCTGTTCGTGTTCCTTTAAAATCTGATACCCTGTTAAAAAGAATGGAAAGAGAATCAACCCCTGGCCACATGGGACTGTCTCAAAATAGGGGAACCCCACCTTGAGTGGTTTCCTGTTTGGCTTCCCCTGAAAAACGGGTACCCTCAAAAAAAGACGAGCCACCCGCATCCATCTGGTCCATACTCCACGCTTCCCAAGACTTCCCCATTCTCCGGCCGTCTCCGCTGAGTCCAAGCGCAAAGTCGTGCGTGGCGAGGGCGCCTGTGGAAAATTGTTCGCGAGCACACGAACCGTGGCTTAGTCATACCCTTGACATACCGTTGTGGTGCTCTCTTTCCTTCCTCCTCTCTCGCCTAAGCTCGGAAGAGGTGGAAGGACTTTTGACCCGTCCAGACAAGACACGAAGGGACAGGAAAAGAGAGGCTTAGAAGCGAGGTGTGACTTTCTGCTTCTCGCTGCCTCTCCACTCATCTCGTTATCTCTCCCATAGTCATCCTTCATTGTCGAATGGTGCCATCTACTTGCACCCAAGTGCAGCTCCCTGATGATTTCTGAGCACACCTTTTGGAAGATACCCCAAGCACACCTGTGCAGAAAGACTAAAAATATTCGTTGCACAATGGATCCAAAAGCTTCTTTCGCCTTTGGGCTGGGTGGTAGGGAAGATGTTGGGGGGGGCATTTATCAGGCCAGAAAGCCTCAAAAACAACTGAAAAGGCCACATCAATCCCACCCCAAGCGGTGTGAATGGGAAGGGGTCCCCTTCTTGGGCGTTTAACCAAAGTGGCCAGTGCCAAGAAGCTAGGTTCTTCCCCACTTGCAGCAAGTTTACTCCACTGGGGACACAAAACGTGGGATATGAGCGGAGCGAATCTCGCCAGTTGCCAACTTGGCCGCACCCGAGATGCTTGGGGGGCCGTACATGCATTTCCGAAACAAACAAACAAACAAACAAACAAACAAACAAACAAACAAACAAACCAACAAACCAACCAACCTAACCCAACTATCTAGCTAACTAGCTAACTAACCAACTAACTAACTATCTAGCTAACTACCTACCTAACTAACAAGCTAACTAACTAGCGAACTAACTAACTAGCTTCACAACCAACTGCCTGCCTGCCTGCCTCCCTAGCTAACTAATTAAGCTGGCAAACCAAAAGTAGCAACTGCCTGCCTACCTACCTAACCAACTAAGTAGCTATCTAACAACCAAGGAACTAACTACCCCACTAACGAACTGGCTCATCTATCCCCCCGAAGCGACCCGTGCTCATCCGATCTTCTCCGTGCCTGTCCGAGGGCGACCCTTAATCGCTGCTGGTGGGTCTTCAGGTAGGCCGGCTCATCAGCCAGGAAGACCTGCACCATCAGCTTCTTCTTGGACGGCTTGGATCGGTTTGGGGATTTGAACCCCCAGTTTCCTTCTGAAACCTAACGTCCAAACCACCCGTTGAGGGGGAAGGTAGCCCCTAAAGTCCAAACCACCAAACCAAACCACCACCAAACCAAACCACCAGTTGGAAGCTTCCGCTTTGGTGGCTTGGAGCGCGAGGGGCGTCCCATGTACCCGCTACAAGGGACCAGGGCTCAAATCCCCAAATCCCGCCACCGCAAGCCACCGAACGAGGGAAGCTGATGTCAGGCTTCAATTTCCTCGCTCCGGTAGGCAAACCACCGACAAATAACAGGGATCCTTACATGAAATACACCCGAACATTGCCTTGTATATGGTGGTGTCCAACTTTATTTTGGTGGAGAAAGCAACATGTTTCAAATGGGCAAAATGTATCTTTTAAGGAGCCCTGAATAAGCTCAGGTGATATCCCCAACAGCATGCGGTGCTCCTAGTGCTTACACCACTCGAAGTTCGTGGCACCCTCGTGGCACCCTGGCGGAAGCCTGGTGGAACCTTACCTCAGAGCCGCCCCGCACCCCGGAGCCTGGGCTGAGACCCCAAAGCTTTCAGCTGTTGGGAAAAATTGATGTCCAAATCACCACATGGGACAAGCTACCCATGGTCATGGCCGGGGGCCGAAGGGAATATGGATCAACTTGCTGGTGAGCACTAGGGAATAGCCTTTCGGGTGGGAATGAACCATTATGGCTGGCTCGTCCTTTCTTGGGGTGCCCAAACTGGCGTCGTTTGTTATCCTTGTTGTTTGCCAACGTTCAAGAAACCAAATCGGGGTACCCTCAAAAGAAAGACAGACCCAGATGAGTCACAATCAAAACCTGGTATTAAATGGTACCATGATCAGAGCCTGTAAAGAAAATTGGTCAGGCGGCTGCACCCATGTATGGTTGGGACTATCCTTACCAACCTTCGTCTTTTTGATGTGGCTCAAATGAACTTCAGAGTGGGTTATCTGGACCGAACCCTTGGTACCAGGTCTACCTTTGTCAACCAATGGCACGGCGGAAACCCCCGAACATGCTCACCCTGAACAGCGCAAAGCTCAATTCAAACGCCAGGTGAGGAGAAAAACGGCCCACCAGAGGCCGGCCGTGGCTCAAAAGCCTGGAATCCGCAAAATGGCGCCTCGGGACCTGGAGACGAACCTCCTGCGCAACCCGAAACGGTCCCCATCCTTTGAGCCAATCCCATCTAGTCCACCCCAGCTATCCACCCCAATAGCACGACGCACCCTAGGTCTCTATTTTGTTGAGCGCCCATCCACCAAGCCCACCCCACGTATTTTTGTTTCCAGCTATCCAGGAGCACGCGCTCGTTGCGAACCTGGAGGTTGTAGTCGCCCCTCACCGGCAAGGCCGCCAGCGTCTCGTTCAGCTTCTCCAGCTTCGTCGCGTCCATCGCTCGCGCGCTCCGCGCTACCGGGCGAATTGCCGCGGGGGTTGTCGCCGGGGTGGAAGCGAGGGTTGGCCGCCACAAGACGTGAGGGACGGCCCTTTCTTGAAAAAGAGGACACCCAAAATGGGAAGAAGGTAGTCAGGGGTTCGAAGAATCACCTTTGGCTGAGAAGAAGGTAGGCTTTGCTCCCGGCTGGAAGGGGATTCTTGTCCGGGGTTGCTCTGCAGACTCCTTCGGCCCGAATGCCGAGAGGCTGAGGACTCCACATAGGGCTATCGATGCTTTGGAGAGATTGAGACGCCTTTTTGGAGTTGGTCTGAAAGAAAACAGAAGACTGGGGCTGAAATTGCAACCTGATCACCTTCCTTGTGCCCGTTCCATGTTTTTCAGCTACCGACGCTGCGGGCTTTTGAGCAGGGTCTCGGCGGGTCGGATTGGGCGAGAACGACAAGACGAGTTGATGGTGCTCAGCAGGGGATGTGGGAATGAACCCAGGGTCCCTTAAAGAAAACCACCAGTTGGATGGTTTGTATGTGTCATTCCATTTCTCATTCCCCACTGAGCACCAGCAAGATGAGTGTTGTTTCACAATCTCCTGTGAGTTTCCCTAAGCAGACTCTTCTCTCGGGTCTGGTTTAACCAAGTTCGAGAATTTTGTTAGCTGCTTTGTCGGGAAACAAGGAATTGTTGATTCCTCCTGACGCCCCCCAAGCACCCTCCAACAGCCCAAACAGTTCTTCGAAAGTCCGAGCTTCCTTGGAATCGGGGGGATCAGTTCAGTGTCCAACGTCCCGATGGTCCTTGCTTTCCATCCGAGGACCCGATTTCAGTGTACTCCATGGGAAGGTATGGGAAATAGCAGCGCAGAATTCCAACCCATTTTGGCTTAGTCATTGTGCCATCTACTCTCAGCTATTGGGTCCATGTATGGTGCCCTTTTGTGGACATCCACTAAAAGGAAACTCACCTCAAATTGGCACAGTTTCTTTGTCAAACCGACCAAGATTGGGGAATATGGCTTTAGCGCCTGCAAAAAAATGTCTGTGCTTTGCAGCCCACTAAAAGGAACAGAACCGATTGCAAATAATTTAGAAAAGAAAAAAGAAGAAAAAAAGCCGACAGCTAAGACATCGGGGGCACCCTGAGCCCGACATCGCCTTGCGTCCGGAGCGCGCCAAAAAAGAGCAAAGCAGCGCCTTGCGTCCGAACCAAGATCGCGCAGAGATCGACTCCGCGGAGATTTCGCCATCGGCTCCTCTCGGTTCAGGTTCTTGCCGATGAAGGTCAGCTTGCACACCCGCCTCGGGTGGGTAGAAGAAAACAAGCGGGGGTGTCCTACCAGGATCCTTCGGAAGGATACATTCCAAAACCACCTGCTTTCGAAGGAGATCTTCTAAATCAGCTGGCCCCGGCATTTTTGTTCACCCACCTGGTTTTAATTGACCCCAAAAGCAAATTCCGTGGATGCGTGCGAAACTTTTGATCGCACCACCCCTCAAATCCGAGTCGGCTCCCCTGCCAATGGTTTCAACATTCCCGGGGACCTTCCCTTGAGCCCGGCCTGCCGCCTGCCGCCCTCTGAACGCGACCGAGTTTTGGGGCGCCCCGACTCCTCCTCCTCCGCCCAGGTCTTCTGGGGCGCTCCGTTGAAGGCCATGTGCACCGCCTAAAACCACACTTTGGGGTTCGCTCTCAGCCCCCCCTTTGCCTCTCAAACGCCCAGGCTGCGAAAAAGCCGAGGAAAAAGAATGCGGGAAAGGAATGGGCGGAAGAACGGCGGAGAAAAGAATTGCCAGGGAAAACCAAGTGGGAACTCTTCGTGACTCGCTGCGGCAAGCCAGGGCGCGCGGAATCCACCGAGGGAGTCCGCCGAGATCTTTGGGTGTCTCTTTTGGGGTTCCCGTTGTGGGATTGAATTTAATGGCAAAGGAAAACGATCATTTGGGAGTACCCCCTAGACCAACCCATTGGAGCCCCACTTCATGTCCAATTGCCGGTTTCTTGCCACCTTTCGACGCTGACTCCGTGCGAGAGTCCGGTTTGACCCGTCAGCTTCCATCCGCGTAACACTCTGGCTGACCTTCCGGGGGAACCCCCCCCGCCTAAGGGTGTATCTTTTCGAGGTTGGTTATGTTGGTTGAGGGAAACCAAATCCCCCGACCTGCCCAAACCCAACCCACCCAGCCCCGAATCCCCCTGTCCCCCCCCCAAAAAGAAAAAACGAGCGGCCACCCCCAGGCGCCTGGAACACGAACTTCTCCTTCATGCCCTGCACGGCCAAGACCCCCTTCGTGCGGAAGAGGTCCACGCCACGCCTCCGGAAAGGCCGAGCGAGCGTGCGAGCGGCTGGGCTGCCCGAGCGCTGCCCGCTGCCCCGGGGTGAAGAGGGGAGAGATTTCTAGGGCTACCTTCCATGTCCCATTCCTTTCCAGGGATCCGAGTCTTTTCAGGGAACCAGCAAAAAATCCCAGTGGAAACTCGGAAACGGCGGATTCTTCAAAAGAACGATGGTTGAAAAGAAGGGGGAATCAACCCCTAGAAGAGTGGACATGGCGCGAAGAGCCGTCTCTGCGGATCCAAGACCATTTGTCTTGAAATTTCCGGTGGTGTCTGAACTCAGACCTAACATCCAGCTGACATGAAGACATGCAGAAGCAACCTGAAGCCCTGGTTCTCCTTTTGGCTTCTTCCCCTTGCCATAAAAACGAGGGCACCCCCAAGGCCGAGCCGCCCATTTTTTGGGAGGCGCCCAAGTTCTCGGCCGACCCTCCGGCACTCGAACTCCGAACTTGGGGCAGGGCTCTTTCAGGAGCCAGGCCAGCCACTCGTTGAGCCTCTGCTGGTGAACCTGGACAGGGGAGAGGCGGAGAGGTGGAGGGGTGGATGGAAGGGCGGACGGTGGACTGGTGGCCGCGTGGACGGGTAGAGGGTTTGGTGCGGCTGCTTGCTTCCTGATCTGCAATCATGCAAAATGAGGCTCAACCATGGCGATTTGCAACCCCTAACTCTCAAAATGCGCCCAGGAACCTAGGAACCAGAACCTTCTTCAGGAGTTGTTCGCACCTGAGGCTGGCTCAAGAAGGAAGGCTCCCGATGTTGGACCCTCATGCCCACTTTTCGCTTTTCCCAACCTACTTAGATGCACCCAGGTGGTGATGGCAATGTTGGCAAGCCTGGTCACGGTGGGGACAGGCGGCTGGGGGTCGTTTCCGGGAGATACCGCAGCTAACTTTCGGATCTAAAATGGGGTCCGGTTTCATTTTGGTCTCCCTTGAACTAGAAGGACAACCCGAAAACCGAACACCCCGCAAAAGGACAAGTCAAAGCCCTTCCTGTCGCTTTAAACCAACCCCCCCTCCTCGCCGAACCCCCACAGCTCAGACCCTCGGACCCTCGCACCCCATGCCTCGCCCTTCACGTGGATGCCACAGGAGGTGACGCGGTCGTCATGCTGATGCTCCTGGTCGTCCTGCGAAAACGATCACGCCGCCATCGGAACTCCGCCCTGTGGATGGCTGCGAAATCCGGAACAGCGCCACTTGGAAACCGTGGCTGAAATCATTGCTTGTTGGCATTTACAAGGGAAGCATCAGAAACCAGGGTTTCTTAGGTACAGGACTTTGTCCACCGAACATGCGGGCACTTTTGGGCTTCTTTCCAGGGTATGAACCCACCCCAAAACGGGATATGCACGTTGTTCCTTCTTTCCTTCACAATGACCCCGAAAGGGACACGCCCCCTCTCCGGCTACCCGCCGGTCAAGCAATGTCCGCTTAGGCCTTGGTGATTTGGTGGGTTGGACCTTGGGGCAGTTGATTTTGTTGGTTTCAAAAGGAACTGAGGTTCAAATTCGCCAATTCCAAATTGGTGCAAAGAGACGGCATCCAAAAGCGCCAAGTGGTTGAAAATGATGGGATGATTTAAACTGCAGTCCCTGAATGTTCAAGCAAAGAAGGGAGGCCAAAAGGCAACCCCTCTGCTGTACAAAGGTGTATATTACAAGCGAATCAGTCACATCTACTCACCGAAACCTGACATAGTGATTCTACATTTACAGCGAGTAACTTGTTCCACAGAGTTTGGATTGCAACTTGGATGTCCAACCTTCCCAGTGAGGGTGAGGCTATAGCCCGGGTAAGCGAACCAACACACCTTACTCACTTGGGTTGAGCATCGCTGCAACCGCTACAGTTGTTCCTTTGGCTACTCTCAACATGGACTCAAAACAGCACTCAAGGTTGCAACATTGCAGTTGGAACCCAGTGTTCCCACACTTTTGGCAACCAAGCTGGTTGCAACAGACCGACCCCAAGGCGCCCGTCCATCTCGCCATTCTTCCCTGCCCCCAACCCTTCCCCCCTTCCCCCCCGCCAACCATAGGTAGGTCCGGGCGCCCCGGCCGCCAAGAAGGCATCATCCATCTCCAGGATCTTGTCCAAGTTGAAGGCCTCGATCCCCAGGATGAAGTCCATGTCCACCTCCCCAGAAAAAACTCGTCAACGCCTCGATCGATTTCGGCGGGGTTGGTGCTTAAGAACGGAGGGCGACCAGCGGAAACCTCCCGGAAAAAACAAAAAGCGGAAGCTGCCTTACTCACCGGGCTGCAAAGGGGGGGGGGCTTCCTCTACAAAGGTGGGCGTTTTGTGCTCCATGAAAATCTGTAGGGGAGTACTTGGTTGTTCTTTCGGGGCAAAGGACCTCAAAAGCCGGAAGCCTTGTGCGTCTTTCGCCGCATGCAAAACGTTGGGCATCCGCTTGAAAGCGGCTTGCAAGGAGGGAAAGCGAGGACCATTTTTCCCCGTCTCCGGGCTGCCCGTTTTTGGACAAAGAAAAACAACCTGGCGAAAAGTGAGCGACTTGTGGCTTGAACTCGACGAAACCAACTCAAAGCTTAGGATGGCCGGGAAGCACCGAAACCCGACGTTCCGGCTCTCGCGCTTGGGCGGAATCCCTGCCACGAAAACCCAGTCCAAACGGACTGGGGTAAGAGCTATGTCCCTGAAGCCGATGCCAACGAGACGGGAAGAAAAGGAGAAAAGAAAAAAACGAGTCAGGGAACTGACTCCCCCCAATTTGTTCCCGAACCTGAAAAGGGCTCCGGTCCCCCAAAATCCCAAGAGTGACACAAAGCATGAAATTCGACTTGGCTTTGGCTCGAAGACATGTGCCAAAATCGCACCTTGATATACCTTGGGAAATGGAACTAGTGACTAAAACCTGCGAAACCCTAGCTCTTTAATTTGAGCCACACCCACTTGGGGGTCCTGGAGACTTGGGCTTACCGGTTCGCCCCTTCCCTCGGGAAATCTGAAGGATGGAAGCGCACTTCCCAATGAATCCTTTTTGGGGGCCTTCTAAACTGGGTTTAACTTCCTGGATCGCCAGTTGCGATCGCTTTTTTCCATGCACTTTACCCCAAAAACCAGCAACAGTGACTGAAAAAAGCAGCAACTTGGCTATCTAGGTTGTGGGTTCAATGGAGTTATGGCCGGGGGCCACCAAGTAAACTCACCTGGACCCCCAAAAGATGTTCTTTGTTGTCCGAAAGGAGTCTCCTCAAATGACGGCTGTGAGGTCCGCATGTTCATCTGCAACGATGAACGGCTCCTGGGTGGGTTTGGCTTTAAATGGAGGAACGCACCAATGCGTGGTTCAGCATTTGTTTCAAGCAGCCCCCACCAATTCATGTTGACCTGCTTTAATATAACCCGGCCCCTTCAACACCGCCACGTCTTGTGAAGCCGTTTTAGTGGAAAAGGTGTGTGTTGGGTTGGCGGGATCTCGATCACGGTCTGGGTTGGGTCAGCATTGCCAATGCCAATTGAGTATTGCTTGCACTTGCGCAGAATCTCCCATGTGTTTGCTTGGGGGGGCGGCAGAACTTTCGCTATGGGAAACAGTCGATGGGTTCTGAGTTAGGAAAAAGGTTCTATAGCAGCGGACCCAAATCTCAGAAGCCCACCGAAAAGGGAACCACACCCCAAAGTACCGTTCGGTGAAAGATGGCACAACTCCCTCATGTTGATTTCTTCATCCCCTGTAGTCCGAAGGGAACATGGGCAATCTACAAACTCACCCTGGGTAAGCGCTGTTCTTTGGAGGTTCCCTTACCATGACTGTAATCCGCTTCATGAGTAGGTTGGGCCTCCAAAGGGGCGGGCGGGTGGAGTCTGGATCTGTGTCGCGATCTCGAATGATTACTCGCTCGACTGGGAGAAAAGCTAGCACGCTACACAAATTGTGGGTGTGTCTTGCAACCAGGAGTTCAAACATCCTCTCGGTTCCCCTGCAAAGGTGGTCCGGGTATGGTTGTCTATAACAAGTGTTGATCGGCCGTGGTATAGGAGCCCTATATCCTAGTTGGTGCTGATGAAGCCCCTCCTCCCTGCTTTTTGAGGTAGACACTTGAGGTCCGCTTTGCAAAACCAACCCTGCCTTGCTCTGGGACGTTCTCGTGATCTTCACCTCTCGCGACGTGGATGTTCAACTCACTTAGGCTATAACCATGGCGCACAACTGGGGCTGGGGTAATTGGGGTGCTGGCAACCCTTATAGCGGTTGTAAACCACTTGCAAGTGGATTGATCATCCAAGTAGACTGAGCAAACCTCATGAGGCTTTGGCATCTTTCCCTCGCATGGAATAGGAAGGCTCAAGCAGAAATCGCGGTTGCCGAAATCAGCTGAAGCCCTACTTAAAGGGGCAAAAAATACTTGGTACGTGGCTAGTAGAAAGCCTGAAGCCACAACAGCCATGCCTACAAGTCTCTTAAGTGGGCTATACCCAGGCTTACTAACCTACCAAGTCCCTCGCAAGAACTTTTGGAAGGCTCAAGCAGAAAAATCGCCGTGTCCCAGGGCGATCACAAACGTAATGCTCGGCCTCCCTAGCCATTTAGAACACCAATAACAGCTGCTGATGATCGTTTCCCAAGCTCCACATGTTGATTTGGGCTCTGAGCTTGTGTCAAAGTAGGGGACCTAAACAAATGCTCGGTGTTTCCTCTTGGGCTCGCTTTGAGAAGGCCCAAACAGGGCAACCACAAAAGAGCACACAAGTTTTCGGAAACACCCACATGGCAACCCATCCTTTCAGGATAATTTGGTAGCGTTGACCCCAAGCAGCTAAAACCAGGGGAACCGATTCAGAAATAGTGGCTTTTCTCTTTGGTTGTCTTTCTAAACCAACCCAAAAAGGGTAGCATGACAAAGAGCAACCACGCCAACGTGGTACCCTTACTTCTCCAATATCCCTCAGGAATGGGGTCATCACCCCATTGTTTCACGGGTACGTGACCAGATCGATTTGCTCAGGGCATTAGACACGCCCACCACAGCAAGAGACAATCATGCGAGTTGGTTTCACGGAACACAAAACACAAGCACAAAAGTGATGTCGAATATATATATATATATACATATATATATATATACTTATTTATTCCTTTGGTGCCCCAAGAGGACCCCCCAGATCCGAAACCCGAAGCGTGCACCAGCGTGAGTGGCAGCGCAAGGGTGAGCAGTCTGACGGATATCCTGCACCTTTGTGCGACTTCTGCCTCATGCATCTTCCCCTTCGTCTCAGGCGTCTTCGTCAGGGAAGGATCACACGAAATCTTTGTACACATTGCAGAAGCATCTGAAAAATCGCACGGGTGGACAAGCCGAAGAACACCGGAATGTAGCACACACAAGGTTGGCGCATCTCTTGGAGCGCTGGTTTCATTGCCAGCACATCTGTTGACCATCATGTGCCAGCGAAAACCTACAAACCACGGGGTGTGGCGTCAACCCACCACCCACCCTTTCTTTGAGAGGTGAACGGCACGTTCACAAACACATCCAAAGCATGACTCTTGCTGGAAATTGAAATGGTTCCCACGGAGAAAATAGACCGCGATGCAACTGTCACGCAATTTATACCCCGCATTAGGGTTCCAAAGTCTCCTTTGAGTGTGTGAGGAGAAAACGGCACCTCAACCGAGACCACCGACCAAGCTTGGCGATTCGATCATGCCTCTGACAACAAGCTCTGGCGGAAAAGGTGATTCGTACTGTGGATGGACGAAATCGACGAAATCCATAAAACGCACCACCTAAGAAACCATGGAATGATTCGATTCCCCTGTAAATACCAACAAACAATGGTTTTCCACGTATCACCGGTAGCTTTAAAAAGGGGGGGGGCACAAGTTGATGCGGTAACCTAAGAACCCAATGCTTCAAGCTCGGGGCGCGCTGGAACAAGGCTCGGGGCGCTTGGTTCCAAGATCAAACAAAATAAGAAGAGAGAAAAAAAAAAGAAGGAAAAAAAGAAGAAGAAGAAGAAGAAAGAAAAAAAAAAGATGGGCTTCAGGACCCGCTCCCCAGGGGCGCAGGGATCGGCCCATTTTATCTGGGAGCAAGTCGTTGGGACCCCCGCCGACTCGTTGATCATCCGGATGCGCCTCGGTGTTGCCCCCTTTGCGGCGCGGATTTTTCGGCCCGCGCGGATGTTCAGCCCCAGGCGATCAAACCAATTCGACAAATCGACTCGATCCGCTGAGGTCCGGGAAACCAAAGTCCGAGCCTCTCAGGGAGTGAGTTGGACTGACCCTCTCAGGGAACTGCACGATCCGACTGGAAACCCCAATGGGATTGAGGTCCTTCCCACCCCTTCCTGGAGAATTTTTCCAAGCCGCCAAAGGAATGGCGGCTCAGAAAGGGGGCAAGAAGCTACCCTGCAGGTATCGAAGAGGGTCCCAAAAGTGGTATCCCCTCAAAAAACGACTGACGAACCATGGGGTTATTACCCTTCCTCGAAGAATGCATCCATCCAAAAACTTGATTTGCAAAAAGATCCTCTAAATCAGCTGGTTGGGAAATTGGACTGGCCCCTGCTTGGAATGCTTTGGGGATGGGACATCCCATCGCTCAACCTCCAATACTGACTCGGAGCCCGGTCACAAGGGAAATCAGAGGAGGGATATGGCCGTGGGTCAAACATAGGTACCCGAAATGAAACCCTGGTAAATTGAAACATTGACTAAAACCTGGTGGCTTAATTTTGACCCATACCTATATGACCGTCAGTCACGAATGGTCAGGCTGCAATGGCGAGTGGGCTCTGAATCCGCAGGTAACTACACCCTCCCACCAGCTAACATGGAAGTGCACAGACCCCTCTAGAAAGACCACTTTCCTCTTGGAAAGGGCCTTTTTGCACTTCCATGTTAGTTGGTGGGATAGAGTGAGTGACAACCAGGTACCATGCCCAACCGAAATCAATAGAATTAGCCCACTTTTGGAGATCTGCGCAAGGGCTGAGCCAATGCGGGTCCATGTGCTTATTGATTGTGACTCGCTGGTTGGTGATTGGGGGGTTACCTGCCCATTTTGCTCGTGTGCGATCCGTTGGCAAGTGGGGAAATAGTCATCCAGGTCCTGTTCAACTGTTCTGTTGCGATCCGTCCCTGAAACCCATCCAGGTGTTTGAGTGGCGGATGTTGCCTCATTATACTGCTGGTTCATGTAGGTGGGCCTCCCTGATTTTGTGCTCGCAACCTAAGGAAACTAGGCCCCCCATCTCTCCTCCCCAAATCAACCGCAGGAGACCTGTTCGGGTTTCACCTTGTCGGCAAATAAACCGTAGACGACCAGTAGTATTGTCCGCTCATATGCGCATGATGCTTTTGAAGAACCCCGCAAAAAAAAAAAGTTTAAAAAAAAAATGGTGCCACCACATTAAAACCAACCAAACAGGGGTTCCCTCAAAAAAGAGAGACTCATTTGGGTGTGTCCTTCTTAGCGGACCCCACCAAAAGGCTTCGGTGGTCCTTTTGGTTTTGCTTGAAACCACAAACCATGGCAGGTTGCTTTACAACCCACCAAAAACGGGGGGTGGCTTTACAACCCACCAAAAAAGTGGGTATTCCTTCAAGACCGCCAAAAACCCGGAGGGTTTTTCTTTGACACCACCAAAAACCAAATGGCTTTCGTTTGAAACCACCAAAACCAGGAGGGGTTTCCGTTGAAAACCCACCACGAAAGAGGGCACCCCAACACCAAAAAGCGGATCGACCCGCGGGGCCCGAGCTTCTCGACCTCCTCCAGGTGCGCCTCACTTGGCAGATGGGCGGCTCGCCTTGTTTGGTAGCGGGGTGCCCAGGTTTTTGGGTGGTCCTTGAAGGAAAACCCTCTGGAATTGGTGGTTTTAGGGGAAAACACCCTGGAGTTGGTGGTTGTTGTTTGGAAACCCTCTAGTTTTGGTGATTTTAAAGGAGAACCCGAAATTGGGTTCATTTGGGTGTGTCTTTTTTGAGGTACCCCTTTTTGTAGCCTGATGTCGGTGGTGTTAAAGGAAATGCAAAAGGAAATCCGATGCTATGTTGGGGGTCCCATAAACAAAGACACCAAATGAAATGGAACTCAGAACCTCCACAAACATCCGATCAGGTATCGCTGAGTTGGTGGATTGAATTGCTTGGATGTGGATTTGAACCCCTGCTTCTTGTGGAGAAGGTAAATGGGGAAAAAGAACCTGGAACACCGTCAAATCACTGGCAAACCCAGATCAACTCGAGCTGTCATATTTGTTTCTTCTGGGTTTATCCTCAGGGAATACTGTCCTAATGACAGCAGCATTCCAAGAAAATCATCCGACTTCTCCAATACCAATACCAATGGCAATGCCAAACTGTCCAACCCAATCCAAACTCCAACTTTAGGAGCAGAACATCTTCCTTTCTGGGAGCAAAAAGACCACCTTCAGAGCTCCCTTCTGAGAATTTGAATCTTGAATTCGAAGGGTGAGCACCCTAGAACCCTTCCCTGCAAAACTGCCGCATGCTTCTACGTAATTACTTATTGGCATCCTTCTTTTCCGGAAATGGAAACCAACCCACCCGGGCAAAACGATGCTGCGAGCTTTGCGTCCTGCCCTCCAACCAGTCTATTCTCCACTTCCAAGCGCCCTTAGCCGCCCTTAGAACGAGGGAGCGCTTCAACGGGAGCACTTCGGGCGAAAAGAACAAAAAAACTCAACGATCAACCAGCAAAAAAAAAAAAACGGCAAGGCGGCTCCACCGCCCCGGCAACGCGCCGACCCGGCAACGCGGGCGAGCTGGCGCGCGCGCGCGCGCCGCACACGTCGCCTCGTCCACGAGATCGCACTTGTTGAGAACGATCCGGTCGGCAAAGGCGACCTTTCGCTTGTCGCTTCGCCCGGCCCACTGGAATTTGGCAGGGTCCCCCAATTTTGGCGTGTTCCCCTCTTTTGAAACTAATTCAAATATTCCTTCCTTGTGATACAAAAGGATGGCATTTTCCCGAGCCCCCCTACCCGTCAAATAAAAACGGCATGCTGAGCACACTGAAGACTGCATCAGCTGGCACCATCAGTGACATCGTTCGGAATGTATCTTGGAACCGCAACGGCCATCTTTTGGCAACAAAACATCTGGAGCTCCTTTTCCCCACTTGATCGGGCTGCAAATGTACGGAAAGTACCCTGCAATGTTGGCCTAATAATGAACCCCTGCCACAGGGTGTTCCATTTCAGAGGGAACCCAGATCACAGTCGGGCAACCTCGAGGTAACCCCCAGAACCGCCAGGTACGGACGCCCCTTGTATTTCAAGCGACATCCAGCCACAAAATGTCCGGAGTGCGGAATGACCCATGATTTCCGCGGAACAAATATCGTGAGTATGCGGATATGCTTCAAGGGATTTGGACCCCCAAAATGGGTGGCTTTCTTTGCTTCGTTCAACCAAGAGATTTCCGCTCCTCAAAAAGCATGCCCAGTTGAGTTTGTCTTTCCTTTGGTTTCCCATCCAAACCCACCCAAAAAGCAAAAAGGGGTTCCCTCAAAAGAAGACGGGTATCCATAGCCTCCAACCTTCGACAAAAAGATCCGGCGAAGCCGCCTGCTCCACAGCCTCGTTCTCCACTCCCTCCGGCTTCTCCTAGTTGGACGTATCCGTTTCGAAGGGGAACCAGAAAGGAAGCCTACCCCTTTTCCCGGTGGCTTTGAACGGAAACCAACAGATAAGCCGAATATTTAAAACAAACAACAGACCCCATGGGGTTGTTTTTGTTCGGGACAAGGGGGCCTTCGGACGTCGGTACGATCTTTCGACGGAAGAAACCCCGGCGGCCAAGAAATTTGGGGGTTGCTCCCTTCAATCAGGTTTCCCAAAAAGGGATCCTTTGGGTTCTACGCAAAGTTGCAGGGTTCCCACTTGTGACCTTCAAAGCGCATGTGGCTGCTCCGGTGTACCCAGGTTGGGAACATGCCCGCAGGCTGGAGTATGTTTATATGTTTCCCCAATTTGCCCAACCCTGTCCTTTACTGCCCTTTAAACCAACCTGAAAAAAATATTCCCTCATGAGTGGTCTCTCTGTGACTCTTTGGGGTGGGGATTCATGTCCACCCGAGCACCAGAACCACTTCTGTGGTGGCTTACTAAAAATCAGACTCGTTTTAGTGTGTATCTGTGTGTGTGTGTCTGTGTCTTTAAACACACCCTTTTTCTCTGGCTGGCTCTTTCTCTCTAGTTGGGTATGGGTCAAAATGAAACCACCAGGAAATGGACCGCTGGTTTTAGTCTTTGTCTCCATTTACCCCGGCAACCCATTTTGGGGTTACCAATTATTTTTGACCCAGCAGCTGTTTCTCGAGCCCTCTTTTCCATGCAAAGCCCGAAGCATCTGGCCTCGTCCAGGTGCATGATGAGGTGCTTCGCGTCCACCAGGGTGACGATGCCGTCCAGGAACCTGAGGACCAAATGGCTGTGGGTGTCAAAGATAGGGTAACCCCAAAATGGATTGCGCTGGTAAATGGATTACACTGGTAAATAGAGTAACCCCAAAATAGGGTAACCCCAACATACAATAGGGTCAAAAATAGGGTAACCGGTTGCCCTGGTAAATGGGTTGCCATGGACTAAAACCTGCGGTCCAATTCCTGGTGGCTTCATTTTCACCCATACCCATGTGAGACTTCTTGGTGGCCAAGATCAGCCTGGGTGAGCTGATCTGATTTTCGTTGCACCAAATTGCCAAAGGAACCTGCATTTTTTTGGGGGGAGGGTGATGTTCGGGTGGATTTTAGACGAAAACCTGTTTCCTTTACGAACTCCTGTTTTCTTTGCAACAGAGTGAGTTAGAAAATGGCACGATTCTCTTGTGGGATTGTGCCATCTACGTTCACTCAACTGTATGCAATGTGTTCTTACCTTTTTTGGGGGGGAGGGGGTGTCGTTTTTGGGACCCCCCAAAATGGTGGGTACTCATTTGGTTTCCCTTTAACCACCAAAAATGGGGGGGGGGTACCCTCAACAAGACGACCATACTAGTTCCGGGTTCATTCTAGGATGACAACCTCAACATGACCCTTGAAACAAACCCCCAGCGAGTTGGTCGGAACTCAACATGTTCTTTTTAATGGACCCGGCCGACTGGGTTCCCATTGGCCCTGTTCCGCTATTATCCGCAATTACAAAAAGGTAGGGTCCAGTCTGTTCCTGCCCCTGTATCGTGAACACGTGAAGCCGCTATGCCCTTCAAATATCACCCCGCGGGGAAACTCACTGAAGATGGCCTTTCCAACGTGTCATGTTGGATGCACGGAATAAACAATTGCAAACCTGCTATAAAGGAGATTTGGGACATGATATGTGTTTTGTCCCCGGGAGAAATGTTCTGCTTCTCTGAAGAATGTGTTCGAACTAATCCGTAGGTTTTCAGCCGGACCATTCACTCGTTGCACGGCTCTCCCGGCCAATGTTGACCCCGTATTCAACCCCGGTGTAGTAACCGGGAAATTGCTTCTCCCTGAATATTGGGGAATCAGACCACTCTTAGACTCTTGGGGGGGGGGGGAAAAACATCACCCGTGACCAGCCGAGTTTTTGAGCTGGGGTTGCTTACGGGGTCAGCCATTCGATTGCAGGGCCGATCTCGAAGTTCCCTGGGCCATTCGAGGCTCGGAGCTCCGAGGCTCCCGGCAGCTTCTGCTGCACGTAGTCGTCCGCGAAAAAGGTCTGGGCCTCGGGCAGCTCAGCCCCAGACATGAAAGCTGGGAGTTTTGGGCCCGAAAGAACTGGAAGCGGGTGATCTTGTTTCCTGGGGCCGGTCATTTGGAATAACATAAAGGGATCCCAAAGGAAACGTCCCCAAAGCACTTGCGACCCCTCGAAGTGCAACCATGCTTTCTGCCAGAAGGATCGAGTCGACTGATCGGGGCCCTGCCAAAACTTATCAGGCACTTTGAAACAAATAACAAAAAGTACTCTGGGTGCAATGCGAGCTGATGGCTCCAATTGATGTGTCAAAACAATGCGCCATAGATTGGCTTAAAAGTCCAAGCCGAGGGTCGACAACAAGCAACTTGAGACCGAGCAGATCTTGGGAGTTCCTTCTTGGCTTCAAACTGATCGAATGCTTGTAATAAGAATAATAATAATAATAACAATAATAATAATAATAATAATAATAATAACAATAACAATAATAATAATAGTAATGATATTAATAAAAATAAATAAATAAATAAATAAATAAATATATGTTTAAAAAAATGAATATATGAATGAATGAATGAATGAATGAATGAATGAATGAATGAATGAATGAATGAATAAATACATAAATAAATAAATAAATAAATAAATAAATAAATAAATAAGTAAAAGAAGAAGAAGAAGAAGAAAAAAAAAAAAAGGGAAAAAAAAGAAGAAGAAAAAGGGGGAAAAAAACGGTTGCGACTCCGTGTTGGACACATTGTCGCATTTGAGTGGGCACAAATGGCAACGCTTGGCACTAGCACCAATTGGCGATCGCCATGTGATGAGCATGGTTTTGGGAATGGAAGCCCAATGCTTCCTTTCGGTTCGTTTGTTTTCGTGAACTCCTTAGGGGGCTCCTATAGGAAAATCATATCGTCGGCGGTGTCCCACATATTTCCGCTGCAACATCATCACATCAAGTTGAAATCCCCTTTGACAGGCCAACAAGCCGATGATTCATGCGCTTACAAGCATCTTTCTTCCCAGGAGGAAAAGTCTGGTTTTGCTGCGGATGGACAACATCCGTTCGCACCACCTAAGCAACCCTGGTGTCTGATTCGATTCCCCTGCAAAAAAAAAAGGAAACAAAGAAGAAGGAGGAGAAGAAAAAAAAGAACACACACACACAACCGCCGTGCTTTCATTCCCCTGGCGTCTTTTTTTTTCCGCGGCGCGTCCGAATCTCGCCCCCCGCCACCGGCCCCACTTTGCTCCCGAGACCCGCCGCCACCGGCGCGGGATCCGCCAGGCCGGTGGTCTCGATGATGACCTCGAGCTCAAGGCTGGGGGGAAGTGGCGGGTCCCCAGGGACCCCTCTCGGTGGCCTCGGCTTCCCTCGGATTGGTTGGGAGCCCCGGGGGCTTGGATGACCTGGATTTTTTCTGTTTTGTCCTCTGGGGTGTTATGCATCGGCTTTCCTCCAATTTTTGTGGTTTGAATCGGTGGTGTGGTGGTGAAGGAGGTCCCCAAACCAGCAATCCAAAGCACCAACTAAGGGTTGCCTGACATACTGTGGATGGACAAATCCACGCCGATCGGCAACACTTGGGATGGATGAAACCCGAAAAAAGCAGTGGGACAAACCACCTACCAACAAGTGCAGGATTCTGTTCATCCGCAGTATATGTGGAAAAAGAACTTGCGATTTCGACCTCAAAGATCGAATCGATCTCGATGTCGATTGCGAGTTGAGTTCCGATGCGTCAGGTAAAGGACCCCCTGGAAAGTTTCCATGTGGAAGCTTCCATCGCCTGAAGTATCCTCCAGCAATGGGAACCCAGGATGAACAAACCCTGGTTCAAGAGGGTGGGCGTCCAGTTTAGTTTGGAGGGAAACCGTTTGGGGCAAGTCAACAGTAATGGATGGATAAAAAAAGAAATGGTTGATTTGTAGGGGTGTCCCTTTTTAGTGGGGTGTTCTCACACACCCGCCATGAATAGGACGGGTTGGGCTGTCTTCGGGGCTCGGCGCGGTCCCAAGATGTCGAGTTTCCCGGCGCCGTCCAGGGGCTTGTCGTTCTTGATGGAGTTCTTCACCTCGCGAGCTCCGAAGTTCGGAGATGGGAGGCGTGGATCGTCGGGTGATAAAACCGAAGGCACTCGAAGGACTCACATGAAGGCAGCGGTCGACAAAACAGGCGTCCTTTTTGGGCCCTGGCATGAATGCGGAAGGAAAACGACCAGCCAAAAACACAAGGTGCAGAGTTGACGCGGCGGGAAGGTTGACACTTGAAAGGCAACTTGTGGGGCCTGGACTCGATGACAACGACAAATTGTTAAAGGTTTGCTGACTGAACGAACAAACATCTTCCCCCTCAAAAGTCATCCCCGGGTACACTCACCTGACGTTTGGCCACAAAATGTGCAATGCATTTTTTCCAGTTTCAAGTAGTGTCATGCTGAGGTCATGATTCCCTGAGAGGAACCCTTATGGTTGTCTATGTTTTCTTGCTAAAGGTTCCATGTCGTTTGACCATGGCAAGTTACCCTGGCCGATCCAGCGGGTTCGGAAGGTGAAAGACATGCTTGGTACCCAGCAACTTTCTCAGGGGATTAGAGACATAAGTAAGGCCAGGTATCTGCAAGCCCCTACACCCGAACCCGGAACCCTAGCCCAAATTCCGCTCCAGAGCTTCTTGGGATCGACCCAGAACGAGTAGGGCCCAAATTGGTGAGTTTCCAACTTGAAACCAAGGGGTGTTAGGGTGTCCAAAAGCAACGTGCAAAACCAAAAACACACCGGTCGAACCCTGCTCGCCCTTAAAAAAAAAAAAAGGACACGCAAATCGGTCAATTTTGGAGCTTCCAAAAAGGGAAATGGCTCGGAAACCCCAGGAGAAGACAAAAAATGAAGAAACCAAAAACACACACACACAAAAAAAAAAAAAAAAAAAAAAACTCCCAAACAAAAAGGCGCCCGCACGCTCGCACGACCTGGGGGCCCGCGGCCATCTTCTTGAGCCCGGCGATGAGGTCCCCGCGCACGGTGCAGCAAATGCAGCCGTTGTTCATCTCGATGATGTTCTCCTCTCCGCTTTTGCCTTTTTCGCCATTTTTTGTCCTGGTTGACGTTGGAAGGCGAGCTTTTGTTCTTCTCCTTTTTTGTGACCCAACGAACTCCACTTTTCTTGATGACCCCACTGGGATCCGTGGCCGGGTTTTAGGGGGGTTGTTCTCTAGGTCCTCCAGTTTTCCGAGCTTAGTTTCATGGCACCCGATGTTTTTTGTTGTTGTTTCTCTTTCTTTCTTTTTCGGTAGTCTATTTTAGTAGGGGAACCCTCCCCCCAAAAAAAGGTAAAAGAGCACTACTGAGGGAGACCTAGTTCTCCTTCTTTTTGTGACCCAACGAACTCCCACATTTTTTGTTCATGACCCAGCCGCTTTTCGTTGTTCTCTAGGTCCTCCAGTTTTCCGAGCTTTGAATCAGGGCACCCGATTGTTTTTTTTGCGGTAGTGTCTCCTTTTTTGTCTTGGTTGACGTTGGAACGGGAGCAAAAAGTTGAATTTTAGCAGTTAAGTGGGGAATAAGCCCAAGGAACTCTTGCACTTTCTTTCTGACCCAACAGAGATCCGTGCCCGGGATTTAGGGTTTTGCTGGTTTTTGTGACCCAACTGGGCGGCCAACGGATCTAGGTACGGAAGAATATTAGCTTAAGCTCAGGTCCGTTCTCTGCTTTCTTCTTTCGACCCAACCTGCGTCGGGATCCGTAGGGAGTTGGATCCGGAAAAGTTAGATTGGCTGCTCACACCTTTTGGTGACCCAACCCACCTGTTGAAAATGACTCTTCCCCCCGACTCACCAGCTCAAGGTTTGACGCCAATGAATCGAAAAAGAGCTCCTACGAGCTGCATCGCGTGGTTGGCAACCCCAAAAAAAGTTTACGCCTCAAGACTCCCATTGAAAAAAAAGCTTCGAAGCCCAGAGTTGCCTTGAAAGGGACTGTTTCACAGTCCTTTGCCTGGAACCAAGTGGATGGCAAACGCCAAAAAACAAGGTTGGAGCACCGCTTGGGGCAATCCTGGTGCCGTTTGGTTTGGGTTACTTGGATGTTCTTAGCAGGCAGTGAACTAGACCAGTTCTCAAGCAAAGTGACCCCACTCACATGGGCCGAACATCCATCCCATTCCATTCGGCCCAATAGTTGGCTGGGAAGGGAAGACAAAACGTCCATTCTTGTGCAGGGATCCTTACATTATACACCAGAAAATTGCCTTGTAAATGGTGGTGTCCAACTTTATTTTGGTGGAAAAAGTCGATGTTTCGCGGCTCACCCTATCACTACAGTACTCCTGGAGGGTTTTTTGAGGGGCTTAAGTAATCCCATCGTTCGTTTCGAGAAACGGTTTTGCAGCCCAAAAATCGGGGGCCAAACGATGAAGGGGCCCCAAAAAGAGCACAAACAAATGGTATGAGGAATGGTGATGCTGGTGATGCTGGCGATGGTGGGCATGTGGACCTATTGGTGATGCTGGTGATGCTGATGATGCTGGAGCTCCCGACAACACAACAAATTTGTTTCTCGAAAGCGACGAAGGCTCTCCTTAAGATCTTCTACATCCATCCATGCCCCATTGTTCACAAAAGGATCAACGCAACACAAGTTTAGCACAACTTCAACAGGCAGGTTGAACAGAATGATACCCAGAACCTTCGTTCGATTGATTGTGTTACTGAGGAGAGCTCGCCTTGTCAAAATATGGAGACCACAAGTGCTGTCCCTTTGTGCCAGGTCCAAAAGGCGACGCAGACCCCAAAAAGGGCTTCGGCTTCTCGTTCTTGGTTCTCCCTTTCTATAAACAAGGCCCCGGCGACCAACCGGAAAATTTCTCACGGCGTCCGGAGACCACAACACGTCCGAGAACCGCACCTCTGTGGTCAGCGGACCTGCTTCGATGAGGCTATCGTCGATGCCAACCTCCGAAAGGGAAAACTGGGGCAAAACGGTTTTCCCCGGGGCCCCCAGCTTTGACCAGGGCTAACTTTGCCCATGGCGGGAACATCAGTGTCCCTTCCCTTTCAACCAACCAAAAGGGTTCCCTTGACTCTGCAAAAGGTGTTAACTGTTGCTGAGTCCAATGGAAACTCCGCAAAGTTTCACAAAAAGTTAAAGTCCAAAGATCCACCCAGTGCGGGTTGATCAATACTCCTGGCCCCACAAACGGTGGATGCCCTAAATGTGGATTGAAACCATGGCTGAATTCATTGTTTGTTGCAGTTCCAGGGGAATTACCCTCCCACCCACCAACATGGGTTTGTGCACAAACCCCCTTTCCAAGAGGAATGTAGTCTTTCTACAGCGGTCTGTGCACTTCCATGTTAGTTAGTGGGAGGCTAGCGTGAAAATTCATCCCGTGCAAAGGACCTGTTGCTCAACCCCCACCCACCCATCTGGTCCACCTGCAAGCCAACCACGGGGGGTTGTCTAAACATTCGGGGGAGTTTTGACTCAGACAAACCATTCTATGGCTTGTGGTACAAGTACAGAGGACCACTCAGACAAACCATTCTATGGGTTGTGGTACAAATACCGAGGACCATATAAAACACGTACACCAGTCGGAATGGCCGAAACCAGATTTCAATCTTGGGATGAACCACTACCAACCGGTGCGAAGTGAGTGGATTTGGTCCATCCACGGCACTAGGACCTGAATCTCAAATGAGTCGAAGGCGGTTGTGGGGTATGTTGAAACCAAAATTATGTCTATGGGCATAGCAGCAAAATGTTAGCAAATATATAGCACCACCTATTTTTCCCAGGTCCTACGGAAGCATTTCAACGACATAATGAGGTTGAACCCCGACACTAAACACCCCAAGATCTGAAAGGTGTTTGATGTCTTACGAGGAGCTTAGGCACATGGAAGATTTTCACACTGATAGGGCCCTTGCTGGTTGCTTCGACTTCCCCTTATTGGCTGGGTTCTCAGGTGGGTCCATGTGAGAAAACAGAGGCCAACAGAGCGAACTGCATTGCGGTGTCTTTTCGAAACCTGGCACTTGCATTCCTTTCATGCAGTGAATATGTGTAAGGGGATCAACATGAAACCCACCTTTCTCGAGCCCCCTGTTGTGTGGTTCCAAACATGCTCCACCACGGCAAATCTGAACCAGAAGTGTCAAACTCAATATATGGATATGTCAAAAATGGGTTGGTCTGCAAAGGGAGACTTTTCAAGGGGGGCCTTGATTTCCCTTTGGTTACCAGTCAAAGCAACCCCAAGCGTAGCGACACCAGAAAGCAAAACACTTTCAAACTTGAACGCTTTGGGGCACTGTACATGGGCTTGTTGTTTTTGAGGGATCCGGGTTCTCTTTGATTTCCCTTTAAACCAACCCAAAAAAGGATACCCTCAAGAAAAGACACAGTTTCCTGTGCTGTGGTATTGGTGGATGTGCTTCGAATCACCACGGACAAAAAGCTGGATTGGCGTCGACCTCCTGAGCAGAATAATTTGGCATGCATATCAGAAACAAGTTGCCTGCCTGCAGGTACCTGACTGTGTATGTGGGCACTTGTACGTGTATAAATATACGTATCATATATATTTATATATTATATATATATATATATATATTATGTACATAAGCAAAAGAACAACATGCATGCATGTAGCCTGAGTGGAGTCATTGCAGGATCCTTCGGCCCGAAACTCCGGGGCTACCGTCCTTCCGTCCTTCCGTCCTTCCATCCTTCCGTCCTTCCAGCCAGCCGAACCCGCCTCACCGAACTCGTTCTCAATGATGCCGATGCGCTTGCCATGAAACTCCTCATCCAAACCAACATCTGAGGGTGGCTTCCGTACATACCCTTTGTTCATACCGGTTCCTTGGCTTCCGTGGCTTCCAACCCACTTTTTTTTTCTCGGGGTATATTATCAGCAGGCCTCTCAGGGGTTCATTTCTCCACTGCCTCGCAACAAGCGGACGCCAAGGGCTCACCGCGAGTCGGCGAGTGACGACCCGCGCAAGTGGGGCCCTGACTGAAACGAGCCAAGTCTCCAACAGAACCAAACCAACCGACAACCAAACCACACCGACACGGAAAACATGTCGGAAAAACAGAACAAAAGGGGAACTCCTGCCAACAGCAAAACCAAATCGAAACAACCTAGTGACACAACAAAAAAGACTGCCAACCCAACGGACGAAAGCCAGAGAAAGCCTACCAACACCCCAACAGCCCTTGAGGGGGGTCCCTTCGCGACACAACCCAACTCCACAATGGAATTCAACGGCCGCATCCCTGCGCTCCTTCAAGATGCGGTTCAACAGAGTGGTCTTCCCGCTGCCTACCACGACACAAAAGGGGGTCCAGTGCAAAGCACAAAACAAGTGTCATTGAGATTTGGAGGTATGTATGTGCGTGTGTATTTGCTTTGAGGGTACCGGTAGGGTTGGTCTTTGCCGGGAAACCAAAAAAAAATAGGTTCCCTCACAGGGCTCTTGTTCCCAAATCTTGTGTGAGCAGCCTTGCGTTTCCGGTCAGCTTTGCTTGAAAAGCAAAAGCCAGCGTCAGCAGTCCTTCCACTTGCTGAAGAGCACTTTCCCCACAATCCAAAAGGGAGAAATGCCGCAACCTTGTCTTGCTGGTGCTGATTAGGGAATGAGGGAATGAACCAAGGGATCCCCTTTAAAGGAAACCACAAGGGATGGTTTTTCTCAGGGTGATTCCAACTCTCATTTCCTGCCTATCGCACCAGTAAGTTGTAGAGAAGCAATGGGCTTGTCTCAAATGAAAAATCAAACCCCCTCGAGCGAGGTTCAAATGGGCTCTGTGGTTTGGTTGTTTGTTCTGAATGTTGGCTTGCTGTTTCTGTACTTGTATAACTGCGCCGAAGCTTCCTTCGAACACTCAGCGAAACGCACACATCCAGCCATGGGCAGTGGAGCGAGGAAGTCCGTAAGGCACAAGGCAAATGAGGCTACCCCTCTGCATGACAAGCTCTCTCAAAGCTCGAGTGGCAATCAGGACCCGTGGGCGAAACATGAATTCCAAGTGAAGCCAACGGGAGCTGGTTGGTCACCGCCGATTTTGAGATGATGGAGAATGACCATGGGCGTGTCTTTCTTTGAGGCTCGGTACCCCCTGTTGAGAGTGTGGTTTAAGGGAAACCAAGCGAAACCACCCCATTTTTCACCTTAACACTTCGCGCACCCAGATTGCCCCAACTGGCAAATATTTGCGTTGGCCTGAAAAAAACAACAAGCCTGAGAACCCCGGGTGATGTTTACTTGCAACTGCGTTTTGCCACCTTCCTGTAAAAACAAAAGCGCAAACAGGTTTTTGCTGAGTCTGAGGAACCAAGCTATCCGTATCGCCTAGTGAAAGGAACATAAGACGCAGGTCCGCGGAGTTGGGAGAAGCGGCACCTTTTTTGGTTTGGTGGATTTCCAAGAGTGAACAGGGAAGCTAAAGAGAAGGACACGCGGCCTAACACAGCCCACCTCCTACCTTGAAGCGAAAAATCCGCGCCTAAGAAGCCTGTGAGCACTGTCACCGGGACCTGGCTGGCAAAAGCGGCTCCCAGCCAAGCCGAGACCGCACCCCCGAGAAAAAAGCAACAAAAGAGCAAACGCATCGGCTGAAAATGGGTGTGTCTTTTAATGAGGATACCCCTGATTGGTGGTTTTATAGGAAAAACACCGTTTGGGGGGGGGGGTGCAAGTTCTACCATTCCAAAAACAAGAATTGGCTCGAGGAAAAGATCTCGCCATACGGCAAATAGAAGACGCAAGCAAGGTTTTCTTTGGAAAGCTGACTGATATAGAGAACATGGAACAGCACGAGGCCCCTCCAAGAAGACATGGGGGCCCTCCCCGAATCACCCAAAAGCTGGTCCGCTGCTCGCCCGCCCCTTTCCGCGCCTTTCAAAAAAAACGGGGGCAAACTGGATGTCTCGGGTGGCATTGTCTCGCAAGCCGTCGTGAGTTGGTCACTCGAGAGCAAACAGCAATCTGACTCGAATTCCCCAAGGTTGCTCCGAAGACTCCGGAAGGGTAGCAAGGTGGTCGCTGAAGGGAATGCTTCCACACCTAGTTTGCACTGTTCTCCCTGATGGTCATAATGAGAGCCATGATGAGAATGATGGCCATGATGATGGTTGCGTTGCTGTAAAAGTGACACATGCTCTTTTTCTAATGAGTTTGCCAAGACCGATGCATTGAACGAGTCGCCCACAACAACTTCACCCAAAGCCGCATGAAAGAAAAAAGTCTGCAACACAATCAGCTGACCCATGCAGAATCAGCATCAGCTCAGATCCCAAACATTCCCTTGCCATGATGGCAAGCCCGGAAACGAGGCCTTTGTCCTCGTCCATTTTGCCAGGCACAATGGCCCCCAAATTCTTGCCAATGCCTCTTCCACATGTGTGGGTCCAAGGTGCAGCGAAGGCAAAAGCAGCAAAAGCCGAGTGGTTTGTCTCAAATAAGGGTAACGAACAAAATAAACAAAGCCCGCATTTTTGAGGCTGCCTTTTTTGGGGCTGCCTTTTTTGGGAGGTTTTCAAGGAACCACCCTTGTGGCCTCCCATTTTGACACCCAAAAAACCAGAAGAAAAAAAACGCACCCAAAACGAGCACCCAGCCGCACCAAGCCTGCAAAACACGACCTACCGAGTGAGACGGGCGTCTCAAACTTCTCGCCTTGCCGCCGCCCTTCTTCTCCTTCATGGCCGCCTCTTCGGGGTCCGAGTGAGCGCCGGAGGCTGACTTTTGGTGCGGAGCGGACTTTTGGGTCGAGGATTCAGGTTCATATGGTCATGGGGCCGGGGAGGGAGGGGAGGGAGGGGAGGGAGGGGAGGGAGGGGAGGGGAGGGAGGGGAGGGAGGGGAGGGAGGGGAGGGAGGGGGGGAGGGAGGGGAGGGAGGGGAGGGAGGGGAGGGAGGGAGGGAGGGGAGGGAGGGAGGGAGGGGGAGGGAGGGAGGGAGGGGAGGGAGGGAGGGGAGGGAGGGGAGGGAGGGAGGGAGGAGGGAGGGGAGGGGGAGGGAGGGGGGAGGGAGGGAGGGAGGGAGGGGAGGGGAGGGGAGGGGAGGGAGGGGAGGGAGGGGAGGGGAGGAGGGGAGGGAGGGGAGGGAGGGGAGGGAGGGGAGGGAGGGGAGGGAGGGGAGGGAGGGGAGGGGAGGGACCCTCAGTGGAACCACGCGCAAAACTTGCTTTTGGGGAGGGGAGAGGGGCAGGGCTTCGGGCGCTCAAGCGAATCGGCCTCTGAAGGGGTACCTGTACCTGTTCGATGTGTTGACTTGGGCACTGTCGAAGGGAACTCGAAGCTCAAGCGATATCAGCAGCGAACCATCCCCAGACCTCGGAGCCGCCCCTTTGCGGAACCCTTCTCGGAACGCCCTTGTGCATCCCTGGAACCCTCGGAACCGGCCCCCGGTCCACCAAACCCGGTCTGGGCAAAGACCCCAAAGCTTTCAGCTGTTGGGGAAAAACAGAAAAGGCCGCTGTCAAGGGCGCAAAAAGGCCATCCATCCATATGGGTGTTTCAAGCAAAATGCAGGACCTAATCGAGGCTGGTTTCCTTTCGGAGGCGCTTCTACATGCAACCACCCCCTAGTTCTACGGTGGATTCCAACAAATCCAGTGAACAACATCCAAGGAATCCTAGCACATTGCAGGTTTTTTGCAGAGGCTTCCTAGCTTTCATGCTTCAGGCCCTTTCCTTTTTGTCCCCCCCCCCCTCCCTTCCCCCTAGCCCCCTACCCCCGAGCTGTTGATCCCTCGAAGAATCAACCGCTTCGAACGACCCGAGCCGCTTTCCAACGCCGGAGCCCAAGGAGTTAGGGATCCGGACGCATGAAAAACACCGATCGAACATTGCAACTTGTAAATCGAGGTGTCCAACTTTATTTTGGTTCAAAAAGCAACATGGTTCAAATGTATCTTTTTTTCGGAGCCCTGATAAGACAATTGTTTCAAAACCCTCGCTTTTCGAGGCGGAATCAGGAAATATGTCTTGTTTGGAAAGCCAAAGGGAAACCGGTTTTGAGGTTCTCGTCCCTTTTCAGCTCAACGGCAAAAAATGAGTGGTGTCGCTTTGGCTTCCCCTTTCAACCGGTACCCTTGACCCCAAAAAGTATTTAACTGTGTCTGGGTCCCATGAAAAATCCCCCAAAATTTCGCAAAAAAGTTAAAGTCCAAAGATCTAACCAAATGGAGGTTGATCAATCGAATGACCATGGGTAACATGTCCCATGTAAAAAAACAAGAAAATGCGGGAAAGAGCATTTGTTTAGTGGTTTCGCCCAATGGTCATCCCATATAAAGGACCTGTTGATCAACCCCCAATCACGAAGCTTACTCGGGTGCTTACGCAGCATGTTTCCCCCAAAAGTGCTTAGCCAGCTTACGCTGTGCAGGGTTTGCTTGCGCGGGGCCTTGTCATGACACTCTTGCTTGGGATGCATGAGCTCAAACAACAAGTTGTCCCTTTTTCCATCCCCAAATAGCCCTAAAGAGATACTACGTGTGTATATACATATATATATATATATAACTGAGGGTCAAGAATAGGTACCCCAAATGGAAGCCTGGCAAGTGGAAGCATGGACCAAAACCTGTGGTCCCCTGGTTTTATTTTGATACCCATATATTCAAACCGAGAAGAAGAACAAAATGTGACCTCCGATCCTTCGGTTCCCATCGCGGCCTGCGCAGAGGCCACCTTCACGTCCGCGCCCACCGCCCCAAGCGCCTCTCGATCGAAGGCGACGGTTCCGCGCTCACTGTTTTCCACCGGTGGCTGGTGGTGTTACCGAGGTGCGAGGGAAGCCAAGCCTTTTCGGGGGTTTGAAACAACGGTGATTTCAGACAGAACCAAGCGGCAGCGTGAGTTGCGTGCAAACAAACAACGAGAGAAGGTATGGGCGCTTATGATGTGCAAGCTTCACTTTGAAACCATGGCTTCAACCATAACCTGTGTTGCCAGGTACAGGAGAATCCCTACTGTGGGTGGACCAAATCCTGCACCTAAGACTCCCTAGCATGATGATTCCCTTGTACATACCCACAAGCCTTCTGGTTGCCGCATGGTTTCCCACTGCGAACGCATTTCCTCCACCACTCGGGTTTGTCTTGGGCACCGCCTGGCCTCCCTCGCGGGAGCACACTGCCACTGGAGAGAAGTGAACTCTCGGGCTGCCTCGAGGCCCGAAAAGGACCCTCGGGACCCTCAGGACCAAAAATGTGACCTTCAGAGCGCGGCGCTCAAAGGCGAGGACGCGGCGTTGCCGCTGGAAACCGGGCAAAAGGAAGATGCTGGCAGGAGTCCCCTGTTTTTGAAAGAATCTGTTCGGCAGTCGAAGGAAACCCACCATTGTCAAGAACCTGTCTGACGACCTTGCTAGCTCGCAGGGGCCGAAAGGGTGGCTGTAGCGCCAAAAGCAGAAGAAGCAACGCCAAACTCTTTGTTTGCCACTACAACTGCAACCCCAAGAGTCACTCAAGTCCACCAAAGTTCTCAACAACTGCCAAGCCGTGCTTCGATTGTGGCGCCTGGGCACACTGGTAGTCCACAGCCGCCCGCTTGTTGGCACCCAATCCCGTGATGATGTCCCCACGCACCTGGCTGGGGATCTGGAGACACGCGGTCGCTGTTGGGAGGCGGGGACCTGGTTCTTGAACCAGGCAGTCTATGGCTCCTTTGCACATTGGTGAGAAATAGATGGATATCCCTGGTAGATGATTAAACCACCAGGTAAACCAGGGACATCGATTTTTCGACCAAAACAACCAAAAAGGACACCCATGCTCCTTGGTTTTTCTCGGCTTGAAGTCAAGAGCATGTCCAGGTGTGGTGTTTGGAGGTCTGGATGCGCCAACCAGGCCGCGCCAACCGGGCCGTGCATGGCTTTCTGAAAAGCGCGGGGGAAACAATGCGATGCGACGCGCGGCAAAATGTGCCAGGATCTTTGTTTCCTTGAAGGCTGGGACTCACCTTTGGGGATGCGGTTCCCCCACTTTGGGTGGAAACATTGAGGTAGCCCAGAGAAAAAGTGGCTTGGAGTCGTTTGGATTTGGATGCGAGCTTCTGGTTCTTGCACATAAATGGAAACCCCGCAGCAACACCGCCGGGCTCCAAACCACCAATTTGAGGGAAGCTGAAACATAGTTGGATTTGTTTTGTTGCAGCCCTGCAATAAGTAGCATTTACCTTCCATCCCTCCAAAACCCATCCCTGGAAGGTCCTTTAACAAAAGGGAAACCACATGTAAGACCACCCCATCGGGTTCCCCTATGTTGAGACACCCGAGGGCCTTGCCCACACAGCTTTGTAGCCCGAGGGAAGAACTAGCCGAATGGTAACCCGGGAGGCCAACACTCAGATGCTGGGTTCCAGGTGATTTCATCATCTGGAACCTGCCTGGCAAGGACCGCAAGGAACATCTCAGTTGGCCAAAAAAGAGCCCAAACTTTGCTTGTTACTGCGACAGGTGAATGACCGAGAGCGCTGCGTGGGGAATGAACCGGAAGGGGATCTGATTGAATCGGCTGGATGGTCTTCTTCAAAGTCATTCATTTCTCATTCCCCGGTTTCGCACCAGCAAGTTTCTGCTTGCCACAATCCAAACCCAACAAGTCGCTCAAATCCACGAGTCCAGGACCTCGGAACTGCAAGTTTGTCACTCTGGGCAGACTCTCCTCTCTTTTCCTGATGCCTACGAATGGGCTACAGCCGGGTGACTCCTTTGGTTGCCCTTTAAGTACCATGTTGTGAAACACCCACATGGCAGGATCTCAAGTCAGGGGCCCTTCTCGAATGTCTTTGTAGCGGAATCAACGAGACCTAATGTGACGTGTGTGGGATTGCCAAGTGAACTATGGAAACATGCGCTCCCCTGCGTTTCCCCCCTATTTCCAGCACCCTCCAACAAGCAAGCCCACATTTAATTCGGGGGCTTCAATGGACTCGGAACACCAAGCGCGCCTCGTACATCTGGCGGAGCACATCCTGCTACGGAACCACGAACTATTTTCGGGCCCGTCACTGACGCTATTCAAGCCAGACATCTCACCGGAATGCCTTTGGGGGGGAGGAGGGGGTCCTAGAAACCTCGCTGAGGTACTTCAGCGGCTTGGATTCTGCAAGTGAACTTGCTTGGATTGGGGAGGGTAAAATTCTAGGGTTGATTCCCCATTCTTTTAAACCATCGTTCTTTCCAAAAACCAGCTGTTTCCCCCGGGGTTCTGCTGGTTTTTTTTTCGGAAAGAAGGATGCCTGGAAAGAATGGGGAAGTGTCCCCTAGCAAAATGGAGAGTCCACCAAAATCAAAGAGTCACGACCAGTTTCTTCTCGCCCCTGTCCAAACGGAAAGAACACATGGCTGGCACCGTGTGGTTCCTCTTCTTTTGTGTGTGGTGTGAATTTATGAGAGAGAAAGGGGCGTCCAACTTCCAAGACGACGCTTCCCGTGGAGTGGTTGGCTTCGCACTCTGTTTTTGGACCAAAGGGACTGATAAGGGGGCACCTATCCGAAGCAAACACCTAAATGGTCCTTGGTCAAAACTCCCAAAGTGCGGGCCGTGGTCAAAGTTGCAAAGTCTCCCTGAGAACTCTTGTTGTCCGAATTTCGTTTGAAAGGCACCAAGGCCAGCCCCACCCCAAGTAAGCGAATGACGGTGGCACAAAAACAACAAACGGTGAAGCCGGTCTTAAAAATACAACACTAGTTCTGTTGTGTGTCAAATAGATACCCCCTGCTCATTTGCTCGTCCCCGAAAACCGATTAAATGGACGACTTCAAATTTCATGGCAAATATTGGGTGGAATAAAGAAACCCTTCCCCAAAGTGACATCCTGGAAGTTACCCGATCTCAATAGTGACTTTGAAAGGGGTGTCCCGCGCTCCTTTAAAAAGGAATTCAGAAGCCCGCAAACTGATCACTTTGAGGCTTTTTTTCGGGGATTACAGAACCAAAAACGGCTTTACAGCAGAAACTTCCTCTTGGGGGATCCTGTGAAACCTCACACGAGGGGATAACCCATCCTAGAAGAGGGATGTCGCGCCAGTTTTCTCACCAGCTCACCTGATGGGCGATCAAGCCCAAACAGACCCAGAAATTCCCCCCCACCAAAAACCCCGCCCTTCGCCCTGCTGGTGCGAGAGATGCAGGGAATGAGAAACGGAATGACCCCAAACCATCCGATTTGGTGGTCCTTTCGGGCATCTCCTTAACCGCTCCGTGTCTCATTCCCCGATCTCGCAGCAAGTTGATCAATCGTCCCTTCGGCCCCCGGCCTATGGGCCACTTCCGGGCGATCTAGCCATCGTGTTCTTGTTGCTCTTGTTCTTTTCTTTCCTCTCCGGTGGTTTCCTCCCTGGCCACCACCCGTTTCACCGGACCCTCCTGCCACCCCGCCCGCTCGCCCGCTCGCCTTCTGCTCCTCGCTCAGCTTCGCCAGGTGCTCCTCCACAAAGGCGCCCGGGTCCTCGAAGCGGCGACTTCGGGTCGGCGTCGAGGCCCGAAATGGACAAGGGTTGTTCATTTTGGATTCCCTTGGAGTTCCCTGGAAGGGGTGAGCAAAAGGCACGTGAGCACCCCCTTCGCCTCCAACAAGATGTCCCTGTGACCTCCTTACAAACCGCCCCCGCAGCGCCCAGCTGGCTCGGTGAGCCGAACGCAAGCTCCCATCCCGGGTCTGGAGATAGATGGATCGCACTTGGGTTCCGACCAGCCCACAGGTGGGACAAGTTGCTTGAACATATGGCCGTGGCTCAAAAAACAAAAAGGAACTCCAAAATGGGTTGCCCGATCGGTAAGTGGAAACATGGGTACCAAGACCTGCGGAAACCGCACCTGCGGTTTGCCCCTCCCGTTTTAGTTTTGAGCCACACCCATATGACTTCATACAGGAATGAAAACCCGGCACCAAGGGTCGTAATCCCACAATGCTTCAAGAATTAAGAAGCCGGAGATCCGCAGCTATTTATGGCCAGGGGATTGTCCCTTACCTTCATCTACCCGGGTTTTGAGCAAGTGGCTCATATGAAGAAGGCCGAATGTATACACGAGTGATACCTCGCCCTTTTTTGGAGTTGGTACATAGAAAACCCGTCTTTGTTTGTTCTTCTGGTGCAAGACGGGAAACCAGAATCAACAAGCCAGGGCTTCATGCTTGTTATCGTGGGGTCCTTTGACCTATGCATTCAGCCTTGGAAGGATTTGGTTCTGGACAGTCTGCATGTGCAGTAGCAGCTCGCTTTGCGAAGAGGTGTGCTCCCAGAACGCAAAGGAACTGGTTTGAGAACGATTGTTTAAATATATATATATATATATATATAAAAGGGTTGCTTTGGGCTTGGTTTAGGCTTGGTTTAGGGTTGCTTCTGAAGCATGGGTTTAGGGTGAGTGTTGCGTATTTAGCGTGGATTTGGGGTGTGGAGGGTTGGTTTTAGGGTTGCCTTGCAGTGGGGTTTGGGGTTGGCTTAGGGTGTGTTACAGGTTGGCTTAGGGTGGCGCTTCCCCGCGAAATTGGAGCGAGAGGCGACCTTTTTCCCGAGGGCAATCCTTCCCAAACAGCTATGAAAGCATGGCATGATCATGAAGTCGCTCTTTTCCACTTGCAAGCCCGTTTGCAAACGCGTCGCAATACAATGGCACGTGGCCGACTCAGACCTGCCAAATGATAGGCGGTCTCTGACTCATCCGTAGGAGTCAACAGAACTGGACATCTCTGTGGTTGTAGAATCTTGCAATGGGGGTTGTATTTGACAGATCTGCGGAAGCCGGCGGTCATTCCCTGCACAAGCTAAATCACCGAAAGCAGGTCTTAAGACAACATCCAGCGCCGGTTTCACGACACTTTGCAAAACTGCACTCTTTCGGAGGAAACCATAATGAACATGGCATCAAGATCCCCCTAGAACCACGCGGGGGACGGGGGGACGGTCTGTTTGCCTGTGGTAGCTCAAACCATCCCAAGGCGCGACCCCTGCAACGTCATGATAAGGGATGCAGGATGCAGTAAGACAGCCGAGGCGAGAGCTGGTTCTGGGCCATCAATGGGAGTATTGCTGAAGAAAATCAGGAAGATCTAGCTCATGTAAAGCCAAAACAACACACACACTATGAGAACAAGAAAGCCCAATCTCAGAGTGTCTGTGTGTGTGTGCGCGTGTACGTCTCTGTGTCCACGCGTGGGCGTGTCTGCACACTTGCTCGCAACAGCGCACGCATGCGTCGTGGCGCGTGCAAGAGCAAGTCTTTGCGCGTGCGCGCGTGCGCGCGTGCGCGTGCGCGGGCCTGTACGCGAGGGCGTCGGTGTAGGCGTGGGCCTGAGCCTGGGCTTGTGCCTGCGCGTGCGCGCGCGCGCGCGTGTGCATGTGTGCGTGGGTGTGGCTGTGGGTGTGTTGTGTGGGTTGTGTGTGTGTTCTGTGTGTTCTGTGTGTCTGTGTGCGTCTGTGTGTGTGTGTGTCAGTGTGTCTGTGAGTCTGTGTGTGTGTGTCTGTGTGTTGTTTGTTGTGTGTCTGTGAGTCTGTGTGTGTCTCTGTGTGTCTCTGTGTGTGTCAGTGTGTCTGTGAGTCTGTGTGTGTGTGTCTGTGTGTTGTTTGTTGTGTGTCTGTGTCTGTGTGTGTCTCTGTGTGTCTCTGTGTGTGTCAGTGTGTCTGTGAGTCTGTGAGTCTGTGTGTCTGTGTGTCTGTGTGTGTGCGTCTGTGTGTGTGTGTGTCTGTGTGTGTCTCTGTGTGTCTCTGTGTGTGTCAGTGTGTCTGTGAGTCTGTGTGTGTGTGTCTGTGTGTGTGTGCGTCTGTGTGTGTGTGTCTGTGTGTGTCTCTGTGTGACTCTGTGTGTGTCTGTGCGTGTGTCTGTGTGTGTGTCTGTGCGTGTGCGTGTGCGCGTGCGCGTGCGCGTGCACGTGCGCGTGCGCGTGCGCGTGCGCCTGCGCGTGCGCGTGCGCGTGCGCGTGCGCGTGCGCGTGCGCGTGTGCGTCTGCGTGTGCGTGTGCGTGTGCGTGTGCGTGTGCGTGTGCGTGTGCGCGTGCGTGTGCGTGTGCGTGTGCGTGTGCGTGTGCGTGTGCGTGTGGGTGTGTGTGTGTGTGTGTGTCCGTGGGTGTGTGTGTGTGTGTGTGTGTGTCTGTGTGTGTGTGTGTCTGTGTGTGTGTGTCTGTGTGTGTATGTGTCTGTGTGTGTCTGTGTGTGTGTGTGTCTATGTGTGCCTGTGTGTGTCTGCGTGTGTGTGGCTGTGTGTGTGCGTGTCTGTGTGTGTGTGTGTCTGTGTGTGTGTATGTGTTGTGTGTGTTGTGCATTGTGTGTGTTGTGCATTGTGTGTGTTGTGTGTGTTTTTGTGTTTTTTTTTCATTTTTTGCGTTGTGTGTGTGTTGTGTGTTTGTGTTGTGTGTTGTGTGTGTGGTGTGTGTGTGTTGTTTGTGTGTGTGTGTTGTGCGTGTTGTGTGTGTGTTGTGTGCGTGTGTCTGTCTGTCTGCGTGTGTCTGTGTGTATGTAGTGTGTCTGTCTGTGTCTGTGTGTGTGTGTCTGTGTGTGTCTGTGTGTCTGGGTGTGCCTGTGTGTGTGGCTGTGGGTGTGGGTGTGTTGTGTGTGTGTGTGTGTTTGTTGTGTGTGTGTGTGTTGTGTGTGTGTGTGTTGTGTGTGTGTGTTGTGTGTGTGGTGTGCGTGTTTCTTGTGTGTGTGTGTTCTTGTTCTGTGTCTGTGCGTCTGTGTGTGTGTCTGTCTGTCTGTCTGTGTGTCTGTGTGTGTGCCTGTGTGTGTGTGTGTCTGCGTGTGTCTGTGTGTGTCTCTGTGTGTCTCTGTGTGTCTCTGTGTGTCTCTGTGTGTCTCTGTGTGTCTCTGTGTGTCTCTGTGTGTCTCTGTGTTTCTGTGTGTCTGTGTGTGTCTGTGTGTGTCTGTGTGTGTCTGTGTGTGTCTGTGTGTGTCTGTGTGTGTTTGTGTGTCTCTACGCCCGTGCGTCTGTGCGTCTGTGTGTGTCTGTGTGTCTGCGTGTGTCTATCTGTGTGTGTGTGTCTGTGTGTCTGTGTGTCTGTGTGTCTGCGTGTCTGTGTGCGTGTGTCTGTCTGTGTGTGTGTGTGTGTCTGTGTGTGTGTCTGTGTGTGTGTCTGCGTGTGCGTGTCTGTGTGTGTGTCTGTCTGTGTGTGTGTCTGTGTGCGTCTGTCTGTCTGTGTGTCTGTCTGCGCGGGTGTCTGTTTGTCTGTGTGTCTGTTTGTCTGTGTGTCTGTTTGTGTGTGTGTGTGTGTTTGTGTGTCTGTGTGTCTGTGTGTGTGTGTCTGTGTGTCTGTGTCTCTGTGTGTCTGTGTGTGTCTGTGTGTGTCTGTGTGTCTGCGTGTGTCTGTGTGTATGTGTGTGTGTGTGTGCGTGTGTCTGTGTGTGTCTGTCTGTGTGTATGTCTGTGTGTGTGTGTCTGTGTGTGTCTGTGTGTGTCTGTGTGCGTGTGTGTCTTTGTGTGTGTGTTTGTCTGTGTGTCTGTGTGTGTCTGTGTGTCTTGTGTGTGTGTGTGTGTGTGTGTGTGTGTGTGTGTGTGTGTGTGTGTGT